TGAAGAGAAAGTGGGAGTTTGAGCTGCGAACAAAGAGGAGAGGAAAAGGGAATCTTTGAACACATATCTAGCTGGTTGGGAACAAAAGGATGTCCACCACTTTCATTCATCAAGCGACAACGGCAACGACGAAGCGCCACTCTTCATCATTCATCTCATCTCCTCGTCTCAAATTCCGAATGCAGGGTTTCCACAGGAAACTTTCCAGTCGTCACCATCCTCACATCATTTCATCATCGTCATCATCATCATCCCACGTTGAACACCACCGTCGTCCTTCACGCGACACTTCCTGTTTAATCACGGCAACCGGTCCCACTTACCTCCTCCCACTCTCAAATATGTGCAGTATAAATTCCAGTATAAATTTAAAACAACGGAAAAGCAAGTTATTCTCCTGATGGACATCTCAAACTTCCTTTGATGATTTTTTTTCTCGCAATATCGATTTAAGCATAAAACTCTACGCACTTATTTGACATGACAAAATATGCGTGCTCAGGGCTTCTCCACCACAATAAGAATCAACATTAATCTCTCCCAGTGATGTTGTATGTATCAACCATGCACTATCGTGAATGGGAGTTATCCTCAATTCCCTGTGGGTAGTAAAACGGGTCCCATTTTAGTAATTCTGTGGTGAACTTCGCATTTGTTTATTTTAGAGATGGGAAACCCATAAATTATAAACAGGCAGGCAGGAGGGAAATGTGTACTGCGTATAGCTCGGCTGCCTTATCTGGTTGGAAATATGAGGGACAGACAACCTGGATGACGCGAGGCTGAAGACACATAACATTCAAACATTCAACATTTAAGCATTTCCATGCATGCTATCTTCGTTTGTGAAAGTTGATGATTTTCATATTACACTGCACCTTAAGCAAGAATAAATCTCATGTTTTAGGAGGTTCGATTCCAATTTCAGCCCAAACTACCCATGCCGGTGGTAAACTGGGTGGTTGCTGATCTAAAGAAAACAAGAGGAGAGGAATCGACCGGCTTGTAAAATGTAAACCCAAGCGCTTGGCATATCATCTCCTCCTCCGTAAAGTAAAGTATCGCCACCGCACAAACCAAGCCATTCCCTTCTCTCCGCTCAAATGCATAGTACTGAATACCTAGATGGATGAGCGCTCAAATGCCACCACACGCAGAGGAGGGTGAAAGTGATACATTTGTGGTTGAATTGAAAGTGAAAGCAAAGCTATAAACCTGTACGTTTATGGCTATGCGGTCAGATACATTAACTTAATTACTACCTTCTGATCGAAAACGCTGTCCAAGACGAACCCTTGAATTGTAAATACAACAATATTCAACACAAACAGTATGATCGGCAATAAGTTCTTGGTAACTAATAATGCTTTTAAATATTGGACTCGATTATTCAATCCGATGGATAATCGAGCGCTATACAGAAACGCACTCGTTCTTTTCGGTGTCTCATTTCGATCTTTTCATGAGCGTTGCATTACGTAACCTCAAATTTTGGCGGATCGTTTGCGGAGTTCATGAGACAAGTATGAATGCATATCCCTCCGAATTAGTCGTCGTATCAGACTGGATTTTATTTGGATAAACTCAATTATCTCTCATCAGATAATTATTTTAACGAGTTGAGTTCGCTGCCTTCGTTTTCGTTCAACATCATCAACAACGGACACGAACACGGAAGTTCATTCACTTCCATGACTTTCCCTCCTCGCCCGTCGCCTATACATATTTCGCTCATTTGCTTTTGCTTCCTGCTCATCTCGCAAGCTCAAGGCTATCTTTGCTGACTAATTAACTCAAACTTTATTACAGAATTACAGTTCTAGAATTTAAATTAGGTGGACGATTTCCCCTCATATGCTCAACCAGGGGGCTCCCAGATCTATATTCTTAAAATGAACAGTGTTCCGCTGTTTTTCAGGCCATTATCATTATGAGAGATCCATATTGACGTTTGCATGAATGTGCGTATATGGAGGTTTACTAATTGTCAGAGTTAACGAAAATATCCAGGTTATACATATTTGTTCAGCCATTCTCGTGTACGCAAAAGTTGCATAAAAACTTGTCTCAAGAAGTTTCAAAGCTTACCCATGCGCTGAATATCCTTGCTTGTCGTCGTCCCAGTCAAGGTAGTCAGGTCAGTACAATGGAAAAAGAAATCCGTCTGTTGCACCATACAAAATCAACTCACTTTCACATGTACAACAATTGCTCCCTGCATACAAACAGGTTTCAGTCACAACTGTAAAAACCTTCAGCACCAGTAACAACGAACCCTTTGTCCTCGAACTAGACGAGGCTGAGGAACCATGCAGAATTCCTCATACTGCTCAAACGTGCATATGTAGTGATTGTTGCGAGATTGGGAAGCAACTTTTTTTGGCGTTGCTGATTTTGTCTGCAACCACAGAATGAATGAAGTTGAGACTTTCTGCTCGAGAGGAAGTGGATGGTGGCCAACGTTGATGCTGATGATGTGGGCAGAGAGAGCGAGAGAGAGAGAGAGAGAGCGAGAGAGATCTGGTGCTGCTAGTGCTGGAGAGAGAGGAGAAAGCCGACTGAGCCCGACTTTCTCATTCCCTCGAGGATCACCTCACTCACCTCCGTCCTCCGCCGCCTACCTCTCTCCTTCCTCAAAAACAACCACTTTCACCAAGTCTCCAACAAGCTACTTGAGCAGCAGCCACTTCAACTTGGTCAGACAAACTATAACAATAAGTAAACTCAAAGGAAACACCTTTCCACGGGAGGAAAATAAAGCATTACATTTTCAAAGTATCATCGTATTTACTTCAACTTGCATACCTACCTCGCTAACCTCCGGCTATGTACCCATCTCCTATTTTTTAACAGATTAAACTGAAGGTAGACGAAAAATCCTTCAGACTGAAAGGATTGTGGGTTGGAGAAATTGGAAAAATGTGGAAGGTCAATGTTCGCCTGCAAGTGAATGCCGCTAATTCTATTATGCATTATCTTTTGAAAATACGGAATGAGTGATGCACAGCAATAATGCATCGCTTGGGTAGAAATGAAAGCTTGGTCCCAATTCTAGGTTTTCAACTTTGGGTGGATAAGAATATGGCGAAAGGTTCATTCGCTATTTTGTTCAATATTATTTACGTCAATTTCATCGACGTATGAACAAGACCAATTTCTAATTTTTACACACACGATTTTCAACCTGCATAGCATAACGTGGTAGTTTTATGTAGGTATGAAACTGCTGACTTTGTGGGAAATGTCTTAAAGTGAGCCATCAACATGACGCACAGCACGATTATGGTGATTATGGTGATTGTGATGGTGTGGCATGCATGGCGAGATGGCCCCAAATCTGATCGGCGGCGTCAAGTCAAGATCATATCACTTTCTCTCGTGATCTGCTTCCTCTCACTCCCAGGCGCCCCTCATGCTAATCGTCGTCAAAGTTAATGTGATGACGCCGATCCTCGCCTCATGCTCCCATTGTTTTTTCCATCAAATTACCAACTCTCCCATATACGAAACCCATGAAAACATATCTTCTTATTGCCCTTATGTATGTACTTATGTGCCATCTGCTATACGCATATAAAACGTATGCTCTTGTAAAGTCTGCGCTAGAAGGCTGGAGAACGAATCCTGAATTGACAGACAGTGAGATAACTCTACTTGAAAATTTGGGATGGGAACAGCGATGCTAATCTCAACCCGTCTGACAATCCGAATGACTAGTCGCCCAAGCGTTTTCCAATGTTGTGGTTGAGGCTGATTTGGGGATGTCGGATATAATATGTGCTTTCGAATCTGGTTGTTTTATTGATTGTTTCCAAACATTCCAAACTTTTTTGATGCTCTAGTGGAAGCTGATATCGCGAGTTGTTGTTCAAAATCAACAACAAATATTGAAATACCAAAGGCACCCGTGTTCATGCATACATTTGTAGGAAGAAACAAATGAAAGTTGTAATCAAGTTTGGTTAAATTAGGAATTGTATCTCTAATTCCAATTTATTTGTGCTTCACTTCAAATGCATTACAACCGATTGAGTTCCACTTTCATTTATGTATTTATAGAGACGTTTAAAGGTTCGATTGATCCTGAAATATTATTATATCTCAAGTTACAAACTGGAAATTATTTCATCATAAATCCTCTTTGGTAGAGTGTTTCAATAGGTTCAGTTGGTGTAATATTTTCCTAATCGTTTGATCTCTACTGATCTAACAAGATCCTTGCATTTGGATACATTTCCCCACAACTGGAACTAATAAGTTGTGTCGATTGTGTTGTGTATGAAGATGGGATAAATTCCACATTGCACAGCATGAGAAGACGAGTAATTGCTGGTTTCGTACCCGTTGTCCAGCAATTTGCTTTCACTTGAAATATGGTCACACCCAAGAAAAGCGTTTTCGTCATTTTCTTGCTCTCTGAACCCAAACAACCAAATAAATAAGAGAGATAGGCAGTGGCAGTAGAGGAGTTTGATCGATTTAAGACTTTCCCCAACGTTCAAGCCGATTTGAGAATCAGATTTCTGGGTCGAGAAAACTTTTCCGTCAAAAACTCTCGAAAAACTTTATTCATCCGTGTAATCTTAAAAAATAGCCAATCAACTCGAGTTTTCTCAAGAACTCTCAAAAATTCATGAGAAAAGGAAAAAGTATAGTTTAGGAGTCAACGAATTGAAATTCAAGTGACTCAAGTAAGCAAACTTCCTTAATAATCTTGCATAACTGCACATTGTTCAAACTTAGCAATTGATTTCGTACTTTTTGTTACGTACATCTGCTCTGCAACACTTTCTTCTTAAATATATAAACTTTCTTCTTATATTCCTTTGTAGGTATTTAAATCTCAAATAAATGCATACTTTGCTATGGGAGTTATCTAAGCAGATTCTTAAATTTGCAGCCGGTGTAGGATCAAAACATAATCGGGGCTCAATAGATTCGTACATTTTCAGAAGTCTCACAAATACTGACACAATATTGTGAGGATATTCAGTAGGATGATGCCGCTGATTGTAAAAAAATTTTCATGGCACCAGACACCCAGTTCAATTTCCATAGTGGTCCCGATTCCGGGAATACTTCCTTCAAAAACGGATGTGCTCACTTCAAGCAAATACATCAGGGTAAGTACCTTTGACACGTATGAAATAATATGCAAAGTATGTAAGGATATTGTATTATACATATGGAAATATACATTTGCTCATGCACACATATATCCTTTGGTTCATTGCACAATTCAAAATTGCTCGTCCGATGAATCCAAGTGACCGTGTTTATCTGACCACTAAACTATCTGTACCTACATTCCAAACAGTGGATTCCCACGATCGCACATATTATGTTAGATTTGGATCTAGGAACTAGTACATAACACTGAATGTCATCCGGTCAGGAATCGGTCTAGTCGGAACGAACGGGTGGTCATGCGGCAAACCGAGAGTAGTCGTGAAACTTGTTTATGGCAGAGTGATAAACTTATATGAACACACAGTGCCATCAATTTATGTCGAAAAATTTGGTTTGCAAATGTCGAAATGATGCACCTTTCTAATTCATTCAATTTCCGGTTCCATGCTTGAGATCGTTTCAAGTTATCACATGGTCAGCAATATTGATTTATAAATATTCAGATTTCATAAAATTAAACCAACAAAATTTTCTCTTTGAATACCACCAAGAATTGTCTTTGATTATATGCGTAAATAACTTTTGGGGATCATGATCCAGACAGGCAGATAGATTTTCTTTCATTCCTTTTATTTTGGCTGGTAGATTTCCCTTCAGTTGAGTTAATTTGTTCAACATTAATTCCAGTTGTTGAGCATTTGAAATTTGTCCATAAAGCAGGCAAATTCGAGGGATTCTCTCCCCCAACGAAGGGGATTTATATTGTTGGCTTTGAGTGAGACCAATTCCAAAGTTATAGCATACATATATGCAAATATGACAGCCAGCTATGTATGCAGCATGCAAGGGATATTTATTCACACGCCCAAAATAGATCCGTATATACGTATATGTATGTATGTAGATATGTATAAAACAACAGTTTCTTTTGAAATTTGGTTGTCCGTGCTTAATTTTGCTACATTTGCGTTTGTTTCTGATACATATATTTGTGTATTCTGCATACATGCATAGCGCAACACATCTTGTAGAAAAATCCTTAAATGGGATTTTGTTGGCAAGAGTTTAGGGAAAGTAAAGTAAAAATTAAGCATTGCCAGAGTAGCAGGAGGATGATGAAAGCCAGGGACGGAACAATATGGCAAACAACATCCATTCATTCATGCTCTTATTATATTCTATTCAGTAATTTGTGGCATGGCTTATTTGGCTTCGTTTGCAGGAGCTCAGCCGAGTCAAAGTAATTTATTTCTGCAGGATTCATGATTCAAAGATTCTTCAGTGGCTGGTTGGTTGCTTGTTGATGTTTTAGCAGAGAGTTTATTATTCAGCATATTTTTATTACACTTTTGGACTCGGTTTGGTCTCTATTCTCTTTCATTCGCACACAGAGAAAAGACTGAATATCGCATACTCGGGCTTTTGTGGCGACGACGGTTGCCAATTGGGAAAGTGTATTTATGGAGGATCGAGGAGAAAGTGAAGTGTTTGCTCAGTTGTGTGTCCTGAAACGTGCAGAGGAAACGCATTCCATTGAATACTACATTTATGTATGGCTTTTCAGCGGATAATAGAATCCTTCAAGAAATTAATACCAAGTGAATTATTTTCTTTTCATCCGAATTTTGAGTGGGATTATATCAAAAGATATTTATTACTCGGTGACGGTTGGATCTGGAGGATATCAACAACACATATTTGTTCTCGAGGTTTTGTAATCCCAACTTATTGCTTTCCCCCAAATTCGCCACTTTCCTTACTCGCGTTATATCACTTGACGCTTTTTTGATTAACTCTATTCTACGTATGTATGTATGGCATCAGTGTTGAATTCATGTCGTATTTATACGACTTGCATAATAGGTTGCACCGACTTATCTATGCGCTGATTACAAATCATAACTTAAACTAAATGACTAATAAGATATGTATCTAAATGTTCAGCCATTGCGAAAATTAATCTTATTCTGTAATTCTCAACCAAGCTTAATTTATGGAGAACTGTTTCTCTCATTTTTCAGATTCACTGTCATCCTCACATTTTTGAAGCATTTTTATGGGGAACCGTGGATGATGAGAAGGGGTCATGCACTATCGATCAAGCCAAGAGCACAGTGTTTCTGCACTTTCCTAAAACTTGTTCCATCCCGGACAAGGGGTCAAATAATGGAGAGGATAAGCACAGTGACGATGACACTGCCGCCTGGCCATCCCTCGAGGCTCAGGGGCTTGACCGGTTGAGGAAGAAGGTGTTGCGAGATGCTGCCGTTTGTGCGGCTCACCAACGACACATTCAAGAAGAACAAACTGCTGAGAGTAAGAGTTTTGGTTTTGTGAACAATCCACACACACCTTTCTCCAAGTATTTACCTTTTCTTCCTTGATAAATAAGTGATGGGGAAAGTGGGAGAAAGCACAAAAAAGAGAAAAGAATTGAGTTGGTAGAGCAGGTATGCAGTTCTAGGTGTACATACATCTACGAGATAGTGGACTCGTGGTGGTGGGATTTGTGGGGTAATTGATTGCTGTCCTGTCCCCGCACGTACGTTCTTTCTCCTAACCACCCAGCTACCCGGCCACCCTCTCGCTCCGCCAACCTCTCATCGTTCCTTTTCAAAAAACTACTTGAAGAAGGCTCAATGTGGGTCACACTTATATCGCGTCGTCAACTGGCTCCCACGCATTTATCATTTCCTCGTTTTCTTTGTTGCTGCCTCGTGCCTCACCTTTTTCTGGGAGCTTTCTTGAACATTGTTGATGCTTGGGTTCATTATTGCGCTTTCCGTTAGACAATGACAAGTTTCGCCCCAGTGCAACAGTAGCGACGCGAGGACGCATGTACATATATAAGAGGAAAATGAAATGAAATTGTAGAAATTGGCTTTGCCATTTCTCGTGCCTCCTACGTACATACATGTACGCACATTTTCTCATTCAGCTGTATCCAATAATAATGGGAGGAACCCAATAAAGTCAGATACTTTTTTTCAAAAGGGACGAGAGCCACATTCAATAAATTGTACCAAAAGGCGAGATAAGATTTGTACAATGGAAGCAGAGTAAAAATTCTTGGCACATCCATACTCATTCTTTTCACTATGTAAGAATCCGTAGAGCCAAATGAAATAAAGCGCTGACGTCCCTTGATTCAAATCAAATTCAGGTCCAAGATTTATCTTGGTTGAAGAGTAGGGATCGTAGAGTTGGGATCACACGGGAGAAAAATGGCACCGTTTAAGCGTTAAATGATGCCACTTGTCACTTGTCAAGGGCAAGATTTCTATTCCAGAAGAAGTGTAAAAAATCTTACGTTATGCTACCTTTTGAGTAAAACCGTACGCTTTCTTATGCAGCACGTCGAGAAGAGCTTAAAAAGACCAGCGTTCTAGTCCAAATTCGGATGGACGAAGAGGCTCGTGCCAAGGTAGCTGAGACCAAAAAGATTGAAGCGGACAAGGCACTTGCTGATATGAACAGATGGGCTGCAGAAGGAGGTCTACTTCCAGGTGAAACCATATCCGATGTCATCCTACCACAGGGGAGGAATTATGGTCAAGTTGCAAACAAACAAACAGGTGCAATTGCTACGGGGGAACGACTTGACAGAAATCGACCAGCTCCTCGTACAAGCAATAACAAGTCAAGTATGTATCGATGAACGTGTCAAATTAAAATAATCTGGGAATAAGTACATAATTACACACTTTTATGCTTACAAATGTTGTCATCCTGTTTTCAGGGAACAAGGAAACGCTGGAGGAGCTAATTGCGCAAGGTCCATCATCTGTTTCAATATTGTCCGCCGATGCAGATGATCAAGATGCATTGGTTGGCCTTGTCGGTGGTGGAAGGAGAAAACAAAAATGTAATGTGAAACTTTAGTTTTTATAATTTGTCTCAGAAATAATGATGTCTACTCGTCCATTTAGTTGGCGGAGCTGAGGGAAGAAATTGCCCAGCAAGTTTGACGACATCTGTAATTTCCCCCAGTTCCAGAATTTGGCCGGAACTTGGGGATAAGCCTGTGAGCGGTGGTGGGGGTGGCGGTGGAGACGGTTATCCGGTGAGCATCCGGCAACCCCAACGAATCACAGTGGCTTTCACCCCACGCGAATTTCCAACTCCGGCGAGGGAGTCTAGTGCGCCCTTGGAAGAAGAGGTATTTATTTTATGCAACGCTGAACTAAAAGCCATAGAATATTTAGAATATTTTGCACCTGGGACAACAAACTCATCCCTCATCATTAATCGTCTCCCTCTCGCCCCCGATTTTAAAAGTATTGGTTATGCCCAGTCCCTGTTTTTACAAGTTATGCATACTACAAAAACTTGGGTTTTTCGAAACCAAGAGAAAGCTATGCCACATAATCCTAATAAATTTATATAAAAGTTCATACTAGTCGTAGGAGGTTCTGCATACATATTTCGTTTTTTGAGAATTTGCTTGGATTTTAGCTACACACATTTATACGTATATATTTGTGTAAAATGCCACTTTTTATTTCAATAATGCCACTTTCACTATCAAGTACATGGTACTTCCCCTTTTAGTTGTCGTATGAGAGATCTGACTCTCCTCTGGCATACTCCTGACACAACTTCCTTCAAGTTCTCAAGTGAACAGACAGAATAATTCAAAACTGTTGCTCTAAAATTCAAGGTGAGGCTGAAAGTAATTAAATTAATCAAGTCAAACATGATGTGCAGACGTACAGTCAATGGAACAAGTATTGGCAACACCCACATAAGCTAAATAAAATTGGCTGTAACTTTGGCATGCATTATCAAATTAGCATGAAAATTTGTACGCAGTTAGCAAATCTAATGTAGTTTTCGATTATAATCATGTTTTACTGATTAAAATTAGATTAACGCAGTTTTTGAATAATTTGCTGGAAAATTTGCGAAATTAACCCACAAAAAGTATTGGCACCCTCTAACTTAAAAAATCATAGAGCAACGAAACGCCAATTTTACTGCGACAAAGTGCTTCTAGTATTGCGTGGCACCTCCCCTCGACCCAATAAGAGCAGAAATAGGTCGTGGAATTTATTCGACAAGTTCCTATATAACGTTTTTTTATATGGCTGCCCACAGTTCTTTTAAACTTTTGACAAGCTCGTTTTCCGACTAGTGGTTTCCCATTGGTCTCTCTTTTCTTAACCCGGACAATCAGAATCACATCAGGAGACTGTGCAGCCAACGAAAGAATCTTTACCTTTTCGGTCTCCAAAAACTTGCATCGTTAATTTGGCTACATGTTTGGGGTCACTGCATTTTTGGAAATATGAAATTTTTTCCTAGGCCAGGTTTTTGTTAAATGATTTCAAATTATCGTTTGGAATGATTGACAACACCTTCCTGGTCATGATTTCATCGATAGTGACCAGGTAACTACGCCGAGAACTGGTCATTTAACCCCAAACCATAATCGATCCTCCTATGTGTTAAACTGCCATAAGAACGTTTTAGTATTTCTGAGCCTTTTATTGCATCCGCTAGACTTGAACCAATTAATGAGCTCCGAATAAGTAAAATATGCCTATGTCGGACCAGTGGGCCCTTTTTCATTGATCGGAACTCTATTTAGGGTCATATTTAGCCCATTTCGATTTATTGAGGTGGTTCGCTTTGGGTACTCTCGCGTCGGTCGGGCTTCTGGAGCCTGAAACCCCAAGGCATAATTTTTGATTGATCACCATATTGTATGATATGTTGACCCTGCAGTTGATACTCCAATTTAACATGGATTTTTAAGCTGAAATCTTCCGCTCTCGAGTGGTTCGTTGCTTGAGTCATCCTTAGGTTTTGGGCTTAGATGACTTTTTTCTTCCGCATCATGGAAAAGTAGAAACTGAGATTGTCATTTTACATTTCTTTGCTACGTATTCAATAGTAAATATGGAAAAGTATGTTTTCTCTTTGATTTTTCGATAGTAAAGCTTTTTTCTGAAAGAGACATGATTATTTCTCGCCGCGCCAAATACAGCTCGTTTTTTGTCGCCATTTTGGCTCCAGACAACACAACTGTAGACTTAAAATGTAGCTAACCTCATATTTTGTCACCTAATTAACTTACCGTAACGAAATGTGGAAGATGGTTAAGAAAATTGTTTTGAGTAATTAATTTGGCCACATGTTGCCAATACTTTTTGCAGGTTTGCATCTGATTCGTTGAGGTCAAAATCAGAATTGTGTTATGTTTACCAGATATAAATCAGAAACATGATTATAATCGAAAACTACATTAGATTTGCTAAATGCGTACAAGTTTTCATGCCAATTTGATAATGCATGCCAAAGTTATAGCAAATTTTATTTAGCTTGTGTGGGTGTTGCCAATACTTGTTCCATTGACTGTATGCGCGAGTGACTTTATGAAATCAAGACTTTGCCACTCTTGCTTGCACAACTCCGGTGGGAATGCAGCAAATTTCGGATGCACTTTTTAATTAATGAAGCAAGCACATATAGAACTCTCGCCAAAACACTCAAAGTGCAATCTGCCTCACTTTTCCTTAAAAATCGCCTCCAGTTACATGAAAATGCAATTTGAAACATTGAGTACACAAACACATCTACGTAACACCAACCAACGAATGCATTTATACTTTTCCAAGGAAAGGCATAAAAGCATTTCCCAGGGCCTTGTTTAGCTGGAGCTTGCGATGTGCAGTACTAATAATGCATTATCTCCGTATAGTCGGGAAAGGGAAGGACCGGAGGAAGCTGAGGCTCTGAGAAGAGAGATAAAATGTTCATGATTTATTAACCGAAACCGAAACCTACTTCCCCGTGCAAATCACTCCTACTTTCTTCGCTCCCAACTTATGCGACATTTAAACTTAAACCCACAATTTCTCGGTCTGCTGAATGTTGAATAAATTAAAAGTGGAGATGCGTAATGCATGCACGTGGCAATATATAATACATATTTATATCTACGTATTTATAATACTGTGGCAGTGCACAATATAGTACTTGACACTGCTCCTACATATATGCAATCGCCCCCACTCTCTTCCTCCAAATTTCCCCTTGAACCATGTGAGAAAAGTTTTTGCGCATATATATATGTGCAGATTTATACATACCCTACGCTACTTGTGTACGTTTGGTCGGACCTGTAATTTGTATGACCATTTTTTTGCTTGCATGAACGTGTTCTAGTGGTTGAAGAAGCAAGCAGAGGCCCGTCATTTGTCTGGATTCAACGAGCCTGACCTTCGTCCCGAGGTGAGAAAATGTTTTTGTAAAAAAATATTATTTTATTTTATTTTATTATCACTTCAAGTTGTATTTTACAAATAGGAACGTGACCCAGACTGGCTGTTACAGAAAGGTCGATCACTCATGAAAGCAGATTGTCACTTGGGAGCCGTGAGTGCTTTTAGTCTTGGCATCAAATTGGCCCCAAAAATTCCGCAACTTTACTCTGAGAGAGCCAAAGCACATCTTCATTTACGGAATTTCATGAAAGTCGTGGACGACTCGTCCGTGGTGAGAGATTTTGTACTCATAAGATAAAGACATACACACACGTGATGAAGTGTGTGGCACAATGACGATGACATAGGCAGTCAGATGGTCTGTTATTCGTCAAAAGTGCTCATCTTTTCATAATATTTACTCTACTGTCAACTGTGTGTTCAGGCTTTGGAACTCTTCACCCCAAAAGTCTCTGCAAATGCTATTGATCGGCTGAAATGTCACGTAACCCGTGCGGATGGCTTTCAAGCTTTGGAAATGTATACCGAGTCATTGTTGGACCTGAAGGAAGCATTGAGACTTTCTCCAGACGATGAAAAGTTGAAACAACGATTCAGTCAAGTTTCTGCCCTGCTGGATGAGGCTCTTGTCAACTCAGATTTAGATTAAAAAATGCATTATAGAACGTTTCTATTCTTCATATTCGCATAAAGTTTATAAAATGTCAAACAGTAACAATTTTTGGAATGCATGCGTGCCACTGAAATGCCGCAAATTGATCGAGTTAGAATTAAAATATTCGTATGAAAATTATGAAAATTATGAAAATCATGTATGAAAATTAAATTGAAACAACTGTTTTTAAAAATTATGCTAACAAGTGTAGTTTCGACCATGTCGAAACCAGCGTATGTATGCAACATCACTGCGTCGTGGTCGAGTGGTTTTCAATCATGAGATACATATGCCGAACCTATGATAGATGATATCAAGATGAGCATCATCCCAAACAGAATTTTATCACAAAAAATGACCACAATGCAAACGCTTGCCACTTCTCCCCCTCCAGAACCAATCAACCAAGAGGTCGAAGAAACTGATCACTGCCCAATCTCTACATGCCCTGGAGCAAGTTATGTTGAGGGAGATGACTGGATACTCTGCGACCAATGCACAAAATGGTATCATTTGAAATGTGTCGCACTTTCCGACGTTCCAGAGGAAGACTGGCTTTGTCCAAGTTGTGTCACCTTTCTCACGCCTACACAATCATCCACTTTACTTTCTCCTGGTCATCCTAATCTTACTCTTTCATCTGGTGGAAATAAGAAAGCAGCAGCAAAGCAGTGGATACAGGAGTCTCTCGTTGCTGTCGACCCAACGGCTCATACGGAAATCTACATTAAAAAGACAGACATTTTTTCCCGTTATTCCACATTTCTCTGTCAGTCTACAGATCCTGGAGTCACCAAAGCCACGCTCGGAAAATATATCCAAATGGCATTCCCAAACACCAAAAGTCGGCGCCTGGGCTCAAGAGGGAATTCCCACAATGTATATGAAGGTATCAAATGGGCAGACACGCCTCCACCAGATCCCCATCAACAAGGTCAAAAGGATTTGGGTGAAATTCTTTCCGGTTTGAAGATGTCGACACCCACCCTGCGCAGAGTACCACGAGGTGCCAGGATGGCCGTCGCTCATTGCCTCACCAAAATTCTCAAAGATGTTGTCGAGTCAGGTGATGAACAAAGTTGGAGAAAGCTGCTACTATTCACATATGCCGCACTTCCCATCCCACAGAGAGCTGACAGGGTCAAGAACTTGACCACTTGGGTGAAGACTCGTACTGCTGCATGGGACGCTAATTTTTTCATCCCAGAACCACATCCACCTCGCCCATCATCCACTAAATCGTCTCATGATGAAACTTCGAAGAAAGTAGAGGCCAAACTTGCTGATGGAGATATTCGTGGAGCAATTCGCCTTGCCTGCTCTGATGACACATTTGCCCCTAAAGATGATACAACTCTCTCTGCTCTCCTCGAGAAACATCCACCTCACCCACAACCTACCAATTTTCCTCCACCACCAGCGGATCCTTCCGTCGCACCAGTTCTTGACCCGGAGGTGTTTAAGGCTATCTCAACTTTCCCCCCAGGATCGGCTGGTGGGCTTGATGGTATGCGGCCTCAAATTTTGAAGGACCTACTGGGATGCAACCAAGGTGAGAGCGGTGTCAACCTTGCAGATGCCATCTGTGCATTCCTCAACTTGACCCTTAACGGCGGAATCCCAGAAAATATATGTCCTTTATTCTACGGGGCGTCGCTCACGGCTTTGAAAAAGAAATCCGGAGGAATTAGACCAATCGCCGTGGGAAACACGTGGCGCCGCCTCGCTGCAAAGGTCGTCGTGGCCCGAATCACCCCGCAATTAATTGACCACTTTTCTCCACATCAGTTGGAAGTTGGCGTAAAAGGTGGTGCAGAAATCGGCGCCCACACAGCTCGAGTCTACTACAATCACCCTCACTCACTTTAGGAACGCTTTCAACGAAATACGCAGGGACAATCTTCTACACACCGTCCGAGACCACTTTCCTTCAATCTATGCCTTTGTCTCGCAATGTTACACCAACCCTTCGTCACTTTTCTACGGGACAGTACCCCTCCCTTCGCTACTAGGCTGCCATCAGGGCGACCCTTTGGGCCCGGCCCTCTTCTCCTTGGTGATCCACCCCATCGTTGAATCATTGGACACGGAACTGAACATGTGGTACCTAGATGATGGCACTGTAGCTGATATCCCAGAGAAAGTGTTAGCAGCTCTAGAGACAATTTCCAAAATGGGTGAACAAGTTGGTCTCCACCTCAATCGTGATAAGTGCGAAGTGGGTATTCTGGGAGCAGATCGAGACACCGCCATCGACATTCTCCGTCAATTTCAACTCCAGGCTCCTGGGATACAAGTAATGTCCCCCGAAAATGCGATGCTTCTGGGTGCCCCTCTCACGAAAGAGGCTCGTCTTGGCCACAAAAACGGAGCAGTTGGCTACTTTCTCCCGCCGACTCAGTAACCTTTCCAGCCATTCAGCCTTTTTCCTCCTCCGAGCATTAATCTCTATTCCACGCCTTATATATTTTCTCCGTTGTGCCCCAACGTGGAGAAAGTTGGACGCTCTTACCCACTACGATGCTGCTCTCAAGGACGGGCTGGAGGCGATCCTGAATTGTTCTCTTTCGGATGCTGCCTGGATACAGTCATCCTTACCTGTGAAGGAAGGCGGATTGGGGGTTAGACATGCTTTGGATGTGGCGATACCGTGTTTTCTTGGGTCCGTCCACAGCGCTTTGCCCCATGTAGAACGTCTCCTTCCAGTTTATCTACATAACACTGACATCGCCATGCAAGAGGGAGAGCAGGAATGGTCCGCCTTTGGACCCACGGAACTACCCCCCAAAACTGTCAGAGGAGTCCAGGGCGCATGGGAGCGTCCAATTCTGGACGTCACTGTGTCCCAACTTTTGCTTGACGCTTCAACTCCAGAAGACACTGCCCGCTATAGAGCACTACGCGACAAATTTGCCGGGGCCTGGCTCAACTCTGTTCCGTCCCCCCAACTTGGTACCCTTTTTTCAAATGAGGCTTTTCGCGTCGCAATCTCCCTTCGTTTGGGTTGCGACATCTGTCAACCCCACACCTGCCCTTGTGGAATTCAGGTCAACTCGCGAGGCTATCATGGTCTCTCCTGCAGGCGAAGTGCTGGGCGGTGGTCACGCCATGCTGCCGCTAATCGCGAGAGCTTTGCGTTCCGCCGAAGTCCCCTGCATTTTAGAGCCGGCCGGATGCTCCCACCAAGACGGAAAGCATCCCGACGGTTTGACCCTCGTCCCCTGGGCAAGAGGAAAATCTCTGGTTTGGGATTTTACCTGTGTGGATACCTACGCCCCTAGTCATCTCCCCAACACAATCCGGCACCAAGGCGCTGCTGCTACCAAAGCAGAAGACAAAAAGAGACGATATTACGCTTTTCTCGAGGACCGCTTCATTTTTATGCCCGTTGCAATTGAGACGGCAGGTATATGGGGGCAAGAGGGATTATCTTTTATTAAAGACATTGGTCAACGGATCGCTGCCACGACTGGAGAACCACGCTCCACAATCTTTCTCCTCCAGCGATTAAGCATTGCAGTTCAACGTGGGAATATAGCTTCAATCCTGGGAACCCTCCCACCAGGAAAAAAATTCAACGAAATCTATTATATTTAAAACTTTTTCTTTTTTTAATGACATTGTTAACAAATTTGCATGTCTTGATAAATGTAACCAGATTTGTATAATTATTATCAAAAAAAAAAAAAAAAAATATTCGTTAAAAAAAGTTTTTTGTTTACAATTACGGAAAATATCACGATATCAAATTCAGAGCATAGTGGAATATATAAATTGATACACAACCAACCTGGCAACAACTTAATTTCCTGGATTAACCTTTTAAAAACGGATTCCACCAATAAGGTGGAGGGCGATTTCGATCTCTTGGCGACGGACTACACCAATAAGGTGTAGGCCAAATTTTTCGCCTTAGCGACGGACTACACCAATAAGGTGTAGGCCAACTTTTTCTCGTTGGCGACGGATTCCACCAATAAGGTGTATGGTTACAGAATTCCGTTGAGACCGGGCTACATCAATAAGGTGTAGGAAAAAATAAAAATAAAATGACTGAGAAAATTTTCTCAGTTCCATTCTTTCCTCCTTATTTGTCGTTGGTTTTTCTTCAAGCCTGAACTAATTTTTTTTAGAGTTTAGAGTTGTAGTTGTAGTGGGGGGAGGAACTCGGAGGAAGTGCATCAGAGGTCACGCCGCGCCCCCGAAAAATTATCCAACATTGGCGCCGCTAATAAATTGGTCGGCGTTGACCTCTGACCTGTATCATCTTGTAAATATGATACAGTTCATATTTTTTTAAAATTATCACAACGTTCTCTTTAGCTAATATATTCGCAATAGTGTCACCACCGATCGGAACAAGTCACAGAACACTGAAGGACAAAATTATAGCTAATAACTTGTTTAAAATATAAAATGCATCCCAAAATCAGTGTCATCAAATTGATGACATGAATGATGACGATTTATTCGTTTAGTTTATTTTTGTAGTACTATCAAAATCAAATCCGATCTTTTTATCAAAATTAATATCGTGTGTTCATTTGGTTCAGTTGCAATTTCATGTTAAAAACCTACTCCAAGCAACTTCGCGGGGCCTTTTAAGACGGCATTATTACATAAAAGCCAGACTCTAATGAACGATTGGCATATAATTTTTAGCCCGAACTAGGGCTTATGTAATCGACCTGTCCGTCTGTCTGTCTTTCCATAACTCTCGAAGGAGTAGGCTGATTTTTACCAAATTTGATACAGACATGCATCTGGGCAACGACCGAGTTCGAAGATGGGTATTAGTGTTTCTCACGGGTCGGGTTCTTGCAAATCCGAAACCCGAACCCGATACTACTGATCCGAAACTTGAGGGCAACCCGAACCCGAAGAACCCGAAACCCGTTTGCAAGGATCCGAACCCGAACTGGCGGATCAAATCCGAAACCCGAACCCGAAAAACCGAATATATTTTAACTTTAAGGGGTGACTGGCTTTTTAGCCTAAAGGTTTCAAACAAACAATACTTCTGTAAATATGACCAAGGAATTATAATTAAGCACATTTCTGCATAAGTACATAACGCATTTTAAAATGTGAATCTTAATTCCTCGACCATAATAATGCAATCTCAAAAAATCGACCATGGATAATGGCTTTCCGTGACATTCAGAAATTTTTAAATCAGTTGAAAACTGAAAATGATTTTCAGTTTCAAGTTTCCAATATTAAAGTAAGCTCAAGCTAACTATTTAGCAAATTTTTGATAAAAAAATATATTTTATTTCAATATTCAAACCATAACACTAATTGAAGACACTTGTGAAAAGAAGTTACGACAATTAAAAATTTGAGTTATTTAATGAATTACTGCAGCATAACCGTCGTAGCAAGTGTGGTTAACACTTTATTTTCTTTTTTAATGTTTTCGTATTCGTTGTGGCAAAAAGTTCTTGTTGGTTCGGGTTTCGGGTTCTTAGTCGGAACCCGAACCCGACCCGAACCCGAAATTTTGGGCTCACATTTCTCGGACCCGAACCCGAACCCGAAAGTTTCGGGTTCTGAAATTTCGTATCCGAAGCAGGACCCAAACCCGATCCGAACCCGAAACCCGAAGTAAGAACCCGAACCCGTGAGAAACACTCGATCAAAAAACATTTAGACCAATGAGTGGTACCCTGGACACGATTATCACCTCGAAAGTATCCCTTGTTAGCTAACTTTTAATTTCAAGTTCTTTGATGAGAAGCCACTAATTGTAAGTATTACCGTGCCGGATTTCATGTTTTTAACGCAATTTCTAAAAATAGATATGGATCACCTCTCTCCCAAATTTCACTTCGATATGACGATTTTGAAAAATCAGTATGGGTCACCCCATAGGGTCCATCAAGATTAAAATTGTTCCAACCTAAATTCAGTTTTTTCTGTTACAATCCACTAGCAACCTTTGTTCCAAATTTCAACTACGTACTACAAATTTTAGAAATCCGTCGGGTCACCCTATCGGGTCTCCCAGGTTTAAAATTTCTGAAACTCCATTCCAATTTAAACGCTTTGAGGTCAGTCGCAATCTTCATACTAAAATTACTGAAAATTATTACTATAGATATTTTTCAAGCTACAAATATTTTACTTGCACTTAAATAATTTAACCTGCTCTAAAGGTTCTTGGTAGTTAAGGGCAACGCATTTGGATAGTAATGACCCCCACCGGCCAACTACTTGGCCGATCATGCCCATCTCCGAACTCATCCTTACTTTTGACCCGAAGATGAAGTGTGCAAAATTTCAAGTCGATAGCTTTTGTTTAAAGAGAGTTATCGTGCGCACAGACGGACGCACAGACGGACGGACAGACAGACATCTTGGTAAATCTATAAGGCCATCTTAAAAGGCCTAAAATGTATTATGTTCTAATTTTTGTTGTCGAATCAGTTCCAGGTCTCTAATAAATCATAACTGCATCAGTAGAATATTCAAAATCGGTTTGCATTAATTCAGTCCCCAACTGATTTTATCACCGCCCCACAAGTCGGTCTCAATGGTATTCTGCCCCCCAGTAAATCCGCCCCCAAATGCAATAGAAACCATTTTTAATTCCGTTTTTAAATGGTATCCAGGTCAAAATTAATTAGTTTTTATAAGGTTAATTGAGTTGGCACTTTGGACCAAAGTAAAAGTATCAACTATTCTTAAATTACCTATGTGTTCGAAGCATCGAATTTTTTTGTAATAAAAAATGTAGTTTATTATGCAAGGTTAAGGCTACTAACATATATTCCAGACTCATTAGTTAGTCCATCATGGCCTATTATTCATACGCTCCAATCTATCCGGTAGAAGAATATGCAGTTGTGGAAGTTCCCATTGAGCCTGTCATCCAACCGGTCGTTTATCCAACAACTAGCAATTTGGGTTACGGACAAAGTAACTGCCTAAAGAAAAAAAAATGTTTAAAATTACTACTGAAATTTAAAAAAAACGTCCTTCTAAATTATCCTACCAGGTCCCATTAATGGCGAAGAATTTTACGTTGAGCCAACATACGAAACGTATGTAGAACCACGTCGTGACGGACTTTACGTGGTCAAACTGGTCCTAATTATCCTTGCTGTTGTAGCTGTGGTTGCCTTATTAGCATACATCATCTACCTCATAGCCACAAGTACTGATGGAAGGAGAGACAAGCGTTCAGGGCCAGTTGCGGTAGTCGTTCCTCCCCCTCGCCGCCCGGTCTTCATTGTTGGCCCTCCCCCTCCCCCGGTCGTCATTGTTCGCCCTGGCCCCTGTTTCCGATGTGGATGAAAGGCAAACGCTATATCCAACTGCCGGAGGTTGAACGTCATATTAACCTGAATCTGAGATTAAATGATACATACAGACGGAATGTGCAAATAAGTAGTTTATGTTCCCAACTCGGAGGACTGATAATGTAAGAAAAACGTGAGACGTGGGGTCCACCAAAATTCATAATACAGGAGATTGTGCTTCAAAGAACGAGAAAAATTTGTCAATAAAATTCGTGAGGCAAGAAGGACCGCGTTTGACACTTGTAAAAGGAAAAATAGTACATCCCTATACGCATAAATATGAAATACATGACGTGTATAATTAAATAACAACGTTTAACTGCTAACGTGGTTAATATTTAATACTGTGAACGTAAAAATAAATCGTTCTTCTAATTATTGTTATTATTATTTAGCATCATTTTATTATTAGTGGTGGAAATGCGTTTATGGAGCACTAAGTTTGTCGTCTGTATATTATGCATGTACATAAGTATTTTTCATATGCATTGGGTAAACATGCAAATCCACTAACAAAATAGTTCCAATTATGCATATGTATATATAAGCTGACGAGGGAACCTCTTATAGTGCCCGGAGCTCCCAGCATAACCACTATGTACATTCGACGTAGATTTTAATACTACTCCGATGATGTGACAAAATTACCGTGTCAAAATGACATTTCGTCAAGTGGTGACGATTTTAGTGACGCGCCGAACGGTCACTTTCGCCCATGCTTTCAAAAGAGGAACGCTTTTCACCACTCGCTCCTCACTCATCTCACTTAAATCTCAACCCATTTACTCACAAGGGATTTTCCTATATCTTTACAATTTACGGATTTATTTGTGCCCTCTTCTCATTCACCATTTGGACAAATTCACAAGCATTGTCTTCAATATGTCTGCTGCTAATGTGAATATTGACCAGCTCTTGATACGTAAAATTGACACCGTCGACATCTTCTTCCTCCCATTTCTGTGAGACTCGTTGCGACAGACTTGCAGAAGCTTCCTCGACGTCTTCCTCATCTTCAGAATCCTCATGAAATTCATTTATTGTATCACTAATTAAATCGTATCCCTCGACATATGTGTCAATATCACAATCATAGTCAAATTCTAAAGTGATAGAAGATTCAAAGTCCGTATTTGAATTATTAACTAAATCTTCCACAAAACGCAAAACCCGGTCGACAATTTCAACATTGTTAACTGGAATTGATGAAGCGTTGAAATCTCCCGAATACCTGTCCTTGGCGATTTTAAGAACAGCCTCACAAATAGATACAATTATAGACGTTCTATAATTTTTAAACTCCGAATATTTAAAAAAAAATATTAAAAGGCTACAAATAGTAAACAAGGATCATATTGTCAACACAGTTAAATTGGATGCGAGTTTACTCAATGAGTAAATGGGTTGAGATGTAAGTGAGATGAGTGAGGAGCGAGTGGTGAAAAGCGTTCCTCTTCATGGCGAAAGTGACCGTTCGGTGCGTCACTAAAGTCGTCACCACTTGACGAAATGTCATTTTGACACGGAAATTTTGTCACATCATCGGAGTAGTATTAAAATCTACGTCGAATGCACATAGTGGTTATGCTGGGAGCTCCGGGCACTATAAGAGGTTCCCTCGTGAGATGCTTACATATTTTAATAACTTCAAAACTATAAGGGTATAAATGAATAGATATAGCACCAAAACCCTTGACTGCAGTCAAGAAATGCAGTTTGTTTCAGTTTTTCAGAGGAAGTATAAGACCATCATCTACATATGTATGCCTATGCATGTAATAGAGAAGGTTAAAGTTGATTTTATCAGGATAAAGTGTTTTTAGTAAGATCTATATATTTTACAGACAGTTTTATCGTTGATTTAGATTGTAATTTCCAAAGTTTGTCGAACTCATAATTACATAATGCAGTCTAGGCATGTGTACAAGTTAAAAGTATAGTGTCCTTTTGATATTGTTGTAAAAATTGTATTACATATAAAATAAGTCGTTCCTGTCAAAAAGCGTCACGTGCCAGTCTAAAGTTGTTAATACGAAGAAGGGCAGTACAATAGTTAGCAATTAGTACATTTGCATGCTTAATATTTCAGACTTTATGTGGTATTGGTACACAATAAGTCGTTATACTACCGTCAGAAATTGTCGTTGCATACTAGAATTTAAGAATAATTTAGTAGTGTCGTAATAAAATAAATAAATAGTCACAAAATTACGAAACAATGAAGAGCTAAACAACTTTTCAAGATGTGGATTTGTAATAAAATTAAACCGTTTATACGTCATTCGTTACCAACTTCATACAAAGTCTATGATTCAAAGTTGGATGTTGGACTTTTAATATCTTCGTAATTTATTGTTGGGGATATAAACTTTGTTTCATATCCTTCTAACGAGTGGGGTGACCAATGCTGTTTTATTGCTTCAAGCGTCTTGCCAGCAGTTTCAAAATTGTAGTTTTGTTGTTGATGACCATGTTGGTTTTGCACAATTTGATCATTCTGCGTATATTCGTAATGTGTTTCAGGATTGGTACCTTTCACCTTTTTTCGTCGTTTAAGTTTAGTATTTTGTCCCCTGGCTTCATTTAGTTCTGGGTTCGGATAATCCGGCGTGTCTTGATGATAGACGTGGAAAGCAGGTTGACAATTGAAATGGCTGCATTGCCCAGATCCAAACGACCCCAACCAAAACGCTTTCTCTAATTGTTTCATGTACTTTCGAGCTTTTCCCTTAGGCATAGCTTGGTCCACGAGGTATGAGGTCAATGTCTTCGCAGTTGGAATTTGTGTGGAATTGACTGGAAGGATGAATGACCCAAATTCGCAAACTATACGCTGAGGACACTTGTCCAAATCCAGTGACCTAAACATACATAAATTTATGTGCGCATATGTATACATGCATATTTTGTACACCATCAAGCAAGCCTATATTATATTAGCAGAGTTCATATACATATGTTTAAAAAATATTTTACGTATTAATTTACCTAGAATACTTCACTAGCAGCCCAGATATGTCCGTTAGCACGATATCCCCCAAAGTCCGCATGTCTTCCATGGCACGGCCTACGTTTTCATTCCTAATTCCAAGAGGATTGGGCAGTTGCGGCATCATCATCATCATCATCATCATCATCATCATCATCATCATCCTAAAAAATTAAGAAATCAGGTCAAGAACAACATACTTCATGACTGAGAATTGACTCTCGGAAATTGACATTGAAATGAATAAATTCTGGAAAACTTGAGGAACTAAAACTCCAATATCAGCAGTGAGCTTACATCATTCCGCCGGGCATGAGGAGCGCGAGGAGAGAGAGTCCCAGTGGGAGCAGGAGGAGGGGGAGGAGTGGGAGAAGGAGCAGAGGGATCCCCAGTAGCAGCAGCAGGGGAAGAAGATAGTGGCTGTCGCTACCATGATGTTGAGGTTGGTGCTGTTGACCCACGACGGGCACGTGGTAGTGGTAGTACGACCCAGCATTGTGACCTCCACCCCCACCTCCGCCACCACCACCACCATGGGCATAGTGGCTGTGATCTAGAATGGATCGAGATTTTTGGGTCAAAGTGCATCAGTGAAATCCTCCATTTTCTCAAACCAAAAACTGAAGGCACTATATTTTTAATATAACCAGGACAAACCTGGGATTGCACCATATCCAGGTCCAGAGTCATATCCGGAACCACCCACGGATGATAAGAAGCAGGCAGCAATCCCAACCCAAGTTAACCAAGAGTTGTGCCCACGTCTCATTGTGGAGATTATGTGCAGCAGCACTTTTATATTTCCCGAAATAGTAATATTTTCAGCAAAAATATAATTACAAAAATATCCTAGAGCAATATTTTTTTCTAAAATAGATTCGGACAGATTAATAACTGCCTTTAATAATCCAAATCTGCTTCTTTTATAGCAGAAATGAATTCCCAACCACGCCCGACCCCTGAATCCTAAATCATGATTGCATACACTAATTAAATCCATCCGATTAAAGTCATTGTCATTGCCAATTCATCGAAAAGTTGTGACAGGAAGAAGCAAAGAAACTGAAATCGAATCTATATATAACTGCATTCATCATAATCCTCGATCTCCACATTTCATGCAATGAATTGCAAACCCAAATCTCTACTCTCGAGTAGAGATGTCAATTTCCAATCCATGAACATAGATTTCGTTGAGATAGTAAAAAACAAACTTTGCTTTTAATTTTATTGCTCCAATTTCAATGTTGATTAAATGAAATCTTGGCAATGAAATTGTATTATTGTTTTATGGCGAACAAAAATTTATGTCGACAATTAGAAATGATGACGATTTTATCCCAATAAGAGTCTCATGATTTAAACTCCCTCTTTTTTAACAAGGAAAATTGGGCCATGTAGTTAACAAAGTTTGATCTCTCTCACTCAACACAAATCATGCAAAAGATTTGACATGATTATAAACAAAAAAGATCATGTTGACAGGTCTCGTGCCCGGATTTTGCTGCATAGCAGGTTTTTGAGATCAGTCTTTGTTTGTGTTTTAAAATATGCAATCGTGAAGAAGTGAGATGAATCAATTCAAACATGCATTGAGACAATATTAATGCTAAGGAAGGCCTACAACATTAAGATGACTATATCTAAATGTCCATTGACGCAGGAGCAACTACTTAATACGTACGTACATACATACATATTTAGTAACTCAATGTTCTTGACACAACGTGTGTATAATAATTTGGCAAATGCCAATTTTGTACGTCAACGAAGAAAAAAAATTATTTGGTAAAGACACAAACTTCTATATAAATCATAGTTTCCGGAAACTATAATTAAACATTAGTATATAAATATTTGCTTACAGTAAGCATGCATGCAATTGCGTATAATGATTAAAATAAATAACTACTGCAAATGAACAAATAGTGAAATAGTTTTAGCAACTGTCGAACTTATCTACGCAAGCAGTATATGTATGTCTATGCTGCATTTTAAAGGCTAGCTGTGTATGTACTTATTTATAAGAGAAATCTGCATTTAACGGAAACTTGTCGCAATTCGACGAATTCAATTCTCTCATAATCTCACCATGTTTTTAGCAGAGTTATTAAGTGGCAATTGTAATAACAATTTATAGAATTGTGACGAAAGTTTGCCACTGGGAAAGAAGATTTTGCAAATAATTGTTACTCCCTTCATTTTAAGACTTGCAGTTAACTTTACAAATGAGAATGAAAATTGAGAAAGTTTGCCCATTTACATAGATTTGGTTTACTAGAGTAATTAAATGAAACTTATTAAAGTAGAAAAATTTTAACACTTAATTTAAATGAAATATTAGTGCATCAAGAGCAATAATTGCTAGTAATGGTCATTAGTTAGGATGGATAAAGAGTAGAATATATTATTGCAGCTACAAAATAAGTTAAAACTGTTGTAGGTCGCAAAGTTTTTGGAAAACTATATGTAAACTACGTTAATCAGCTTCAGAATTGCCCTCCGATAGCGGACATTGAAGCCTTGAAGGATCAAAGAGTATTCCTTAATTCCTCGTTTGGTAAGATATTACGAAACGAGATATTACTTTGCATATTACGATATAGATAGTAATATGCAAAGTACGAGCATTTGGTTGTTAGGGATACGTGTACAAATACATTTTCAAGCCATGCAACATTTACAAATTAAATTCAAGAAATTCGGTTTTTCGTGTCGGTCTGCCTCCACCCAGGCGATTGTTAAATTAAGAGCAGTAGTTTTGTCTAAAGTAATAAAATACATACATTTGTAATAAAGATAAGCCGAGGTGTGCAGTTCATTTTCAAAATGAACTGCCCCATCTGCTTCGATGAACTGCTGACTTCATCCAATGACGATGCCAACCATGTAGATGAAGATGAAGACTTGGAACCATACCCACCGAAGAATCAAACTCCTGTGGTGACCATGTGCGGTCATATTTTTCATGACCATTGTATCTCAGAATGGTTCCGCAGCCCATCTAATGCAAGGTGAACTTATCATTATAGATAAGCAGTCATCAATAATTGCATACCAATTCATTCATACACCAAATCATAATAACTAACTTTTATAATCTTTAAGACAACGAACTTGTCCCACATGCAGAAAGCGAGTGAGACAACACGATCTTCGTCACGTTTGTCTAAATAATCGAAACATTGCTGCTACTGCTCCAAAGGGAAATGTCAAGAACAAACCAAACCCTGGCCATCTTCCTGCTGGAGGTGTTTGCTTCAGTGATGACCATTTTGACAAGTTGAGGTCAGATTTCATTTAGATAAATACAAAATTAACATGTGCATATATTTATTATCCTTTTCAGCCAAGTCTATTTGACGCTGAAAGACGTTTACGACAAGAAACGAGAGGACTTGCAATCGACACATGCAGCAAATGTCATTTTAAGGAACCTCAAAAGAGAACCAGAAAGGTAAGTTTTACATTTTTATAAATTTATGGTTTCGTTTCAAGTGTTATTTGCACAAAATCTTGGTCTGCATTTAAAATCAAATCATCAAAATTTTCTAATGAATTTTTGTTCATCAGAATTCCGACGCCTAAGAACTACACGGATATTCCAGCCAAGAAACAGAACATTTACCCAAGCAAACATACTTAACCATGCAACGAACTAGTACAGTAAGTAATGTTAGGAAAATAGTCTTCCCACAAGATGAAACGAGGGCGAATCAAAGATAATAAGTCTTGGCTAAAGTATGTACATATAGATTTTACATACACAAAATAATCGGCTTGTTTAGAAAATCTTGGAAAATAAATGTAACGTTACGCTATACATAATTCAGCAATTCTTTAACCAAAATTTTATAACCTGAGATTTTCATAATTAAAGTTTCGTACAGATCAATAAATAATAGATAGATAATTATTGTAGCATACACAATTTAGCTAATCGTAACATCGTAACTCGTAAGCCATAGGGCTTATGCAACCTTCATGCCTGTCTATCTCCTATATGTATCTTCATATTTTGGTCTATGCAAAATCCAAACACGTAGAAAGGATGTTTTTTAGAAGTATGTACCAAATTTTTTAAACAAGAATGTGAAATGTTATGTTATATGTAGGGTTTTACATTGTCAGTGTCAACGGAATAAATGTCATGTCATGGCATAAATGTCATGACATGTCAATTTGTCAATTTTTTGTCATAAATGTCAGAGCTTCAAAATGTATGACATTTATGACAAATATGACGGACATTTATGACATTTGTCATAATTGTCAATCTAAATATGCCCCGTGAATTGGTGATCTTGGTAGCAGCTATTAAAACTCTTCTTTCTCTCATTACAATTCAACGAGTCAACAAATGTTCTTGTTTTATCGTCATTCACTCGTGTTTATATAAGTATATCCAAGTATAACCTCAAGGTAAATTACACCCGTTCAAAGTTTCATTCAATAACTTTAAGGTTAGGAATTTCCTCTTTTCCACCTGCTTCAATTTGATCTATAGTTCCCTTAGTTTGACTGCCAAGTAAGATTCAGTCTGTCGGTCTATAATTGTAAATATTTAAATGTTGTAAGCATTGGTAGCAGTCATCTCAATTAGTTGCAGTTAACTCTACCAAGTTGGTCGTAATTAGAAACTTTTGGAAAATATGAACCGAGCTGGCTGCCACTTCTTGCTGGATGAATTATGTATGGAGTAAATGAATATATGTATGACCTTACTAAACTCCGTAGACTACCAGTGGTCCAAGCTTCATAAATATTTCTCATGTTTAACGAAAAACATTTTGTGTTATCGGAAAAGACACTCAGGGTCAATATAATTGGAAGCAACATGTCTGCCAACTCTTCCAAATAAATGCTCCAAGCTGATGATCCGAGACAAACGGAATAAGTTGTAATTTTAAGAGCGAAAGTTATCAATATATTTAATATTTTCAGTGACGTTCGTAGTAAAAAATTATATGAGGAAAGATGTGTAGCTAAGAAACAAAATATATCGCCTACGTTGATTTTTTAGTTGGGGGAAATGGAATAAAAAAATGAAAATGTCATAATTGTCAATGACAAGTTGACAGAAAAGTTGACATTTTCGAATTTGTCAAATTTTCATAAATGTCATAATTGTCAATAAAAATAAATGTCTGACATTTATGACACTTATGACATTTATGACATGTCAAAATGTCATGACAAGTTGACAATGTAAAACCCTAGTTATATGAAAGAAGTGAAATATGCAGCAAATGAATAATGAATCGCTACTTTCTCCACTAGAGTTCATCCTCAGCCATTGAGTTTCCCATCACACTCAACTGGGAAAGCTCAACAAGCAAATAGACCAAAGAAATTCATACAATTTCGCACTAGATGATCTGAAGATACCTTCGCAAGACGACAGAATTTCAAGTTTCGGAACTGAAATACAAAAATTCTTAGGTAAGTAATTTCAATTTACGAAATAGTAGTTTTGTTTTGGTACGCGCAGTGCCATTCACTCCACTAAAGAGGAATCTTAGGTGCGCGTGCACTTTTACTCGTCCTTCCACCAATGAATTAGATTAGATTTATTAAAAACGAACACATATTTAATGTGTTACACATTCATAAAATATAAGATACACTTAATTGGGGAATAGAGGGAAAACCTCTAATTGATCCGGATAGGCTCCCATATCACCATTCGACCCCTTACAAGATTTCAAAAAAATTGACCTATCATTGAATTCCTCTAGTTATCGTTTATTCACCAAGTGTACTCGATTGTAGATTGTAGTTGAAAATTTGTAATTTGCAGGAAATGAGTCGCGCCCTTCAGCTCTTGACGAGGGGGTCATCTCAACTACAACGGTCTGCACAGGGGGGTGTCACTTTCGTGCGAAATGCTGGTGCCGTATCCCACGGCCCTCAACTTCCACCATTTCCTCCAGGCCCCAGACAGATGGAACAGGCAAAAAACTGGTATTCATTGTTTTTTATATTCCTCCAGACAAAACTAATTCAAGTCAATTTAATGAAGTCTGTGGCTACATTATTACGTGTTTTATATTTGAAGGCTTGGATCGTTGACAGTCTTTGGTGCGACGGCATTCACGGCTCTTTGCTACTTTAGTGATTGGAAAGTCATCGTTGAGTACATCCCATTCTACAATGGAAAATTCAAAAAAGAATAGTAGAAAAACAAATTAATATTTTAAATCCATCTACGTAGTCAGACAGCCAGTCAATTATCACCTAATGATTGACTAGATCGAATAAGCTAAATTAAAAGTTGTAGCATTAAATATGTAAAAACAAAACAGACTAGATAATAATGCCAGCAGCCAGTCACCTACAATTATGTTGCCAATTTCATTTTGGAGGGTAACAGCTTCGGCGATGCATACATGAATAAACACGAATACATGTGAATAAACAATGATAATTGAACATGTGCTGTACGCTATTAATTATACATTCAATTAAGGGAGTTTATGCACGAAATTTGTCGCAAACTAAGCACGACCGACAAGTACATCACAAGGGAATTGAGATCAATTTATAAATATAAATCACATTTTAATGTGCATTCAATGTTAGCAACTATTAATTCATTTCGGCTTCCACTTTATCCAGTAACCGTTTTGTTTCTTTTCTGAAAAGAATAACAACAATCGATAATGAAAATACAGTCTAGTAGTGAGTCGACTAATAGTCGGGTAGTAAGGAATTTTGATAATTATTGTATTGAACATGTATCTCACATTTGTTGATTTACTTGGTACAAAGGCTGTACAGCTTTGTTTAACTCTTCACATTTAGCCATAACTTGATACATTACTGCAAACAACAAATGAAAATATTCTTATGTAGCATTACAAACGAAATATGCCTATATCGCAATTTGTGATGAAAGCCATAACTTACAAACCTTTTATTGAGGCGTCTGCTGTGTCACACAACTGACTTACTCCATCACTTGCTGTAAAAACGCAGTCTACAGTCATGGAGGACAACTGTAAAAAATCATTAATACGTTAATACTTTATTAATAATCATTATTAATTTTCGATTCAGTGCCACATGATATTCATTTTTTTACCGAATGTAAAATTCCCGTCAAATTTTCAGTTAACGTATCAACGGATTGAGCCAACTTTTTGGCTTCCATCTCCATCTCATTAACCATCAGATTCAGATCAGAGACACAAATATCATCTAAATGACCATGTTCTTGAACGGACGAATTTCTTGACGTTACTACAAGTCATGTCATCATGTATTATTAACTCTACCACGAGGTTATCTCATCAGTCAGTATGATGACAAATATAATCAAAGTAAAACAGAAAGTCGTAGTTTACCAATATTCCTCTGGTTTGGACTGGTGGAGATTTTCATCCTCTCTGTGAGATCTTGGGCAACATATGTGACCTGTTGCCCTTCCTGAGTCACGACGCCGTCCATACTGAGGTCGCCCACCCAATTCCTCGCCTTGTTCAGAAGACGCTTCACGGGCAGAGTCATCTCATGGTCAGTTTCCTCCTCCCCTCGCTCAGACACGTTAATCTCATGATACGAACTCGTCATAGCCTTAAACCATCACGGGACAATTGAATTAACTTATTTCAATTCCAGTCTTCAACAAATACGTGAGAAACTGAGAAAAGGATTCTCAGCAAATCAAAATCAATTTAATATTTACGACATTTATTCATTATTACGTATGTATGTATGTATGTATGTATGTATGTATGTATGTATGTATGTATGTATGTATATCTTTATTACTGTGTCTTTCCCAATTCATTGCATACATCGTACAAATGCAACAACAATGGTCTACCATTGGTGACACACTGGTCAATATACCATATATTTAACGTACCGTTGTATCGTCCAAACTACATGCAGGGTGGTTCCCTCCAGACTGGTCCATTGTGAATTTTGTGACACGGTGACCCAAACAATGCCAAGCAAAGTAAACAATTCAAGACTATTTGATTTGTGAATAACACACCAAATCAACTAAATAATTCTTTTTTATGAGGAGAGATGAGACTCCATCTTCGCGGTGATGTTGACGTACTATGATTCAATCCCTGCGGCAAGTTGCATGCAGTGTGTGGTTTTTGTCATTTGTTGTGAGGTTGTCAATTCTTCCATACGGCACCGATAAGGTAAAAAACTTTGAACTTGCATTAACTTAACCAAACTAACAAAGCTAATCGAAATTTCGTGCATTAAGTGGTTACTTTCATAGGTGGTGGTTAGTTGCGCAGGTACCGCCAAACTATTGAAGTTCGTCATATATAAAGCCTAATTTTATTATTATGTCTTTTCAGAAAATTTGCAAGTAATTCAAAATGACTTTGGACATGGATCTTTTCCGCTCGGATAAGGGAGGCGATCCTGATAAGATGCGGGACAACCAGAAGAAACGTTTTAAAGATGTAGGCCTCGTTGAAACGGTTATATCCGAAGACGGGAAGTGGCGTCAACTCCGGTTTCAAGCTGATGCTTTCAATCGTATCAAAAATGTCCTCTCCAAAGCAATTGGAGAGAAGATGAAGAAGAAGGAGGATGTTGGCGAGAGTGAGGTGCCTCCGACAACCCCCGCATTAGATCAATTGACAGCCGAGATTTTGACGCCAATGTCTCTTGGCCAGTTGAAAACTTTGAGGTAGGTTTTGTATAGATACATAAAACATATCGTCGTAACCTTTTCCTTGTAAATACTACTTTTAGCAGGGCAGGAGAGAGTAATGACGCATGTTTAATTTGATCTATTTAAAAAATCAATAACAGAGCCAATTTAGACAAGGCAATGGAAGAAAATTCAAAATCTCTCGTAGAAACTGAGACAGCAAGGAATGAAGCGTTGAAGGAAGTTGGAAATTTATTGCATTCCTCAGTTCCCGTTGATGATAATGAGGATAACAATCGTGTTGAGAGGACTTGGGGAGATGTCACTGTTAGAAAAAAATACTCACATGTTGACCTCATCGTTGTAAGATAAAATATAGAAATTAAATTGTTCATACATGTCTTGATCTTGAATATAAATCCTGTTCAACTGCTGGGTTGAGTAGATGATTGGAGGAGCTGATCTTGAACGGGGTGCTGTTACTGCTGGTGGTCGCGGATATTACTTAACTGGCGCAGCCGTGTACCTTCAGCAAGCTTTGATCCAACTTGCCACTCGAATGTTGGGAGATAAAGAGTATACACCATTGGTGACCCCATATTTTATGAGGAAAGAGGTGATGCAGGAAGTTGCTCAACTGTCTCAATTTGACGAAGAACTTTACAAGGTACATTAACAATTACATTTATTATATTATAGATTTGCACAATTATTGTTATTTCTATATTTTTCATAACTAACTTTATTTCTTAGGTCGTCGGAAAAGGTGCTGACGACAAAAGTCTGGATGAAAAATATTTAATTGCCACTTCCGAACAGCCCATCGCCGCTTTCCATCGTGATGAGTGGATTGCTGAATCTGCTTTGCCACTCAAATATGCTGGGATCTCTTCCTGCTTCAGACAAGAAGCTGGGTCACATGGTCGCGACACGCGTGGAATTTTCAGAGTTCATCAGTTTGATAAGGTTTGATTTTGATGATTTTTCTACTGCCGAGTACTGCCAGTATTTCTCTAATAAAATTTTTACAACTAAGCTAACAAGTTTAGACGAGGCTAAAGCATTTTTCTTTAAACTTAACTCCAAGACACACTCTCGAACTACAAATTAAATTGCTTAATTTCAGGTGGAACAATTTGTAATAACGAGTCCCTTGGATGACAAATCTTGGGTAATGCTGGACGAGATGATTGGAAATGCTGAAGAATTCTGCAAAGCTCTAGATCTACCTTATCAAGTCGTATGCATCGTTTCTGGTGCATTGAATAATGCTGCTGCAAAGAAGTGGGACTTGGAGGCCTGGTAGAAAGAAATTATACACAAATATTTTGTAAGTAGCTATTTTGCAAGTCTCATGTTTTGTTTCGTCTAGGTTTCCAGCATCAGGTGCCTTCCGAGAACTTGTATCTGCATCAAATTGTTTAGATTATCAGGTATGTATGCGGGATCGTATTTACATCAAATTCTTATTCAAATTATTATCATCACGATTGACATGTTTTAGAGCCGAAGGCTTCGAATTCGCTATGGACAAACCAAATCTGCTACAACACAGTATGTCCACATGCTAAATGCCACAATGTGTGCTGTCACCCGAGTTATTTGCTGTCTTTTGGAGGTAACAATAATTTTCTGTAGTGCTGCGTAGTAGTACACTGACATACATCTTTTAAATCTGAAATCCTCATCTCATCAATATATTATCAATATATTCTAGAATCATCAAACCGACGACGGAGTAAAAATCCCTGCAGCGTTAGCACCATACATGCCCCAAAAATACAAGGAGTTCATTCCATTTGTTAAGCCGGCACCAATCGATCAGGAGCAAACAAAAAAGCAAAAGAAACAAAAGGATGGCAGTAATAATGTTAAGGGAGAAGCTGCATAATCTGTCGTACTAATAAATAATAATGCCTTCTTAACTTTTAATAATTTTCATGAAATATCAACCAACCAATGAAATGGTGCATGGAATTTTTCATGATATTCTGAAATTTATGTCTACATCAAAACTATCCTGAACTGAAAATTGAGAAAATAAAAAGATTGTTTCGGATGAATCAAACATTGAGTCGTATTTATTCTCATTAGCATGAAAAAAGAAAAACTAACCAAATCATTTGTTTCACAAACACTATTATTAAATATTAAATACACTTAATACGAAGCTTTTGTCGGCGGAGCAATCAGTGTAATACTGTCCCCACGAACATAAAGCATTGGAATGTTTCTTCTTGTGGTCTTGTAAATTTCTTCATACGTTTCATCGTCGATTTCCACAATGGTGATGGTCTCTTCCACATCTCCCAACACGAGATTCAAGTGTTGATCAAACGCCTAAACGCCCAAAGACAAACTTTCATCACGTTATACTTTAATTCATTTTATCCAATTCTAAAATGTGAAATTATACATGTAGCTTGCCACGGAGCTCACGATCATTCTTCATTTTTACAACAACTCTTTCATCAAGGCTGAGAAGGAGGAGGTCTAATGGTTCTTTCAATTGGATTTCTGCATCCCCCACTGCGCCCTGCAATAACAATCATTAATCACCAATAGTAATTTTATTTACCATTTACTAGTAGTCTGCACTGCAGAGAAAAGTGAAACTGAAGAGTAACATGTTTGCGAATTCTAAAAAATAAATAAATAAACAAATAATTAACAAGTTTACCTGATCAATGTCATCTGCCATGTTGAGTTGTTGATGACCTTCTTACAGTGAACTTTGAAACAAAGTTTAAAAGTTTAATTAATCGCCAATTTGACTTACAGATTACGGATGATGATGAGCGACAAACAACAAACAGCCGGCAATATGCGTTTAAATTTTGCGGTTGAAATGCTGCAACTTTCCTAATTTCGTGCATTCACCACGTAACCGCGGATTAGTGCATTCTTTGCCAATTTTAGGAAATGTAAAGTTTTATCCACTTTAATCATTTCATTTCTGACTGAAATGATTGCATAGGGTCATGTTTACTGTAGAAGGAGGTGTTCGGAGAGCTATGACACGATATTTGTTGGCCTCCCTGCCGTGGGTATATGGTCAAAGTTGTTTCGCAGTTTGGGCTTAGTCGAGCACATGTAGTGGACGAGGGTAGTTGCGTTGCTAGCGGCGGTCGTCTGATAAGCCATATTGATAAAATGCAGCAAACGGATAAGTCTGGCTTCCCACGCCTCTTTTACTCAAGCTTAATCGACGCCAAGGATGACATCGAGGATGTAAGTGCAACACTTTGAACCAAAACATACAACTCTCTTGGTTGTGAGGATAAATAAAGCTACTTTGTAGAATTCAGGGGAAAAGTGACAAAAGAGTGATTAGCACGGGTCCACGTCACAAACGTTGTGTTGTTATCCAATGTTGTTACCTGATTCACTTATACAGTTCCTAATTTTTGTGTACACAATTTTCGGTGATTACATAAATGAAAATTTATGCCAAATTAATTGTGATTTTAGATCCAACTTTTTAAAAAAGTTTTTTTCAATGTCATTTTCTGTTTGTGCTGTATTTCCAGTTTTGTTTTTAAACTTGTAATTAACTTGTAATTAACTACGCGAAGTGTACAAGTAGTGATGCGTTCTTTGGTACTTAGTTTTACAGTGTTATAGATTTGCATATGAGAGTATGAAACAGTTTGTTACTGGCGACGGGCGTACGGCGGTGTTACTTTGAGTAATATTTGTAGATATTATTTTTCCGCTCAAGTAACTGAATACTAATGATCACTACAATAATTAGTTAATTGTCAGTGATATTGTACCGTGTGTACAATGCAGTAATGTAATGTGGGAGCATGTTAACCTCTTGAAATATGCTCAAACTCGGCAAGACCAATAGGTTCATAACAAGTTGCCGTTCTTTACCTCGTTTCTAGCACAATTTTGAATCGCTCTTTTGTGATCCTCTTTCTTGGCACCCACACAGCAAAAATTATTCGTCTTTTCGAAATTTCAAAAGAATGGGAAATTTTCGTAACAGTTAATAAATTGGGGCCCCTAAATCGTTAAAAATGATCTGATCTAGATGATGTATTTGGATGGTTAAAATCCGGCGACAAAGATAAATGAGAAGAGGTTTAAATATTTACCAAAATATGGGATGGGATTGGTCAGTTGTTATTTTCACATTGTTCTGAACCATACTTTTTTGAAAGAATGTATATCCGTAGGAAATGCACAGTTGTGAATGTAAACTAAATAAGCTAATTTAAAGTAATTTATTACAAATTTGCATTTAAAACACCATTTAATCAAATAATAAGATGCGCATTATATAATATCATGTGTTTTGGATGTTTTATTTTGGTTCAATGTACTGAATCACACTTGATGACTGCAATGATATGTGCAGCATTTTTATTATTATGTAATATCAAGTTTTATGACAATTACAGCATACTAATAAGTTTTATAATAAAACACTGATGGAACACGGAATGATATATTTACAAGAAATCCAAAAACTAGATCAACCCAATTATAATTCATAGGTGATAAGTTTATTCTAACTATTTCAGAGACTCGACAAAGCCCGTACCATTTTACAACGCTTGGTTGGCGTGGGTTCAGAACGTGAAGCTCATGATGCCCTTCAAAATGCTGTATGTCGCGACAAAAGTACACACGATGACATTTCCTTAGGACTTCTTGCAAATATATTAACGGATGCTAATTCTGCACAAAAAGTAAGCCCATACAATACAAATTCTTAGTAACTTTTATATTTGCTTTGTTGCTGGCAATCTTTTCGTGTTTTAATATTTTTATTCGTACTTTGCTAGTGTTTCCGGGACCTCACATTTGTAACTCGGGACAATATGGCAGTCGTAGTAGATACACTGGTGATTATTGCGACAGATAAATACCAAAAGTTGACTGATGTGTCGAGATCACAGCTAATTTGGGTTGTAAAGTGAGTGTCGTAGTATTAAGGAAGGGTTAAATATACCAAGTAAATTAATTAATATTGTTGCACAGAGAATTAGTAAGAGCCAGCATGGTTAGTGCGGATCTTTTATGTTGGAGCGTGCTGAGGCAAATTGCTGGGGGAGATATAACAAATAGGAACCTGTGGCTGGCAGAGAATATGCTGGAAACGCTGGTGGAAAATCGAACATGGTTGGAAAAATTTCCAGTTCTAATTGGTTCCGTGATATTTACGTATCTTCGCATTCTTGAGGATCATTTCCCGAGTCATCTTAGTAATCTCAGACAGAAAGAAGTATTAATTTTTATCTTACATAAATTTAATGTGGCTAAATTTGATAATTGCCACTCTTATTTGATAAAATTGTGCAATACTTTAGGTCAACTTTGTAGTCAGCTTAATCCGAGACCACTTTGCCAGTGTGATTATGAATCCGGTTCTTGGAATGGGCCGTGATTTTGTCCGACTTCTTCAAGGAGTATCCAGAATTCCTGAAATACAGGGCGTCTGGGTGGATCTCTTTTATAATCCAAAATCTATATCACCACATTTCACAGGGGTTTCTCAACTTTTGAACATTAGGACATCCAGAAAATTCCTCCAGAGCAGGTGAATACAAACTGTTCCAAGCTAGAGAAATTATTTATGATTTTATAAATTTTTATAAATATTTTTATCTTAAATTAAAATGATAGTACACATTTTTATATGCAATGTTTGTATGTTGCCAATCTAGACTGACTCCAGAGATGGAGAAAAAAATTTTCTTCCTCACTAATAATACAAAGTTTGGAATGCATAAGCGATATCAAGAATGGTTTCAACATAAAGTAAGTCAACATAAACATAAGCTAATACATAAAGCTCAATCAAGATTAAGAATAATTTATTTATTAAACAATTGCTCTGTTATTCTAGTTTTTGGCAACCCAAGAATCTCAAACACTTCGGGGTAAGCTTTTTTTTGTTAGAATATATCATAGCACGAAAGCATGATGTAGTGCAGCATGAATGAATGTTAGTCCCGCTATAGTGCGAGTGCCGTTCATTAAGTATATGCAAATGATTATTTGTCTTTTGCATGGATAGAATGATGGTGGATTTCTACCCATTAAGTCAAACCATACATTTTTTGTCGGGTTCATCTAAACAAATTGTATTCTTAAATTTCAGCTGATATAATTAGATTTATCGTGGGAGTTATTCATCCACCAAATGAGATTTTATGTTCGGATATCCTCCCTAGAGTGAGTATTAAATTTATCGATTTATGAAAGTCGAAGTATTCCGCTGTATGTATCACATCCTAAAGCAATGATTTAATATTAAAACATTTAATCAATTAGTGGGCAGTTATTGGATGGCTGCTAACAACATGTACCAGCCCAGTGGCTGCCGCAAATGGTAAGTTCGAAACCGTTAAGAAGATATAACCAGCAAGGTTGACATTAAGGTCAACATTTTTAAGAAACATACTAAATAATTTGAAGGGTTGGTTGCTCGAAGGAATTTAATTTTATTGACTTTGGTTTATCTTCTAGCTAAACTTGCTTTATTTTTTGACTGGCTCATTTTTGACCCCGTGAAAGATAATATCATGAATATTGGTGAGTATTGAACGAAAACAATAAAATGAATGTAATTTAAAATATTGTATTAATATCTTGCTCTGTTTATTGATGTTTAGAACCAGGAATTCTTGTCATGCACCATAGTATCAGACCACATTTAGCTATTACCGCAACGCTTATCGACTTTTTAATCCGGGTATGATGAAAATTATTAGCATTGTCAAAAATATCGTATGTGGTTAAAGTAGCAAATTTTAATTATATATTTTAATTTCTGATTAAAAGCAAATTACTGAATTTTGGCCTGACGGCTCGGATAAAATCAAGGAAGGTATTGGCTCAGCTTTCCGAACAATTTTAGAAAAGAAAGTGCTTCAATCGCTAGATCCAGTGTTAGATAATCCCAAGTTAGAACCAGAACTAAGAAATTCGATACAGGACGTCTTAATTCCACTATTCAAAAGAGGAGATTCTGGTGATCCAAATCAACAACTTGGTAATAACGGCAATGGAGTTATTGGTGGTGAAATTAGGACAGGCGATGTGGCCGAATCCCTTAGTCTTAACTACAGTGATAGTGAAAGCAGTAGACTAGAAAATAATTCAAACAATGAAGTGAATCATATTAGTAAAGTAAAATCTGAGCCACAACAACAGCCTTCATACTCAGTTCCAATAGTGGACTTGGAGTTTAGTGACGACGACGATGATAATGATAATGACGATCAAGAGGATAATGAAAAAGACGAGGATGACCCCATTGGAATTAAACCAAGTGAGTTGTTAGACATTGTGCCAATTAGAATTGATTAAACAGATATTTTCATAAATTATTATGTTTGTATTCCAGTTCTTAGCAGCGGTTTGCTGTCTAGAGGAAGCCCAACCACTAGCGTCAGCGTGGAAGAAGCCGAGAGGTCCAAAATATTTGATCTTGTACAAACGGTATGTATTTAATTTATTATTTTGTATTTTCAACATCATTCTGCACGTTCATATTGTCCCAACATGGGTTCACATCCCCAGAATAACTTGACAAAAGCACAAATATCAACCCATGAATCAGAATCGAGAAGAGATAATGATAAACATTTGTTAGTAGAGTAGCCTTTGGGTGACTTATCTCGAATTGGGTTATGAAGGCCCAATAAATAAGCCACGTACCCAGCCGCAATCAGTATTGCTTCGATTTTCGCCTTGTCCTTATCATCACACTTTCCAACAAGGTGGCACTTGACACTGGGAGGTTTGGGGCGAGATCGTGTGATTCGAAAGTATCGACTCGCTCCGTCACTTCTTCCTCCGGTCAATCGATTTTCAAAGTCCGGTGTATCTGACCAACCAAAGTACCACATATCCTGGCTGAGCACTACATACAGGAATGACTTCCCCTCCTCTGGTTGTTGCTGTTGTGTTGCTGTCGAACCGAACAGATACTCTCCGATAAAGGGACAGGAAAACTCGACCCTCTCTGCTAACTTATATTCTCGTTTGATCTTGAGTTTCATTCCCAACTGTTTCAATCCTTCGTCTACTTCTCTCTCCATTCCATAGCAGAGGGGGATGAAATCATCCAAGTTGCGAATGGGTTGCGTCCCGGGCGCAAGTTTCATAAACATGCCGATAGTCTAAAAATACATAAATAAAATGTTAAATTAACAACTTCGTGGTTAATATTGCACATTTTTGACTTAATTTAACTCACTGATTCTAATGATAGATTTTTGAGGGCATCGTTCTCATCCACGAAATGGACCATTGAAATTGAACGGGCAATGTGCAAAGGTCCCTCCGATTCATCGTCTTCTTCTTCCTCCTTGGCGATATACAATTTCCAGTTTCTGTCTTGCAAAATCCTGTTATTCATGACAAGTGACGCTTCATTCGTTTTCACCGAATCGGATGCATTTTCCTTAAATGAGTGAGCCAATTTAGTATGCATCAAGACAAGAACTTCTCTCTCCTTATAATCGGTGACTTTGAACACAGTATAGATTGGTTTGGGCTGATGATGAAAACATTTTGGAAGTACATCGCTAGCGAGAGTTTTTTGATACTGGTAGCAGCCTGTAATAATCGTTAATTAATCAAATAGTTGGATAATGATAAACGTGAAATATGCTTTACCTGATTTAGTACAAATCCGTTTCGCTTCGTAAATTTGCACTCCTTTACTTAATTTTAACTTTTCAACGCACAAATGAATTATTCCGGTGTGCGGGGCCTTGTGAATTACGAGGTTCCACTCGGGCTTTCCAATGATTAGGACGCGTCCCCCTCTCTTAAATATCTCCTGGAACAGAGCCTCTCTTTGATCATTGTCCAAATTCCCCAACTCCTGCGACAACATTGGTTCTGGAGTGGCTTGGTCTGCATAGTCCACAGGAGAAGTAGTAGCAGAATCAATACCGAGTAAATTAAGTATAGTCGTTTGGATGAGGTCGGACCCTTTATCTGTATAGAATACAAACGACTAATTAAGTAATGAACTCTAATTTATAAATCTCACTTTTGTAATAATAATAAATATATACCTGGGTTCTGTTTCCCGACTCTCTCTGACGAATCCAAATACCTAATTTGAAATTCTTCGGCAATATCGCCCGCTCTAACTACCACCCCCCGATCATCTCGTTCTCGCTTCACTTGGTCGACTTCCATTTCTTCCTGTCGAGGAATATAGCGCCACTGGACTGGAACAAAGTCCTCATCCTCACGTGCCAAACTTCTCTCTGTGACGGACTTTCGCTTCGTCTTGTAAATTTTGAGGGGAGGGTTTAAAAATCCAATAGATTCGGGTCCGCGAGCAAGGGGGTGTTTACTCGTCTCAACATCCAGTAATTTTGCAGTGGTGGTTGCTACTGCTTTCACTCCTTTTGTACTGAAAAGATTTGAGAATTTACAACATATAAATTCATATCTAAAAGTTAAATGAGATTCCTGTGGGAGGAGGAAAGTAAAAAACATACGCTTTTTTGGTAGTGGCGACAACATCACCTGCTTTAGGCACTTGTTCCTCCTCCGGCACACGTTTTCTTTTAGTTGTTCGCTGGGTGGGGATGAAATCGTCATCATCAGACATGGGGTCGTGCATCTTGTCTGAGGATCAAAAGTCTAAAATAAAGACAAAGAGCGTGCAAATATAAGTTCACTAATAATAATTAACTTCAATATGTGAAATGGTGCAACTTTTCATAATAATAAGAAATAGGGTTTATTGTCACCGACCTTGTACAACTATCTATTTCGAAACTGGGCACTTTTAAAAACAAATGACACACGAAAATAAATCCCGAGGTTTGTCCGGACTCCGGAAGAAAGAAAGTCAACCGCGGTAGTCAGATGACATATATCGAGCAGTAGTGCTATGCTGTCACCATTATGTGTTTACTTTTCCTTACTCTTGCAGCTACCTACAAATCTCAGGATTCCATTGGAATCCATGCTAAGCAACCCTACCAGTGATAAGACAGATAATTTAGATGAAGTTCTCGAAGAATGTTCTTCCGTCCAAATCGAAAAAGAACAGAGAGAAGGTACATATATGTAGGATATGACACCAACAGCATATTTTGTACTTTTTATTCAATGATAATTTATTGTTTTTTTCAGCGGTGGTTAAAGCTCTAATATATATTTATAAAAGTGAACTCCTTTCTCCTTGCGTCAACGAAGAAGAAAACTCCTTAATGTGAGTAATATTTCTGTCTTGAAATGTGTGGAATATCTAACTTATCCATTGCATGTATGCATGCACTAGACATTTGTGTTGATAACTATTTTGTATACATTTTATGTAGAGATGATAACGTATGTGCATCGCCGGTGATTGAAATTCTTCAACCTTTACTTCAGTCTAAACCGTCTGATAAGACTCTAAAATCTAAAAATTTACTACGAATCCTGACTGACATTGTCCATGCAGTGCCTAGAATTGGTTACAAAATTTTACTTATACTAAATCAATTGTGAGTTTATTTTATCTAAATCCAAATTATTCCCAATATTATATATTGAGATATAGTACTTAAAAATAACATTGATTTTTTAGAGCTGACAACCCAGACGGACCTGCTGGGAAAGATGAGTATTATCCAACGCTCTACAAAAATTTATGTATTTTTCGGGGTATAAAATTGGAACAAGCGTTGAATCATGATGTGAAAACTTGCTGGGAAACGGAACCAGTTGCTGTTGGGTTTCTATGTCCTATAATTTATGACTGGTACTCTGCAGAGTCTGTAGGATCTACTGATATTTTAAGATTAGTCGTTTCTACAATTGATTCATCACAACTTCAGGATATAGTTTGGAGGGTGGCCCAAGGGGATTTCATTATGTTGGACACACCAGACATGTTAAATACAATAAGTCAGTTTCAAACGTTAGCATTATTGCTGCTGCTGAAATTTTATTATTATTGTAAGTATTATTTTGTAATTTTTACAGCCAAAACATTAGAATGGGAAACCTGGGAACAACACTGCGTTTGGACAATTTTAGCAGCACATCAGTTTGAAATAGACGATTATCTCCCAGTTATACCAATTTTAGACTATAAGAACAATGCAGAAGCCCTGACAGCTCTCTTCCTTAAACTCAAAAGCGAAAAGTATGAATTATGAATTCTTTAAATGATACATTCTCATTGCAAAAAATCTGTAACTAATTAATCATGTATAATTGAATACCTTGAATGTAGGCCTTCCGACAAAATATTGGGGCCTTGTTTGTGTAGAAAACCTAATTCGAAGGATCGTTTTATTATGGCCCTGTTGATATGTTGGTCTGAAAATGAAAAGGATAGCCTGGCTGAGGTTTTAACTGCCCTTCTGGTCAAGTAAACCATCTTAAATTATTGCATACTCGTTTGATTGATTTGTGTGTAACGTATGAATGATGGTACATAATTTATTCGTCTACTCTAGGGCCTATGGTTCACCTGTCAAACGAAAACGTGGCGTAACTGGTGCGGGTCGTGGTACATCGAGTCCAGCTGCTGGTCCAGCTACTCCAAATATTGAGTACGTTTTAGCACACTTGGATTTGCTAAGGGTCCAAATTGAAGATGGTGGAGTCTTCAACACGGACACAATGCAAGCTGCCCTCCTTCAAGTGAGCTTTATTACTATTTTATGCTTTTGTTTTATTCAGCTACAATAGTATTTATTTATAACAACTGAAATTTGCTATGCACTTTCCTATCTTTTCTTTTTACCCAGGTACAAAGTTGGGTAACCGACACTCAAAGGAACAAATACAAAGATCTGCTGGCGTTGGCAGCCATAGAAGAATCTTCAGAAATAAAAGAGTCGCGCTCTGTCGTTAAACGGGTATTTACACTATTTTCGGAATTTTCGATAGTCTCCGACATCTTGATCTTTGACCTGAGCCCCTACTACTAATTACAACTGGCAGGTATAATATAACGAATTGTGACTGAGATTCGGCTTTACTTTAATTTCAGCCGGCCACGGGAAGAAAACTTCCGGGGTCTCCAACTAGTGCTGGAAGCGGAACGACGGGTAGCAATAGTGGTGGTGGTAGTAGTGCTACCAGTTCTGGAGGTGGTGGAACGAGTGGGAACTCAACTAGTGGCGGTGGTTCATCGACCACAGGGGCCCGATCTAACTCTAATCTTTCGCGAACCAGAAGTGGACGAACACGTCAAACAATGAAGGATGACAGCGACTCATCCAGCAATGACGACGACGACGAAATTATACCTCAACCAAGAAATGCCAAAAAACGTAGAAAAACAACTGCTTTCAATTCTGACAGCGACTAGTAGGTTGCAGTATTTGCATCATTACTTATCTTACCTGTATTCTTGCATGATTAACCTGTACGTTATGCGTACAACCATTCAGCCTAGGACTTTTTTCAAGGTATTTTTTTTATCATTGCCGTGTTAGTATTAATCACGTATGTGTAAGTATACGCAAGTTTTATAACTTTAAACTTTATCTTACGACTATTGTTAAATCTATTTAATTATACAATTCTCTCATTTGAGCCAACGACATCATATATAATGTATCACTCCTTGATTACTGTTACCTTTATTGTTGTTCTTCAGATGAATACAGTGCAAAGACCATTTTATAAAAACCTATTACGGAGTTCATAATATACGACATTCGTGATTTAATATGACGTCCACTCCACCATACATTTAAAAATTATGGATGTTGAAACAAGATGCATTCAAAATTGCATACTTTTCAATCACTCATAAATAGGCATTGGATTTTGTGTACACAAAATCCAATCCAAAGTCATTGTCAGTGTTCAATTTGAATTCATATCATTCATGAATACCAGAATTGAATGTTTTTTACTTGGGTTGTTAATTAGTTTTGAAGTGTATCAATAGTTTGTGTCTGTCGAGTTATTCCATCCACACAATTAATTTCACTTTACTTTTCCATTTATTCTTTGACATTTGCAAGGATATTTTAATATCTACTCAAAAGATTTAATTAAGAAATCACAAATTCTCGCCGATAATAAAATTGTTTCTGAGAACATAAGGTAACGTAACATTCATTCTTGAAATAAATAACAATATATTTGTACACTACAGATTAACTTGTACATATTTAATGTTGGGGTACAAATTATTGCAACACAGTGTGCTAGATTACAACTATATGTTACAAGAGAATTATAAAATCTAATTTATCCTAAAACTAAAATTTTTACAACGATAAACTATCAATTATCAACAATAGCAATGAAGGGATTACTCCCCAGTTATGCAAATTCAAGATATTCTATCTAAATAAAACGAAGGTAATTGTAAATTAGCTAAATAATTCCTATTTATAAAGCAACATTCTTATCATTTAATGATGAAAATCTAGTTGCTATATTTTCAATTCGAGAAACGGGGTTACATATACTGACTGACAATATTGTGCTCCTACTTATCAATATTTTAACTAATAACAAAACGACAGGTTTCATCTCGAATTTGGGAATATTTGGGAAGAATGTGACTATTGAACAATTTTGTATAGTAAATAATTGACTTACAGTCAAATCGTCATCTAATGAAATAATTCCAATTCCATGTAAAATGTTTTTAAGTTATCCATAAGAAAATGGCAATAACTCAAAAAATCGCTACACAATACATTATAATTTACCTGGTTTAAATTGTTCCTAAGAGTTCTCCTAAAGTTGGTCTTGTAGATTTCCAAGCTGCGCATTACGTTGAATATTATATTTTTACTGGATTAATATCCAATTAAAAATCGACATATTGTTACGAGATATATTTCATGTCGGAACGGTAGCACACATCATATTTAGCGAATTTAACAGAACTTCCATCTATTGCCACATTGTAGGCAGAGACAGAAGGTAGTCATCTTAAAAAATAAATAAGGAATTGAATGATTAAACAAAGACATCAATCTGTACTTGGTTAGTGTATTGATAAAAATGAACTTACCGGCTCGTCAGCACTTCGAGTTTGAAGCTATACAATTAAATAAACATGTAAAGGATATTCGGTGTATAAAGTGTAGGATATTCAGAGGTGCTACACGTAATCCGGAAGGAAAGCCAATGCAATTATTTAAATGATTTACCTGGTTGTAGGTCACATCTCTCTTGCCACATTTGTTGCATTTGAGGAGGTCAGTCTTTGTTCCCTGAACTGTGGCAAGTTGTGAATCGTTAATTCCATCTTTAACAAATTGTTCTCGAACTTTTTTCATTTCGGTACTAGCCATTTCCTAGAAAAGAGAGAAACACACAAATCACCAATTGGGTTCTGACTAGCGCACCAAAATAAAGTATAGGAAAATATTATCATGATCTTTTTTTAGTTTACCTCAGCAGTCATTTTAGCCATTCGACTGATACTTATGCTTCCAGTAAGAAAATTGAGACGGAGGTCAGGATTTTTAAAGTCTTTCAAATTAGCTACACGACTCCTAACCCGGTTCTTATACTGAAAGGTATTAATGAAAATTAGTTATTAGTATTCACTTATGGGTTACTTCATTCAACGCATGAAGAAGAGATTTACATTAGAATTTAAATTATAAATGGCTAATTACGATATGTCTAAATTAGTTACTAATTTAGTAGTTGTAACTCACTTTAATTTCCGTATTTTTAAATTCTTTGAATATTTCTTCCTCTAGACGTTCTGCTAAATACTCTGGATCATTGCTTCCATCAGGAAGTTCTGCCAATGTGCATAGAGATCAATATTATTGATCAGCATCACAACAATTTATTCTATAATCGTAATTATAATCTTATTCTTGTAAAAACCTCCATCTGCTTTCATAGCAGTAAATAAGAGCTCTCTACATTTTATTCTAACTGCATCGGTCGTGCTTGCTGCAGGAAACGACGTTTGACCTCCTCTACTTGCAGGAGGGGCAGGGGTGGACGATTGTTTAATATCCTTTTTGCTATCAAGTTTACTCTTCTTGGAAGAAGACCCATCACTGTCCGAATCTGCTGCTCCACGCTTGTTATCGTGTTTGGGAGTGGAATTTGTGGGGGAACCATCATTTTCTGAACACGGTAGTACATATATCATTAGTCAATATTATACATGTGCAATGCTCGTGGTTGACAAACTGTTGCACCACGACTGTTAATTCCTTGTATGATTGGATACAAACTTTATACAATAATATTTAATGGAGCATTACCAGGAAGAAACTTTTTCCATTTTCGAATAAGGTTCTTTGCCGTTGATATCACCTCTTTGTCATCACTCGATTTTCGAATTTGGTTAACCGTCATACCTATACGAGTACTGCTCAGAATATCCAGATTCATATCTTGTTCTTGCAACGCCTTCAACAAATCCAAAACTTCTCCTTGTGCCTGCAATTTGTTATTATTTCATTGTTCATTCTTAACGTCAATAAAACATTTTCATTAGGCAAATCCTAAATACACTAAATATTGACTGGAATACATGAGACAAAGATAAGGCTAAAAGTTACAATTCATAATGAAAGATTGAAAATTGACAATTTTTAAATTCATACTACTTATCAAGATAAGCGTAAACCATTACCGAGTTAGCTGAATTGGGAGAACTCATGCCTTCCAACCTCTTTTGAATATCTGCGACTTTATTCTGCAGACTCATTTTTATTTTTGTGCAATCAGAGTGGTTTTAAATAATAAAACAGGACCGAAGCTGTGGAAAAGTGAATCGGAGCGCGTGAAAGCGTGTGTGGAGCGGACAGGAGAAACAACACCACCTCAGCTCTCCAAGCGGTCGACTGAATTCCCTCCCAACAATACTCGGCAGAAACCTACGGACCGTTCACAAGGACCACCTACCAAGTGTGCTACAAGTCCAAACGGTTCTTATCAAAATAATCATAATAATGACCGTTTGTTGCGTTCAAGTCCGCATTCCAAATTTAATAATAATTATGCTTCCAAAAAATTGTAAAAGGACCGTTCACACAATCGTGTTGGGGCAACGCCAGACATTGACATACGCGGGAATGCGCTTCTCGGCACCATCGAAACTCGCTCAGTTCACAGTTTGTTCTGCTCTAATTTGGAGGCCTCAAATAATGCTTAATTTTCAGTATTGTCATCTTTTGTAATTGTTGACTTTGGTTATTGAGTTGGACTCAATTGTTAATTCTCGTGGCTCACAAGTACGGCCATTACGACAACTGATAAAAGGAGAGAGACGAAAGTGTTGGGTGAGATGGATACCTCGGAGGCTCCCACTAACGACTCGTGTCAATTATTGGATGTCAAAACGAGCACGGAAACGACTGTTTGCAGCGATGCTGCCTTAGAGGGTACATCAAAACAAGATAATGTCGAGGCAGAGTTGGAGACCCCGTCATCAGTGTTGTCCGTCCTAGACACTGATAAACAACCAGGTGGTGAAAATGACGACTTAACTCCCGGTACAGTTCTCGTGGCCCATCGCAGTATAACAGATGACGGGAATAACCCTGCTGATAAGCCTCCTACTGAAGAAATAACCATAAAAGATGATGGGGATGACAAGATGGAAATTGATCAGATCATGTCGTCGCAAAATGATATTACCGACACTGCCGAGCCCAATACTGATAAGCCCTCAACTGAAAATACTGCTGGTAATGTAACATGCGTTTAATTAAACTAGATATCACATCTCAAGCAAATTCATTTTATTCTTCTTGATTTGGATAGACTCGAGTATGGAAATAGTTAGCGGTGAGGATAAACCTGCTGCTAAAACTGAGTCAAAGTTGCTGCCACCAATGGAGAAATCCTTTGTTATTCCCCTTGCCAGTCCAAAAATTCCATCCCTTGGAACTGACTCCAACCGGGGAAAGGTTTGTGTGAATACACATTATTTATACTTATTGATTGATTTGCTCGTAGATTAATTTATTAATTTCTGTAATTAATTAAAACTAATTGCAGAATTCCCAAGTTTCGAACAAGGATGTGTTGCCTACTATACTTCCTCCTCCTCCTCTTCCTCCCCATCCTACTCCTCCAACTGAGTCTCCAAAACAAGAAGCGAATGAAAATTCTGTTGGAAATCTGAATAAACTGCTAGCATCTACAAAATCTTTGTCATTTGCTCTTGCAAAACCAAATGTTAACATTGAAGGTATCCTCCAAAATAATAACAAAGATCACAAAAGGAAACTTCACAATGGGTGCAGCAATGCAAATTGTACTTCAAATTCCGATGAATTGGTCATTGCAAAGAAAGCTGCAATTCTGTACTTCCGATTTAACACATCTTATAAAAAAGTGCACAAAATTTGTAAGATCTGTAACGAGGAGGCAGAAAGTTTTTTGAAGGTATACATATATATGTTCCATCGCAAATCATATTATAATGTGATATTTATAATAGTGCATATTGTTTATTTAAAAAAATATTTCTTGAACATTTTAGAATTCTGTTGGTGCCCTAAAGAACGATGAAAATATTTTTACGTTCATATCAAAACCTCAAGGAATGGAAGGAGATGTCATCGAAGTTAAAGGTATACTATTTTTATTGTGCATTTATTTGTATTATGAAGTGTTATTATCCCGTTTAATACAACCAAGTAATTTACTTCCTCGTTTCATAAAATAATAGATGATGAAGAGGAAGACAATCCTGCAGATGTTCAAAGACTGGAGGCTGAAAATAAGGAAATTTTTGAATTAGCAATGAGTGTGGAAGATTTAATTGGAGACTTGATGACAAAATTAGACCTTAAATCGCAAATAACAAAATGTGAACAAACTACAACAATTGAATCGGCGAATTTAGGTATGTCTATATATATATGTACAGTCGATTGAATTTTCAGTTGTACAATGTGAAATATAATAGTTATACACTGAAATATCCACTAATCTAAAAACTACTTTGTTTTGTAAAGAGAAAGATTATAGCGGTCTGGAAAAACAAATTGCATTTGTTGAGAGGCAAGTTGTGGAGACTAAAAAGATTTATGACAAGGTGACTGGATATTACCAACCTGTTGTAAGTGTACTGCTACTACTACTACATAGCTTCGAAATAATTCAAATTCTGCAATACAAAATTAAAACAAAATTTGTAATTATGAAGCCGGTCATAACTGAAGAAATTGATATAAGTACCACGGGAACTATCGTAAAATCGGTGCCGCACAATGATCATCTTCAAAATATTCCAAACCTCCCCGATTTACCTCCTGGTGTCTTTCAACCAAATGCTTCTCCTGCTCCCACAAGAGGTTTGTTTATATAGTAATATTGGAGATTTTTAGAAATAAATATAATCTATGTTTTTCATAGGCGGATATCGTAACCGCCCACGAAAGGCGAAAGAAAATCGAACTCGTTATTCGGATGATGGTGATGTAAGTTGCATCTAATAATACAGAATTTATATTTCATGGGCATTCGTGTGTCTGGAGACTTATTTGTACTTCATTGTAAATATATTACTTTAGATCATAGAGGTCGTGTCTGGCGAAGGATCTCAAAAGATAACCTGTCCTTTGGGTCGCCCACCAAAGGAAATTCCTAAATTAGTACCACCAGTGGGTGGAAATGTGTATGCTCAAAACCGTACCCTCCTTCATTTCTGGGTCAAAACTTCAATTGAAGAAATTGTTAATGTTGGATCTGGCAAATCTGTAATTTACAACACTACAATTTATTTTCACATTTAATTTCACTAAAGTGTATTATGCATTTTTTTCTCCAGCCCGAGTTTGTTGTGAAATTTGAACGAAAACAAGGAGTTGGGGGTGGTGGATTGAAAAGAGTGACTGCCAAGCAAATTGCATATAACATACCTTGCCCATTCATTCTAATAGTTGGGACTCGAATCATTGCTAAATTTCGGGATGAGTTGAAAATGGAACCAATAGGAGATGGACAGTACTACGCTGGTATCGTTGCTGAACATCCTACACCACAAAATAAGTTTAGGTAACATTGATAATAGGGGTTTCTTGCTCGGAATAATAAGGTTTTTCTACATTCTCTAAATTGATCTATCTTCAGATATTTGATCTTCTTTGATGATGGATACGCTCAATATGTCGGTATTAAAGATATTCTGTTAATATACGAATATTCCAAAGAAGTATGGAGCGATGTGCATCCTGATTCAGCAGAATTTATTAAATCGTACCTCACAAAGTATCCTGAGCGTCCAATGGTATGTTTTTATTAGTAAAATTTATACAGTATGTCAGAGCTAGCAAAGCCTGAGATGAATCTGAGATGACCATTGTAAATATTATTATTTATCAGGGTAGCTTACACTTTGTGTTTTTTTTCTAAATTATGAAAAAGGGAAGCAAAATGAATGTCTCTAACTACATCAACGCATTTTGTCGTTGTTTCAGAGTAATCTTGCATCTGTTTCAATATGACAAAGTTCGTCAATTTTGGAATTAGTTACCCTGTGGGAGGTTTTTGAGTGATTGCAATATTGGATTTGGGTAGATTTTTATAAACTGAATTTAAGAAAATTTAAATTTTATTCAAAGGTTCGTTTGACTCTTGGTCAAGTTGTCACTACAGAGTGGAATGGGAAATGGTGGGTCGCGAGAGTTACTGAACTCGATTGCTCTTTGGTGAAGATGCAATTTGAAAACGATGGCAGGTGTGAATGGATTTATCGTGGTTCCACTCGCTTATCACCGTTGTTTGAAAAACAAACTAGACAACGACAAAAGAAAACAGCGCGACGAACTACAAGTGCTCCAATTTATGTATGACATAATAAGTATTCTCGTTTTTCTAGTGTCTTATAAATAAATAACGGTTAATTATATATTTTTGCTTTTCGTTTAGAACAAAAATCATGCGCGAATTGAGTATAATTATGGTGATGATGATGACTTGGTTCCTTCGCACGGTAGAAACAAGCCACTGAAGCCAACCGCTCGAAAGTCGACTTCTGGAGCTCACCATGCATTGGAAAAACAATATGGCGATATCAGACGTCTGGCTCGATTGGATTACGGCGAGTTTGAGGGAACAATTATTGTAAATATTTTTGCTCATTTACTTCCTCATATAATTAACATAATTTTTAATGAATTGGCACGGCTAAGGTTTTATTAAAAACTTATAAATATGCATATACAGAAAAGGCCTATACCTTCTGATGTACCATTTACAAAGGAGTACGGTCATCATGTTTGTAACAGTTCTTGTGTGTATGAATATGACGATTCCAATAAAGAGTACAAGAAAATGAGTCCACTTGCTCTGCCATTACACTTGGGATTTACAAGGTACACTTTCACTTATTTTTATGTATTTTTATGGTGTTTAATTGTAACAACTAAAATCTTGATGCAGAGAAATTGCAAAAAATCCTCGTCGGTCAATTTTTTACCGAGGACCTTGTGGGATTCGAATACGTGATATGGAGGAAATGTACGACTATCTCACTCAAACACAGTGTCAAGTTCCTATTGATCACTTTTGCTTTGATTTGGCTGTGGACTGCCTCAATGAATTTCGTCATTCACGCCAACATAGTTTTCTACCGGTTAATGCCAAATTTTTACAACAACCATTTGCAATCAAATCTAATAATGTTTTAATTATTAGGATTTGACATATGGAAAAGAATCTGCTCCTGTACAAGTTGTAAACGCCTTTGACTATGAGTATCCCCCATACGTGGAATATTCGAGTCAACGAATAGCAGGTTCAGGTGTACACCTAAACACTGATGATGAGTTTTTGGTAGGATGTGACTGTGAAGATGATTGTCGGGTAAGTACAGGCAAGAAAACCAGAAGAGCAGGAAACAGAAATTATGTGGGTAATAATTTTCGCCGTCATTATTTTCATTATAGGACAAGACAAAGTGTAGATGCTGGCAGACGACATATTCTGGAATCTCTTTTACGAAATTAAGTAACCCCCTATATCCTGTTAAAGGATATGAATACAGGCGATTAAAGGATCACATTGTTAGTGGGATTTATGAGTGTAATCCCAAGTAAGTTAAAGTGGCCACAATATAATAGTAGTTGTAATTTTCATAAATATATAATAACTAACTCTTAAATAGTAAATCTAATTGGTATGTGACCCTTACGTGCGTATATGTTTCTTATCAAGGTGCAAATGTGCCAAAACGTGTTGCAACCGAGTAGCACAAAATGGACTCAAAGTACCACTCCAAGTGTTCAAGACAGGTATTAGGAAAATAATACATTGGAAAGATAATAATTAGACATTGTATACAATATACAACTTAATAATTTTGTTATATTCTAATAGCGGCAAAAGGCTGGGGCATTCGACCTATCTTTGATGTGCCTGAAGGTGCATTTATTTGCATTTATGCCGGACAAGTGTTGACGGATGCTGGAGCCAATGAGGATGGACAACAATTTGGAGATGAGTATCTCGCAGAGCTGGACTACATTGAAAGTATCGAAGGCGTGAAAGCAGACTATGAATCTGATGTTACCGATATTGAGACTGAAGAACCTGGAGAACGTTCAAAGAAAAGAATTAAGACAAAGAAAGGTAATTCGTAGTAATCCTACTCGTAGGCAAGAGTAAGTAGCGTATTGTTTTTTTTACATAACAAAATTTTCAATCAAAAGCAACGACAGATAAAGGCGATGAAGAATCTGATCAAGAGGTAGATTTTCATGCCGCTGACGCCAGTTATCACGGTCCTAAGCCTTCAACAGTAGAGAGGACGGTAAGCACGAGAGGCAAACATAACGGGAAGACCTCATCTGCTTCTGGAAGTTCCAAGAATAGTGACAGCGATGACGAAGGAGGTTCGATATACGATCCAAATATTAATACTATTTCCATTTACGTATTTATTGAAACTTTGTATTATGAATGCTTGTGTGTAGAAGGCGGTGCACGTCCACGTTCTCATTTTAATGCTAATGTTGACACTCCCAAAGCCAAAGTAACAAATCGTCGCCCACTTCGTGAGTATTTTGGAGAAAACGAAGAATGCTATATTATGGATGCTAAAACTACAGGGAATATTGGACGTTATCTCAATGTATGTGTAATATTTGATATTTGTTAATATATGTATCTATGTATTAACTGCTCCCTTCTTGAATTTTCTAGCACTCTTGTCAACCGAATGTTTTTGTACAAAATGTGTTTGTGGATACACATGATCTCCGATTCCCTTGGGTCTCTTTCTTTGCTAGTAAACACATTCGTGCTGGATCAGAATTAACTTGGGACTATAATTATGAAATTGGAAGTGTACCCAACAAAGTACTATTTTGCTATTGTGGGTCGCCAGACTGTCGTGGAAGGCTTTTGTAATTTTACATATTTTTGTACTTCTTTCGCATTGATTATTTCATTAATTTTATTGTGAAATACTTGGTGTACATATATCTTTGTATTTGAAACACGTTTTCATGGTTCATTCGTTTTAATATTTTCAATCTTGACAATTGTCACATTTTGAGTCATTTAATCGATGACCTTATATATAATAAACTAAACTAATGATTTTTGATATATATTCAAATTTTTCAAGTAATTTTATAAATGACATCTGACACTCGGATGAACGGAAATTAACTAAAAATATATTGCATACACACATATTATTAGTGTCTCAGCAGCGTATTATATCATCCCACATTATGTGATAATAACCCTTGTTCTCTTGCAATCATAATTAATTAATCGTCATAATTAGTGTTGCTGATGTGAACCTAGAGTTTACCAACTCCTCCACATTGCATTATTTTTCGTGGTACATTCGCACTGTCCTAATTATTCTCGTAGACGTGATTAAACGATGCTCATTAGTATTAAATAATTCAAACGCTACAAATTGTATAATTATCAGATTTCGATTATGATCACGCAAATAGTGATGATGATAACGTGGGCACGAACACGAAATTCTTGCTTTTCTCCTGGAATAGGTTGTTCATTGTGTTGTTTGAGCGTCATGAAATTGTCATACGACGTTTGTTAGAGAACAATTAGATAACTTAATTCAAGCATGAAACGTTACACTTTTAATTATTTTAGAATTTTCATTTTCATTCAATTTTCCCATCCGTATTGGAGTGAATGTAAACCGAAAAATGGAACAATCATCACAGAACAAACAACCACCCGCACCAACCTCATAGCGCCTTCCACGTCTTCGTACAAAGATGATGGCGTGTCAGATACTACTTTATCTTATCCTTCTATTTCCTCTCTGGCGTTGGCAGGAGTTCTTCTTCCTGGAGGACCCGGGGTCACCTCTGTTGTGAAAGATATGTTCAACCGGCTTCTTAGTACAAACGGTATTCTAGGACTGCGTGACCAACCCTACGAGTTGGGAACACCAGTAGTTTTGAGGGATATTTGGACAACAATTTCCCACTACCTTGGAAGAAATGATATGAATTCACTTGAAAGTTTGGAAAACATAGCCATCGAAATATTGAACGGATTCAGTGAAAGGGAGAAAAATACGGTGCATTTTTACTTATACACCCGAAGCAATAAGTGAGTGAGCCATAGACAGGATCCAAACATTTAATACTTTGATCAAAATATCAACAATTTTGTATGCTTGCAAAATATTCTTAATTCTTTTTCTGCGTAAATAGAACCGGATTTAACCCAATAAAATATGGATCGCTGGATCAACTGAAAAAGTCGTCATTCGCGATTGGAAAGCGGGTCAAATTTCTCATCCACGGTTTTAGAATGAATGGATTTTCTCATTTTAATTACCTTCTCAAAGATGGTATTACATTGAATGGACAGTTGACGCACATATTTAATTAAGTAATTAATCAAATTGTACATTTTCCTTGCTCCTTCAAACAAGCCTACCTCAAGCATGGGGAGGAGTCGAACGTGTTTAGCGTGGACTGGAGGCATTTGGCTGGAGATATTGTCTACTTCAATTCAGCCTTCAACACCCGCATTGTAGGGGAAAGGGTCGGAGATATTTGCATATTTCTAAAGAAAAATGGCTTCATCCACTCCTATGACCAAGTTCACCTCATCGGCTTCAGCCTGGGAGCTCATGTAAGTACTTATGTACGTCATGTCATATGTCATTGGGTGACCACTAGTCATGAGCAGCAGGCAGCACAGTATAATGTGCTGGAAATTATTATGTGTGCACTAATTTTAGGTGGCTGGCTACACGGGAAAGTATTTAATGAAAATGGAACGACAGCAGTTGGGGAGAATCACAGGACTTGATCCTGCAGGCCCTTCATTTGCTGTACTAACCTCAAACAATCGTTTGGACAAAGGCGATGCAAAATTTGTTGATGTAATTCATTCCTCGTTGGGAAGAAGTGGAATAGTTCAGAGCATCGGAGACGTTGATTTTTTTCCGAACGGTAAATACTTCTGCTCAACCACAATCACTCTTATATTATATTATATATTATATGTACCACGTGAGCTGAACCAGCCCAACCGTTTCACAAACGCAGTTTCCATTATTTAGCGAAAGGCAGAGTGAGACTCGGATTCTGGTGGGTATCCACCACCACCACCGCTGACTGTCGTTGCCAGTGCCGTATGGTGGTCCGTCTCACTTCTCACTCTCTTCAAATTGTTTACCGGGATTATGAACCAACTCGTGTTGAGATGCTTTTCATCTCTTACACGAGTTGGTTCAGTTGATAAATCGTTGAGCTTAAGTTTTAAATTTGGGGCGAATTGGACAAACTAAATTTGCTAATCTTAAAAACTGATAAGCGCAGTGATAAGCCCGATAGCGTTAATTTTCGAATGCATATCATCATTATAAATTCAGAAAAGCTTAAGTTTTAAGTTTGGGGCGATTTGGATAAACTAAATTTGCTTATCTGAAAAATTGATAACTTCGTTGATAAGCCTCATAGCGTTAATTTTCGAATGCATATCATCATTATAAATTCAGAAAAGCTTAAGTTTTAAGTTTGGGGCGATTTGGATAAACTAAATTTGCTTATCTGAAAAATTGATAACTTCGTTGATAAGCCTCATAGCGTTAATTTTCGAATGCATATCATCATTATAAATTCAGAAAAGCTTAAGTTTTAAATTTGGGGCGATTTGAGGCTGTTTTAATAGCTTCTATGTAATTACCTTTATGTATATCATAAATACCTACACATTGTTACGGCTCCTGCCGTATAAGCCCCTCCCTCAGAAACTTTGACCCCAAAAAAGTCATGGTAGCGGTCATTTCGCAGCGGACAACAAAAGCGGAAAATGTGGCACTTCTGACGAAGAAAAATCTGGCATCAGGTTGTCAGCCGCGAAATGACCGCTAAGGTCACTTTTTTAACGATTTATATGTAGGTCGAAAAACCGCCAATTTTCGAATTTTGAAAGTCTTGATGCATCAAAATGTTCATATTCATGAGGGAAGTCAAATGTCAAATGCAAGTTGGTATCTACTTCTTTCTGTACCGAGTGTACATTGACCTTCTCATTTTTCCCAATTTTCTTCCCCAATTTTTGAAGGGGGTGTGGTTGAATATAATTCAAAAACAGCTATGCTATATTAATCCCCCCACCCAAAACTGAATTTGTAATTTTTTATGTGCAATTTGGTGAAATCGATGCGAAAAAGACTTGCACTTTTGGCTCATTTTGTACCGTATTTAACATTTCCGAAATTTTCGATTTTATAGGAGGAGCCGATCAACCGGGATGTGAATGGGACAAGATACGCGATTATTTTCTGAGTGAGAATACTTTCTACCAAATTTAATTATTATTGCTCATGTTCTTGCAAAATTAACAAACGAAGACACAACCTAAACATTCTAAATTTCAACAGGAAATTGTAGTCACGAAAGAGCTTTCTACCTCTACCTCGAGACGATTAAAGGGAAAAAATTTTGGGGATGTCCATGCAGCAATTGGGGAGATTATGACACTGGGAAATGTCCCTGCCACGCCAATGCAGCAGGAGCAGAACTGATGGGCGAATATTGCAATTTTACGTAAGCTTTATCATTGCATAGTATATATGATTCGATGTGATCAAGTTCAGTTAAGTTTTATAAATCAATTGCAAAATACAGAGCCAGAGGTGACAAATATCTCAAAATCAAGGAGACGTATCCGATGGCATCAAAGTATTAGATGTCTACATTAAATACTAGGGAAAGTTCATAAAATACGTACACAGTGGATGAGCAGGGAGCTGTTGCGTTACAGGTCAACTTGCGCCACATGTTGAAAAGGGCACCCCTTTTAACCTGTTACAAGGGAGAGGCAGAGGGAGGGGTAAATAATGGGTTTTTGTGTTACGTATTTTATGAACAGTATACAAATCATATCTAAATGAACAATGTATTTGTATCAGTATGTTATATTAGTGTCATTTGAGCTAGTTTTAGAACCTGAATCGACAAAGTCGTTTAGTTCTTCAGGTTCAAACTGTGTGGATACATCGTGGTCTTTAATTTCTTTGACGGGGAGAAGATCACCACACTTGCTCTTTCTTCCCACGCGATATAACATTCTGAAAAAAAAATTATGATTACAATGCTTGCAGCAGACCTTCAAATAATTATAATTATTTCATGTAATAAAAGAATCTCACTGAGAGTGCTTATTTTTGGTGAGCAGTACTTCAGCCAACTGCCCTTCGTTAGTACAAACTCTGCAAATACAGTGTTTTTTTCTTATCATTGAATCCCGAACGACTCGTGGCCACCTTTCATCCTCGGGGTCTCGAGGACCTAGGTATATCGAAATTTAAGTACATCTAAGTTAAATTCTTGTACTTTTCTCTTGTACGTATTTCCAAATTTATGTAGTTCACCTTTCTTCAGAACTACGTAACAAAATGTTTCCGTTCCCGTATTATCTTGATGAAATGGGTACAATACTTGATGTTTCACATAAAAGTTGCAAGTACTATCGTCATGAACAAATCTTGGGCATGGACTTTCTTGTGGACACTAAAAAAGAGTAAATATAAATTAAGACAAAAAATAATAATTTCAAGCACGAATAAAACAAAAAAAATTATCATGCATACAACAACCCACTTACAGGACTAAATACGTGAGACAGTTCACTTTTATGACCTTTGTCAAGTTCTAAGATATAGTCTCTTGCTTCTATTATAGCCTGTTCAAGTTCAAAACCATTGTACAACACGCATTAATATTAATTCCACTTGACTAGAGAGCATCAGTACAAGTAGTTACCTTAAATCCGGCACTAGATCCCTGTTCCACAATCACCAAATAGTTGTTTGTTTTCTTCCACAAAATGTCTAAAGCTTTCAGTCTATGTTTCAGTGAAGGAAGTTCCATCAAAGAATAGGCACTTACTACCAAATCGTACGACACCTAGCAAATAAAAAAAAAAATATGAGTACAAACACTACGATGTGAGACAATGACTAACTTTGAAAGACTGTGCCAAAAATTGTCTAAAATATAACGCTGGGAACCCATGATCGTTGTTCATACTTCCACCTCTCAAAAGTCGTTCAGCAAGTTCATTCATCTCTTTTGACACATCTGCACATAACACTTCTTGGACATTTTTTGGCCACACGGTTTTACTTGCCCTGAAATAAAAATAAAGAAAAATATGTAAGTATATACTGATTAAATCACTAATATTATGTTGATTACACAATTGTAGGGAATAATATTTTACCAAACCGTGGTACCTATCCCGGAACCAAAGTCACATAGGGTATTTGGTTGAAATTGATTATCCCTGCGTTGAATTTCACTAAATATCTGAAGTAATGCGGCATACTCGCCTGCCGACCTAACTAGTAGATATTGTAACGCTTTAGCTTTGTCGTAGTTAATGGCCTCCCAATGATAGATATCCCGTTTCAAATGATTTTTAATCTTGCCATCACGAGCAGCTTCAAGTTTTTCGAGCTGTTCAGCGCTTAAGAACGGTCGCATGATGTCTTCTAAATATAGTTAAAAAGGTATGTAAATATATTCATTATACAGAAGTATTTATAAAAACAAATGTTGCTCGTCGGACTTTTATCACGGAATAATAATATGCATATGGTCATGGTGCACTTGGACTCACCCTTTATTTGAATATTATCCTCGACTTTTTCAACCTTTTGCCTATATTCTGCTTCTTCAATTGGTAGATGTCGAGACCACAAATAATTTCGAAAAGCGGATGTCGACTCCAACAATCTTGAGAGATTTTCATCTAAAAACCACACAAAGTATATACTAAATGCTTTAATTGACGTGATTTAATTTATTTGGCTCACGGGACAAGACACGCTGAGCAGCCTCGATGAATTTGGGGGGGAGCGACCTTCTTGTGAGATGAAAAACACCGGGGTGCTGTTTTGGTTTGAGGTTGTTGCTCATCATGAACCGCTCCGCCGAAGATTCCAAGTCCACGGCCAAGCGTGCCTGTTTCCCTGTACCCACCCCAAATTGTCCAGAACACTAACGTTTTAATAGACAATTAAAAATAATACTTTGACAACATTCACACCCGACAGAAGTATTATTTGTTTTATCGTGGGTGGCGATGACCATTGACCACTTACCTGAGCACTCGACTGACACAATTTTCGATGATTATTGACATTGTAATCCTGGAGGAAACATTGCCTCCGCAACGCTCCAATTAGTACGCCTGGCGAAGCAGTTTTAGTAGGACGCGAAAATGCCCCACAAAGTCGACAACCTTGCCGCATACTCAGTTCCAACAACGTTTCAACAAGCACAAAGTAATAACAGTTTGTAGTTTACAAAAGTTTACCAAAAGATCGTACAAAGCAGTTGTTTGTCAATGTGCACATTGCTTGCACACGCAAGTGAAAGTCAATAAATACCGGAACCAGGTATGAAAGTCGCTCTGCAAATTCGGGGTAATGGCAATATATTCATGTAGTAATGTTGAACCAAATGTATTTGCAGGATATTTCCATCAATTTTTCTCATATCTTTTATTATAGCATACATTTAGATAATTAGTAGTATAAAAATAGAAACTGTTATAAATCCAGAGTTTACAAGCATGGAAATGATTTTTGATAGTATCGAGCCAACTCGGCTTCCAAGTAGTTGATCGTCTGATAATTGTCATGAATTTTGCGGATCATGTAACCCTTTGCGAGGAATTTTGATACTCTATAAACAGAGAAAAATTGGATTAGATTGGAAGTATGAATAGGGAATTTTACGAACCAAAAAATATTTTGCTAACCGTTCATTGTACTTTTCAGCTCGTTGTTCCGGCGTGGCTGAAACGGAAGTGTGTTTCATCAGACTCGTGGTTCGATTTTCGACAGCCAACCAATCCTGTAGTTTATTGTTAATTTTTACTTGACGCTTCATTTGGCGTTGATACATTTCTTTGAGCTTTTTCCTAGAGGCAATATATGCCTGTTGATGCTGCAAGACAGGGTTACATGAATATTTATTATCTCACTTCTTTTAAATCAAAGGTTACTCAGTCATCATACAAATATTACCTTGTCAGCAGCCTCAAGGAGACTTTTGACTCGTTGTATGCGGTTTTCATGAAGCGTTTCAAGGTCCACACCTAAGCGTTGGGCTCGAAGGAGTTCTTTAGTAGGCTACAAGATTATTGATTCAAATTAAGCACAAATTGTGTATGGAGGGCATAACAAAAAATACTGAGTGATCACAATTGTATTAAGCTACATAAACTAAATAACCTTGCTATTGCTGACATCATGGTGTAGCTGTTTTAAATCTTGACGTGTCCTATGTTCTACTTTGAATTTCCATTCAATATCTCGAACGTCTCGGTGTACAAATATACATCGTTTCGTGTCTCTGATGTAGCGCTCTGTGCAAGCCTACAAAAAATGAACCAACCAGATATTTATATTTAAATGAAAACAAAAAGATCATTATCTGTGATTGAGGACGTACTGCAACCCTTGCATTCAGCTTTTCTATGTTGTTTGCTAGGGTCATAACAGAATTCTCATGTGCATCCACGTCCCAGAAATTAATCTCTACGTTTCCCTTTCCAGTAATGAACTGAAATTCGGTATTATACAATAAATAATTCCTCATTTCCGTTCGATGAGAAAGAATTGCTAGCACGGCTGCCATTGCTTTCGCCGTCATATCTTCACGTTCAGTGCATTCTTGCAATCCTTTCGAAATGTGCTCAATTTCCAGAAGCTCAAACTTGATTTCAAAGTCGCAAATGAGTCTTTTGCGTCGAAGTTTGCAAAACTTGTCCCAATGGGTTCTTGGACACCCACTGGGGATGAGCATGGGATCTTCAATGTCCATTAGGGCCATTACGACGGCACGAGCCGGCTCCCCGTTGTCACGCCCAAATGCACGAAGATTTGTCGACTTAAGGGCGTGGATTCCCATCTCATACACTTCAGCCTTGTCCATGCTCTTCCCTTGGATTTTGGGTTTCCGTCTAAACACCCAAAACATATTCGTGTAAAATACTATTGGAAGCAAATTTATGTAAAATAGTAAACTGTATATGTACTTGTAATTTTTCATAAAAAATGCCAAATAATGTCCAACGTCGCCCAAGTCCTTCCTGAACTTTCTCTCCAACTCGTTCTGTCGTTCGATAATGACCATCTCCTGCTCCCTGCACTCGTTTTTTCTGATTGTCAATTGTGACACGAGCATTTGTGTGGATTTCATTTCTTCTTGTAATTTTTGAAGCATGAGGTTTACTCGATCTTCCTCCTTTTGACAATCATCGGTAGTTCTCATCAATCTTACGAGTCTCATGATTGTGCACTCTTCCATGAGGACATTGTAGTGGAACTGAACTTTAGCCATAAACAACTCGTTGAGTCGTAGATCTATGCTGTTGTAATCATTGGCATTTGCCTTGTAGAGGGTATGCAGTTCATGTTGTAAGTTTTTCGTCAATTTTGCCCTTTCCTTCTCCAGAACTTCGCATTCATCACGATATTCTCTTGCAGCCATAAATTCTTCCAAAGTATATTCCATCATTCCCTTTTCCAGCATAAATGCCGGCTTGGGAATTTGCTTGAGCAGAATGTCCTCTTTTTTCTCACCCGGAAGTAGCAAATATTGTAATGGATTGATTTCCTCCTCCTCCTCTTCCTCCTCCTCCTCTTCTTCCTCCACTGATCCACACACTGCAATTAATTGGAACGTTAATATTAGTAACAAAAATATTTGAAAGTACAGTTTTTAGCTGGAGCCAGGGTCAATGGATTGTCTTTAAATTTAGAACCCTAGAATTCTTATAGTTATAGGAATTAAACATTCGGAATGTAGTATTAAGTTCAGGATTGTTACCAGGATCCAACAGGGTTTTACATACAACACTAGGAAATTACGAAGAGACGAAATTACTGTTCATACTAAAGCTGCATTGTATTGATTTTCATTTGAAACTTGCAATTTAGAAATTCTCATTAGTGAGTAATAATAATAATATTACCCTCTTCACTTCCTTCTGACCCTTCGACACATTCGCCTTCTTCTGATCCATGTTCACCTTCCTCAGCCGACGCTTCCTCTGCGACTTCTTCAGAGCCAGCACCTTCAGAAGCTTCTTCTGATTCCCCTGTAATTACCAATTTGAATATGTAAACCTTAAACATTTATGCATATTAAATAATGATCATCGTCATGCATTGATGTTGAGTTTATGATAAATAAATGCACCTTCGCCTGCTTCCTCTTCTTCTTCTTCTTCCTCCTCCAATTCGGCTTCTTCAGCAGCAAGCATGGCCAATTCCTCCTCACGTTCTAGGTCAGCCTCCTCCTCCTCCTCAATCTCCCAACGACGCATCACTTCAAGCTCCTGACGAGCACGTTCTGCCTCTTCAGCATCCAGCCTTTGTTGTTCTTTTTGAGCTGCAGTGTAGTACTTTTCAACGGGGATCTATAATATACAAATGCAGTATTGGCAACAGATACGAAGTAAAATTGAAAGGACTTTGTGAAACTCCTATGGTCACCTCGTCTTTAGTCACAACAAAAATTCCACCAGGGTCTTCTTTGGGATTGTTCACATCGTCCAAAATGTCCAAGTCCAAATTAAGATAGTAGTAAATCTCTCGTATTCTCTCATTCCTTTCCTGCATTCTTCTCAAGACTTCCGACTTGTAGTTGCCTGCTTCGTCAAAGAGCTCGTCAAAAAATAGTTTGAGTCTGTAAACGTCGGCAGAGACAAGCATGATTTGGCGAACAAAGTGATGTCGAGCTTTCAATTCCATTTGATGGTACTGGTTTAATTTGCATAAAGAGCATGAAAAGAGGTAATTAACTCTTTATTAGCAAAACAATGTAATTATTTGTGTTTTCTTTTATTATAATTAGAGTGTGTCTTACCTGATACGGATTCGGTTTGTACTGATGCATGTCCTCCAATTCATGTTCCAAATTTCCTGAAAAAATGCCTGAAATAGTGCAACCAATTGTATATAAGAAAACCAACATATTACACAAGTACATAAGCACGCAAGTTTGTATAGTTTTTACGTTGAACATTGAAGTATGGTGTTACTTGTTCTTCCTCCATAGTTGCAAACCTGGCACTTTTCAAGTCCAAGAATGCTTCTTCCTCATCAATCCCTTCCCATTCCTCTTCCTCCTCCCCTTCCTCGCCCTCTTCCTCGCTGAGGACAACAAATTCGTTCAGTGGCTTAATCTTCTTGGTGTGGCGTCGTTGTCGGGCTGTGGGTTCCACAACAGGTTGTTTTTCTTTCGTCTCCTTCTTCCGCTTCTTCCGACCAGGAGTTGGTCCAAGAAGCGTGTCCATTTTGCTGCGTCGTCTTGCCGCTGCCCCCGATGGTCCAAACATACCTCTGGCAAAAATATACACCTTGCTCGGTTTAATCGTATCCAGTATGTCCTTCTTGGACAGGGCAACCGAGGACGCTACGCTTTGCACGTCATCATCATACTCGTCCTCAGTGTCCTCCACAGCCGAGGATGCTCCACTGTAGTCACTCATGGCGAACCCAATATGAACCAGCCTCTTCTTTTGAAGCTTTTCATCATCACCTCAAATGCAAATATTATGTTTCAATGAGATCAAGGTTATTGCAAAAATGTTTATTATTAGCAGAATTCATGGGCGTGTCACTTAATTAGTTGTTCTCACCTCCTGCTTCACTCTGCTCTTCAGCAATAGGCATTTCTGACTCGGTCCTTCTCTGCCTTGACTGCATTCGGAGTCTTGCTACACTGGGTGGCCTTATCTTGGCTTCCTTCTTCTTCCTGCGATGCTTTGTGTGACTGGCAGGTCGAGGGGTACTTTCTTGACTTCGAAGTTCTCGTTTCTTTGTAGGCAAACGTGAACCGAACGCGGATCCACCAACTTTTTCCTTGCTGGCTTTAGAAAATAGTGAAACAGATTTTTCGGGTTGAGACAACCCTTTGCCGTCCTTCTTTGGGCGACCACCTGAATTACAGAGAAAAAAAAACAAGAAATTCATAATGAGTTGCTTTTGAGGTTTGTGGAATAAGATCAGCAAGATTATATACAACGAACCTAGCCCCAACTCTTGTAAAACTGTTTTTAAAGCTTCTTCTTCGTCATCCTCCGTTTCGTTAAATTCGTCAAATTTTCCACCCAAATCCATGCTCATCATACTTCTGCGATAATTAAATAAGCAATTCTTTAGTAGCATTATCTTTCAATAGCGTACACTTATGTGAGTTAACAAGTAATTAAGAAGTAACTGATTGAATAACAGCAAAATGTTCTTACTTCATGTACATCTTTTGAGCTTCTGGCTCAACGTGTTCCATTTCAGATTGTATTATGGTAAAAGTGTAATGATTTCCAAGTTCTACGAGCTCGTCGTCCAAAGACTCGATCCGCAGTTCTAGCCTCCTTTCTTCCTGACTCTGATCCACAGACGTTCCAAAAGTCTTTTCGTGAGAATTGAGGGGATAATTTGCTACTATGATTGGTGAATCGTAACCCTTGCAATTTGTAATATAAGGTGATTACTTAAAAGTTCAGAGCAAGCTTTGGTGTTGATAATATTAATGCAGCCACATACCAGAAATAATTTCCCTTTGTGAGCATAGCAGTCCCAAACCAAGTTCTTAAAGTTTTCAATTCGAGTATGTCTCAACTTGTTCCTTGCCATCATCTGGACCTATAAAAACAAGCATGTGAAGTTGAAACTTAGCTTTTTCCGTCCGTAGATTGATAATAATTACTTAAATAGAGATTATTTGGATAAATGCAGATTAAGTACATATCTACTTACATGACAATATTTGGCATAGTTGTTTCCCTTTTCTTGAAGAATAGCTTCTATGTCATCATCCAAGTTGAACTCTGTGATTGGAACTTGAAATCTCGACTCCCTTGAGTTATTCAAGTTCATAACAGTGTCAAACTAAAATATATGCATAATAATTAACCGTTAACCTTGGTCAGGATGTATCAAATTGCAACCTCAAAATAAATTAAAATCTTACAAGCTCCATCATTTTGTTGAGAACGCTTTGCAGCTTCGCAGAACGGGGTTGAAACTGTCGATACAGCAAAGTGTACTCGTATCTTGACCAGTATTCAGGAGCAGGGATTTCACCACTTTGAATGTCTAATAAATCAATTCCACGTATGGTTTAAATTAATAAAATACAAAAGAAATACAATATGCAAATTAATTATGAATACGTTAATTAATTTTGCTAATAGAAAATTACTAAAGCTGACGCAATAAATTCCATCTGGGTCGATCCCTTCAAACATTCTGATGACTCCTCCAGTCTCGTTTTGAGGTCGCGAGAACTGGATAATGTTGACGGATTCTGTGGCGTCAAAAAAGTCACCCCCTTTTCGGAAGCGTTCTTCTACGACATCATCGTCTTCTTCTTGGTCCATCTTGAGTTTTCTTTGGTTTTTCAACCTATCTCTCCTATGTTTTCCCCCAAAGCTCAGTTGCGTATTATTTCCACCGGAAGAAGAACCTCCGTCATCTTTTTCACTGTCGTCATCGTCTTCCGTCTCATCCTCTTCCTCCATCGTTGTGCTCTCTTCTTTAGAAACTATACTCGCCGGAGCTAATTGTTACAAGAAAATGAAGTTTTTAGCAGAAATTAAACAAGAAAGAAATGTCAAACTCAACTGTATTCGATTACCAGAATGATGTTCCTCTGATTTTTCATCTGATTCGGCAGCAGCCTTTTTAATATTTTTTGGGTGATGAATTTTTGACTTGACGTTTTTGTATCTTTTCTTGGCTTTCATGGTCATTCGTCGAGATTTCTTTTCTGCTTTGGCCAAAATTTTCCTGGCCTGTGCTTCTGCATTCTCCTTTGTTTCCGCCTCGTTGATGGACAGTTTTGGTTGCATTAGGATCATGATGTCTTCATCCGTTATTGCCTCCCCTTCGTCACCCCCTTCTTGTGATTGTGACTGAGAACGCGACTGAGCCTCTTCTCTGAGTTTCTCGGCTTCGCTTTCCAATTCCTTGCGAATTTGAGATCGGCGTTTTTTCTTGTCCTTTTCTTGACTATCCGATGGAGTTTTCTCTATTTGTTTATAATATAGTGAAATATTTTACAAATTACTCAAATTGAATTATGCACTAGTCCTCAAACGATCCATTCAGTACCGCTCTGTGAGGTGGAAGTCCAATGTTTGCAATGATGCTCGCCATCAGTTTCCGTTTCACCAGATGACCATTCATCGCAAACCCATTCCTCCTGAAAATTGAGCAGAACGAAAATTAAATGTTTTCGGACTACAAAAAGGTACCAAATAATTTATGATGTATATATACCTCATCTTCCTCTTCTTCTTCTTCGTCACCCGTAATGACAACTTTCCTGCTTTTCCTCTTCTTCTTCTTCTTCTTATTGGCAAGAGCTGCACTTTCCGACTGCTGGGCACTTATCAGGGCATGTAATTCCTCATCCTCCGGTGAAGCAGATATGGTGGGGTTGTCCATTTGAATTCTAATCATTTCCAACCTGTTGCGTGGTTTCTTCCCAGATACTAAGCGATCTTGGTCTCGTTTATATGAAGTCATTTGGTACTCGTATAATTTAGGTTTGACAAACCCGAGTAAGGCCCAATTAGGTTCCTTTGGTTTATCCCTACATACAATCGTAATAGTAATTTGTTCGAATCTTCCAAATTGTGATTATAATTTACAAGTAATTATTATTGTTACATTAATCTGATTCTTGTGAAGGTTCCATCAAACCCAATCGCAATTATCTGACTTCCGTCTAAACTGACAGCTCCGTCCGCCACGCCTCGGTCAAGGAAAGAGTGGGTGTGAACAGAAAGAACTAATTGCAGGTTCAAAGAGTCAGCAGACTCTTCTCCTTTGTCCAGCGGAGTTTCATACACGGAGACATTTCCATCTTCTCCAAATGTGTATAGCTTATCGGCTTGGACGACCATTTTATTCAGATCCATCTCAAAGGTCCCCTTGACCATCATTTCAGGTTCTTGAAGTACTGGGAAGGCGTTCTAAATTCGCAAAACATGAGCAAAAATGCGTGTGTGTGATGCACTCATTTCTTGTATAAAATTTAATAAGATTATGATAAGCCTATAGCACTGTACATCATCACAAAATGGCGTAATTCCTATTTGTTTCTTGTCCACATGATACGTGTACAAAAATGGCTTCATGGGAGAGAAGCATATCGCTTTGACAGGATTTTCTATAGCCTGAGCCGACACCAAGTTAAGACGCTCATTGTTCAAAGAGAAGTTGTAAATGTAGTTGCTGGAATATGCGATGTCAAAACATGATAAATTTACATCCTTGATTTAATTGGATACACTAACATCATCATAAAATATGCTCACTTTCTAAAATTCATAAAAACATTCATAAAAAATAGGCCAGCTCCTACCTGCACAACTCTTCCACTTTGTTCTTGGCATAGACTACGACTTGGAGTCGCGCATCTTCTGCGCCACAGCCTGGAACGTTGAGCAAGCGAATGTCACCTGGGGAGGCACAATAAGACCTTTGTTGAAGTCCGTGCAAACATTTAAAAAATTCCAGGCTACAAAATGTATTAGGAGGCCTCGAACCTGGGACTTTAATAGAGTCCAAATATTCAAATTCTTCAAAGGGATATCCATACATGAGATAAACTTTGTCATTTGTGGTGTCCGCTGCTACTAAATACCTTCCTTGACATGCCATTGCTATTTTGGTAAAGAAGGAGTCCTTTTCCTTGGACAAATACGTTTTACAAATTAGTTTTGGCCTCTTGGGATTTTGAGTGTCGAGCACATTCACGCAGCCGTATGCAGTGCCACAAAAAAGGAATGGGAGGACTGGATGGCTCTGTAAGCTTGCTACCCGGAATGGAAGTTTCCAATTCTCGATCTGAATATTTTTTTGTTAGTAACAACCCATTTATCTGTGACATATACAGCTTTTAGTATTTACAATGTCTCCCGTCTCAGAGTCCAAGATGGTGACCCTTCCAGTGTCACTTAATATTGCGCAATAATCTGCACGTGGTTCGATGAAGGTTGCAGCTCTGACGTTTGAGAAAAGGAAGTCGGGTATGCAAAATGGTTCAGTGAGCGTCCCCTCCTCCACCCCCTCAATTAGACCCTCTCTTTCCGTAATGGCATGGAATGACTCAGGAGCTCCAGGAAATTGAAAATACTTCAAAATTCCTGAGGTTAGCTTGAAGCTTTTTTTCACTTTTAACATTCCATTGTCCACAATATCATAGGCCTTGGAATAAAACACAATTAATTTTAAATATTAATTCTTTGGGGCGAATTTACATATTAGATGGTAGATTTACCAAAATCCAACCATCATTATGCACTTCAGCGATACAATCACCATACGGAACAATGCGAGTTATCGACGTGCCTAAAAATCCGTACCCAATTGAGCACAGCCAGGTGAGAACTTTGTCTTCTTGGTTCAACTATATACCCATAAATAATACAAATTAGTGTTTTACAATCAGTCCTGCTTCCAATTATACATGTATGGAATAACTTGACAACTTACAATATGCAACCCAAGCTGATTGTCCAGCACATAAAAATCCCCAAAATGAGTGAAGCATGCTGAAACAATGGTCATGGCAAGTGGTTGACCCATCGCTGGATCCGGCTTTTCATACGTGATGAACCGTTGAGGAAGATATATTTGAGTTCGAACAATATCATTTTTGGTAAATGATTGAAGGTCATAAAACGTCATGTGTTGTCTCCCATATTCCACCCAATGACAGTCGTTTATTGGACTGGCACGTAGGCAAGGAAAATAAATGAAAACAATTTGTTTGACAGATCCAGGCGGGTGTATCACAATCATCGTCATAATTAATAACACAATATAAACTATGCTCATTCACCTAATAAGAAGATCTGAAAATTCGGACGGTTCGTTGGTCAACGCCATAATGAGTTCTTGTTCAGTCGTCCACTTCCAAATGGACAAGCTGAACGAAGGATAACCAGTGAGTACCACGATGATCTCTTTCTTGTTGAATCTCATTGCACGGATCTCGGTGGCTTGTATGCCTGTCAATTTGGCCACAACCTTGTGGTGCCAATGGTCCTTCTTCTTTTCAATTTTGCAAACATGTACTTTGGGATTCATTGCTTTCTCTGCAATCGCGTAAACTTCTTTAATGGGATCTCCTTCGAGGGCGGATACCTAAATTTAAAAATATTGATGCTATGCAGATTCAGCACAAAATTTGCTCGAATATTAAAATTTTACCCCATCGAAACCGTGTTTAAATGTTCGCAGGACCTCGACTCGGGTTCTGGCGTGGCTGTGATCCACTTGCACGTAGCGCATGATACTTCCAATTACATAAATGTAAAAGTCTGTAATAACAAATAACATGAAAAAAGACTGGCTTGAGCTCTATCAGTTCTGCACAAGAGGTTTTTCAAACTATGAATTGAAACATATCTTCTCGTATGGGGGCAAAATGGCTTCCAGGCTTGGACATTCCACGCATCCATCGTAGGTGGCCATCTCCAACGTCGCTAATTATTCCAATTATATTCAGAAAACAAGTCTACGTATTCTCGTTTGAGATACTGATAATCTATATAATTAATAAATATATAAGAACCCGTCAAGCCTTACCACGTAAATTCCATTGTAATTCAAAAGCTTTTGTGAAAACTGTGCACTATTATATTATGACAATATACATATTTGATGAAACTTCTGTCAAAATGCACCTTGTTTTAAAACGAACTTAAAGTATTCCTTGACACCAAGGCGATTATGGACTATTTATTTGTTCAAAGCGATAGCGCTATAGAGTGATAAAGTGTCAAATAGTCTTGATATTATGGAATCTGCAATTTTGCAGTTTACAAACAGACACAAACACATTCAGTATGAAATCGATCAAACTATGAAAATCTGGCTGTGCTTATGCACATTTGTAGAGCCCAAGTCATGCATTTTCTCCTCCTCCATAAATGCTACAAAATTGCTAGGTTTCAGCGTGGAAGCCAGACACTATACATAAGACAATACGACCTGATTAGGGTTAACAATATTTTTAACCCATATAATTTACACTTGAGATATTTTGTAGACATTTTCTTTATGATTTATTTCGGATCAGCAAATCATTTTACAAATGGAAAACTAACAATTATGTATGAGACATACTTATAACATAACAAAAGCAGCGCATATTCTAATAGTTATTTAAATAGCAGCAAACAGTGTTCAGCAAACAATTCGCAGTTTCAATTTTGATTTGTTGTGTGCTTGAAATGGTAACAATTTCTTGACTTGTCTAATTATTAATAATCTGTATTACTAATGATTATCTCAAATTTCATGAAATGCTTGGTTTTGATGACAATTTTACGCTTAATTAAAAAAAGATCTATTCCGAATTAATTTATATCTAGTGGAAATAATACCGTTTGATTGTAAAGTAAAATATGGAAGAAGTTCCCATGCTACACACAGCTCATGTAGGAATTACATTTGGAACTCTTTTTCAGGTAATTAAAAATGTATTCAAGACAAGATGCACCCAACGATATATTTATTATGTTCACAAGTATGGCACCTCCATGTAGCGTTCCTCTGGCAAATCTCTCTTGCTTCACTGATTCGGTTGTGTGATTGTGTACTTATTAACAAGCTAATTTAAGCGAATGCACATGATTCATTTGGAACTTGACTCACTCGGCCAACTCTAAATAAAATACATTTCTTGTATTATCAAATAATAAAATGTGTGGCACTCTCCTTAGGCATATTCTGTGATGGTCTAGCGCAAGCTAAGTATTTACGAAGACCATGCATGGTCAATATTACATACTACACACATCAAAATATTGAGTTTAATTTATCAAGTAAGACGTATCATAAATCAATTTAAATCCGTAAAACAAAAAGGAATATCGACATATCCAATACTGAACAGAATGAGTAAATTTACGCCAAAAAGCAATCGAGAAATGGCTCAATTATATAATGTAGTACGGGTGGGTGAGTGGTAATTGGTATTCATATTACCCACACATTTAAATAGCTATATAAATATACTACTTCTAAAGTCGAGGACTTGGTTCCAACAAATGTGGTAAATATAATATAATTAATTGCATTCTATTTTTTCAATCAACTTTTAAATTCAAGTCAACTTCATGACATCATCAGCGAGTTGTTATTTACAAAGCTAATTTTATATGCAAATAGTTAGCAAAGGGACTGAATATATGGCATGCATATGTACATTGTAGCCTATAATGTAATACATCTTACACATTTCTAGTTTCTAGATAATCGTTGAACTAATTAATTTGCATTCTAGCTAGTGTTGAATTAATTTTGGATGGTTATTCTTCGTATTTCTTTACTTTGCCGGTGCAGGCGAAGATTCCTTGGGTGCCACTGGAGTCGGACTTGGTGACCCACCTTTCACTGGAGAATCCTTGTTCAAATCCAGTTTAGTTTTGAAGGAAGCGACATATCCCGAGCTGTCTGCAACATCTCGTCGCCCTTCAATCCCCTTCCCTTTCCCACTGGCGTCAAATCTCTCTAGAGAAACAAGGTAGTTGTGTATGCCACCGTAAAATTAGTAATTAATTCTTACAATTATAATTAGTGCACTCACCCTTGTGCGACCCGGTGTATTTCGAGCTGGACAAAAATTATAGTTATGTTAAAGTGTTGTTAGGTTTTCTGCCTCCAGATAAAAATGCATTTGTTTAATTGCCTAACCTGTCCGTGAGCCGATCTACAACGTTTGCATGGGCAGCTTTTGTTGCTGTTGAAAGACTTGGTGATCCACAATTGGTCAACTTGTCAAGTAGTTCCTGGGGTTCAATCTTCTTGGACTTTGCGAGTTCCTCAATGTACTTTTTGAAGTCCTCTATCGGTACTTTCTTGGTGGTCCTGTAGAATTTCAAATATGTAATGATTCTTATTAGGCTTGAATCTAGGGCCTGACAAATATGATGAGGAAGCTGCATTCGTGCTTCATAAGACTTACTTGAACAGTTTTTTAAAGCAAATTGAAGTGTCCGTAGTCGTAATTTTCTTTCCATCCACAACTTTCGCCTGTTTCATCCTATCAAATTAGATTTAATGATTTATGAGTTAGCATTATTATTATTGAACATTTGCGTCCAGATTATTGGCAAGTCCCATTTTTGCACGATGTGGATGAACTTGGTTCATTTGGGCTTGTTTATTTCAAGATTACGAATTAATTACCATTTATCGCTATTGCTCAAGGTGATATGTTTGCCATCCGATGCAGTATCACCAAAACGGCTGAAAATTGCAAATTGATCGTTCAATGTAGCTGGCTTAGCGTCACCGGCTGCTCCTGCTGTTGAATCGCCCATCTGCAAAACAAAATAAATTGTTTATGGTGCCCAGAGGAAGGAATTATGTAAACATGTATGATAAAATTGTCCATACGATTAGACTCAGCAAAACCTTAAACAGCTAACAACGTAACAAGTACAAATATGCACACACACCCGAAAAGAAAAGAAAGTACCAATGCGGATCAATTTCAATTTCAGATTTCATACATGTCAAAAGTAACAAGTGATTCAGGCCGAAATATTTCCTTTGGATGCCATCGAGATAAAAATGTTATGAAAAATTCAGGAAATCCTAGCATCACAGTGTGATTATGAGCAATGAATTTTATCCAAGCATGTTAATTACCTTGAAATAATCAACCCAACGAAACTTGAGATCACCTAAACCCTTAAATTTATCCAGTTTGGAATTATTTTGAGATTTTTTCGACATGAAAACCAATACAGTTTACTAAAAAAAATATTTTTCTGATTGTTACGGATTAAACAAGTACCGCTTTATGAACAAGAATATGCTCGAAGATAGAAAGACCTGAAATAACAAGATGAGAGCAAAGACTGACTCGGAACTCTCACCTGCGAGTATGGATTCGATTAATTATAATTACTCTTATCACGTCGACCAAAATGGACACATTGATATATATTATAGATTCATGTGATTTTATGTACATGTGTATGCATGTACGGATGAGATCAATTGAGATAGAAGTTTAATTGGCAATTGGTTTGTCCCGAAAATCACTGCCAATTTCGAGCAAATGTTAATGCTCAAACTAGACAAGGTAATTCGCATGCTGGAGAATAAAATACTATGCCACACTGCACACACACGGATTTAATTATTATGGCTGTATAAAATGTGAAAATGGTGCCTTCATCCACTCACTCTAATAACTGCGTGCGAGAAGTCGAATCGTTACTAATTTGCATAAACCAAACTAGTGATTTTCGAAATTAAACTGTTCGAGTAACGCGACGCTGTGCAAGAAGGATGGGTCGATGGAAGCAAAACAGCGACCTGGAGTCAAATGAGTATTACAAAGCACGGAGCACGGCATGGGATAAAATAACACCACGGGCTGGTCCCACTGACTGACATTGAATTAAAACAAAAATAGTAATGAGTAACGCCAACAAGTCAGCATCACACACAGAATTAAAAACCAGCATCCAGTATACGACGATGGTGTTAAATGCAATGAAGATAAAAGTGTAAATATGTAGTTTGCACATAACCTCGACTCTCGTTATCATACACGTTTAGCTGGAATGTCGTGGTACATACATTTTCGTACATTACGACTTTTCGTTCCAATTGGGCTTTATCAGCATTCCGCTGAATCAGATAAAATTATTGGCAATTGATGTCAAAATGTGTCAACTGCTAACACAGGCCTTATAAACCCATTCATACGTTTGTCACATCCTACTTACATACATACTTTAATGCAATATTGGAGTAAAGAATCCACTCCCACCAACTCACAATACAATCCATCCGACACCCATCATTCTCTAATTAAAAGTATGTCCAGAACACATACAGTTTGCAAAATAGAATCAAGTACATCGGAAAGAATTGCGAGTTTTACACGACTCGATTAGTTATCCATCAGTGCATACATATTTATTTACTCTATATGCACTGATGACGCATTTACTGGCATTGCAATTTGCAATTAGCCATGGAACAGCGGAAGATGACTTCAGTCAGACAAACCAATTCCAGAATGTCACGTTACGTAGATTATGTAACTCAGAGTAGAAAACTATAAACTGCAAGTAACTCCATGTTGCAGTCACTTAACACTCGAGTCCTTGTTGCCGTACGAGAGAGAACATGTTGACTTTAACTACACAGCTAAAATACATACAAATAGACATGCAGCGCAAGGAGTATAAACATTAATTTCTGTAAATAAATTCAGCATCATGGCCACTTCTCTGGGTACAAATCAAACATTAAATCCTAAGCTCGCCTCTCGTTTCATGTACCAAAAGATGCATCGTTGTAAAACAAATTTACAATGCAACAGCTCCAAATATTGTATTGCATACACATACATAATAGTATGTTGAGATTATTATGAAACACAAAACACGGACGGAGAACCAAAATAATCGTGGACTTGGAGTAAGATTAATTCCTTGAACGTTTTTACTTTCCTGGAAGTCTAACCTCCACTTGCGGCACCTACTTAATGGCAATTAATTGGCAATTAAACGCAATAATCGGTATACTTTTAATAGTCTATTTTACTACTCCAATAATGAGAATAGTAATATTTGTCAAGTTCATTCATTCATCATTTTATGTATTGTACAAATCTCGCCAGTTGCACTCTGTCCAGAGAGATTGTACGACTGACTGAGTACAGGGAAAGTACGTAATTTGTTAATTTTTCATTCACAAATCTGGCCAGATTCATAAAAGTTTACGATGCAATTATTTTACTAAACTTTCTCCATTCTCTGGGAATCGGCAACAAGCTCATCCGCTTTCAGACTATTTAAGCCACGTTGTTATACGTACGTATGTACATTTAAAACTGCTAAAACTCGAAAGAGGTTGAACGCAACTGGAAAGCCCATTCACCTACGAAAGAAAAGGTCGAGTTGTGCGGTGAGGACGGACAATAAAAGCATAAAATACTAATGAAAACAATGTTTGCTATTTCTATTCCGGACACAGTCGAGTGCTTTACTTTCTCTGCTATGTCGATGTGCCAAACCTGGTCGATTTTCTGTCGACGTTTGAGAGAAAGTAAACTCACTTGTTCCCTTTATTCTGTGCTATTCTGCACGCAACTCTGGTCGCTTATTATGTATGTAGCTTATTAAATCTTATTCGCAAGAACCTCTTTTCATGTTACCCACTCTGGAAAATACTAACGAAAGCGAAGGGCCTCTTATGTAAACCCTACTTTCTTTTTGTTAAGATTAATATAATTTCAATTAATTATAACACTTTGGAGACTTTGCATACTAATAATAAGGATATCAGCCAATCTAAGGATCACATTTAACGCCTTATACATGTGTAGTAATAGTGCGTTCTGATTTGTTTGGTATTCTCCTCATGAACAGAGAACAGATTCTACACATACTTACATATATGACAACATTCGTCGTGCAATCAACAGTCGTGGGAACTGTGAAGCCTCAAAGTCGATGACCCAATATCGGACCCACGGGAAGAGTTATTTTATTTTACACTTTTGGGTTTAGTTTATACGAAATTTTAAACTAACATCCATGAAGTCACTGATCTGCTCATAATTAATGGCAATCTGGTCGAACGAGTTCCAAAATTGACGAATTAACAGAACAATGACGTCAATTATTTTATGGTGACATCATTTTCAAGCTTGCTATTGCTTCATGACTAATAAAGCTGCATCCAGCCAAGCTCTATGATTTCACGGTGATTATCCCACCCAATGGGATTTTAGGATATTGTGAGATGGGATAATCTCCACTAAATCACAGAGTATGGGGTAGCTTAATAGGCAGACATGGAAATAAATCTTTACACTTTATCTTTAATCTGCAATATGCTCCACGTATAAAAAATTGCCGTGCAATATAACGTTAATTTTGTGACTATGATGTCATACTGAGAACATAAAATTTAGATCTTAGATACATCTTTTAGAGAATCAAAGTGGTGGAGGTTGAAATGACTCATCTCTTCCTCAAAGGAAATCTTATGGCACGGTTTATCTCTATTCAGACTTTCTCTACATTGGGGTTAGTCACCACCATTAACGCCGTTCTCTATTCCAGCCACCACTTCAAATCCTCTCTCGCAACGGACAACGGCAATTCTACTCGGCAAATGGAGAGGCTGAGATGAAAAATAAAAGTGAAAGTCGTGCTTGCCAACCGGGCAGGAAGGGAAAGCTTTCTCTCCGCGTGAAAGGAGGGGGATGAGTCATCCACCTGTGCACACGTGATCTAATTCTAGATCCTACCGTAGCTCGTCTGTCCCACTCCACAAGACCACCTTTTGATGGTTAGAGAAAGTCTAGGAGAAAGCTCTTCAATGTCAACTACTAATGTAACTGTTAAATGTGTTGAAGCCACACAATTAGTTCAACCCTTCCTAAATAAAATCTGATAAATACGCGTCCTATTATTACTAAGTAATGAACATTAATCACGAGATGAATATATATTTTGACCGTGAGAAGATTTGCTTTATCATAATCAGATAGCTTAATTATTTAACTACAGTTTGTCCTAACTTCTAATATCTGATTTAAAGATATCCTCAATTCAAACCGTGTTAGTCTTTGCGCTCGTATTCAGGGTGCATTTAAATCAATTCATTCAGTTATTCCATTTTATATCCAATTAATATGTAACATGTTGACTTTATGTACCAGGAGTAAGATAAAACGGTAGTAAATATGCATTTATGCATGTGGATACACATACGTACGTAGGCAGTTGATATGAATGAATTTGAATGGTCAATTTTGACATAGTGCATATGTCAGGTACAACAAATACAGGAATAAATGTTATTAAATAGTCAACTAAATACGTGCACTACTAATCACTGTTCAGATTTATCCGTAGTAAACTAGCAAAAAACAAACAAGCATTTTATTACCAGAATTTTGTTAAAGATCGATAACGCCACACTACAGTACATACATATGTACATAGGTATGTATGTACATATACTCCTGCTCAAGGCTTGATATGTATAACCAAAGTGCGTTCTATTCTTTCCTCTTTTTTGCACTGTATGTAGAAAAGTACGATTTCTCGACTACATTGCAAGTTGCAATTTGCAACAACATCATTTCGGCTGCGTTTCTTCTCGGAAACGGAATTAATTGGCAGAAAATGCAGATTAAGAAACAAGGACTACGCAAAACATATTTAGTATGCATGCTTGATTTCTTTGGTTTTGAATGGATGGATGCGTGTGTGATACGTAATTAAATTGTAGTACGAGTAATTTCAAAGTTTCACATGTGTGTTCAAGTATGTGTATATGCATGTATCCACCAAAACTGATGCTATACATGCCACATTACTCCACGTAGACTAATTGGTTCCAACCATTCCTAGAGAATGGCAAATGAGGAGAAGTATTGGATTCCAATCCTACATATTTCCGATTACAGACATGTAGCTTTCACCAAACCTGACAACTTTTGTTGGACGAGTCTTTCGTAGGCCTCCAGTAATTTCCGTTGCAATACAATTACAGGTATGATTCCTTTATTATAAAGTATGAATAAGTCTTAATTTCATACCTTTATTGCATTAATCATATCTATGTCCCAAAAGATTCATGCATCATAACCTCACTTGGTCGCCACAAATACCGAATGCATAAGTCAAATTGGAAGTATTGATAGAAATCTGACACACAAGCTTCTGCCGTATGAGATGGTATAGCCAGAAACAAAATAAATCAGAGCCCTGACAATGAAATACACATACGAGTATATGTATGTAGAAGGCAGGACAAAACGCAGATGCTGAAAGACAAGAAATGTTTAGAAATGGCAGCTGAACCACTAAAACTCGAAGTCTCGTACATTTACATGACGCTGCTTTCCCTTATGAAAGACTTCCAAAAGAAGTAAAAATAGAAAATCATGCCCCACATGAGCGCATGGAAGTTTTCGACTTTAGCATTCTAATGATGATAATACTGAAGTATATGAATGAATAATAGGGCAAGGCTCCATTAAAGTCATAAGTTAGCCCATATTGGTCTATTGATAAACTAACTTATGTTTTCCTCTGATTCTAAGTTTCTGGCTGGAAATTAGTAAACACAATTATGAATTTAAATATAGTAGATTTGGACCTAACCTTAGCTCCAGAAGTTCGTGGTCTCGGCCTTGAACTTGAACCGCCCTTGGGAGTCGGAGCAGCAGTATCCTTCACAGCAGACCCAGATGAATTTAAATTTGAAGCAGGAGGGGACTGGATCCCTTTTTGAGCAGAGCTTGCAGTATGTTGATACAACGTGGAGGAGGGCCGACTTCTTGGTGTGGCGCAAGTAGGTAGAGCACTTTTGGGCCTAGTGTTCAAGTCTCGACTTCCACTTGTGCTTCTCGGAGTTCTTGGAGACTTGTTGTTTTCTGCAAGTGGTGTTGATGTTGTTGGTGTGGTAGCATCTGACGCAGCACAAGGAGTGCTCACTCGGCCAATTCGGGACAAATTCGGTTCTCTTGGTAATTTCCCCGATCCCGTTACTTCCTTCTTCGGAGTTTCCTTGTTTTTCTTCTCTGTTCGGCTGCTGGGGGACGCTCCGACGCTACTGGTTCCTAAAAAATGAACCAACCAAGTATTTCATGGAGCAATATCTACCATTCATCCATGCCAATTGATTTCAGATCCAGCTACAATTTGTGCACACTAATTACTATCAGGGTTCTTTTTACCAGTACTGGGGCGAGTTCGTCCCGTTCCACTTGGAGGTCGAGTTTTCGTTGTTGTGGTTGGTGCCTTAGGACTATCTTTCACGTCTTCGCCATTTTTGACCTTTGCGACAGGGCTGCTTTTGATCAGTTTTGGATCTAATAAGGTAAAATATGAACACACAGAAATATCAAAACTATATTCATTGTTGCAAGCTTTTCAACACGAGAAATGGTGGAGAAGATAAATGAAATATCAATCACTCACTTTCCTTTTCCTCTTTCATCACATCTTGCATCGTAGCCAAATTGAATGGCTTCTCGGCCGTACTTGGCCTTGCGGGTGGGACAGTATCACTTCCTGCGGTTCCTGGGCGGCTTGAATTTGATGTTGCCAACGGACCACATAGCCCTGAATTCTCAAGCAGTGTCACAACGAGTCTCACATCGTCACCAACTTCGTCCCCAAAAGAGATACGATCCGGCGCCGGCTTACCATCACCGGAAATTGCAGTCGTAGGTCTCGAGCGAGGAGATTCGCTCTCCAAGTCAGAACTGGCACTGCAATTTCCATTTGATTCTGCAGAACTGCATCCCTTGGCTGGAATCAGCGTGGAGTTGTTCGAATTTGCATCCTCTCCTGTCTCCTTTTTTGCTCCATTTTGTTGAAAATCCATGTTCTTAAAATCTACAAATATGTAGTACCGACTTGATAATTATATATAATTAAGTGAAAACGGTTATTTTATAGAAAGGTTGGGCTGTAATTATTACAACACTAATTTACACGTGATAACTTGTATATAATCAGTGTAATCATTCCAAAATGCTTACTATTTTTTACTTTTGTTATTTTTGTACTTACTGCTGGGCAGTACTACTGGCGTGGGTGTTACCACACCTGCTGAAGCTGAATTTGCCTTTGAGAGGTTTCCAATAGTCTGGGCAGTTACACTACTTCCAGAACCACCAGGTCGAGTTCCGGCTGTTCCGGTCACGGATGATGAGCAGCTTATCTGATTGTTATTAGCAGATCCACTCGTTTGCAAATTAGCACTAGCTCCAAAACCGGTTGCGGAGGTGGACGACACAGTACTTGTAGTTATGGGGATAGGCGGCTGGGCTTTCTCCGATTTTAATCCACTGCTGTGAGATTCTACATGAAAAATTCCAGTAGTGAATTACATATGTATGCATACTACTATTAATACACCATCCTATAATTCCGAATGTATTTGCATTATGAAAGAAAAACTTTAAATCACTAATCGCTGCTGGAAATAAAATTTAACCAACTTGTTGAATAGAATAAAAGTGCAAAAGAAAAAAATAATAATTCATTTGGATGGGGCAGTTGTTATCATGTATGTGGAAATGAAGGATGTTAGTTGTAGCCTAGATCATGACAGACCAGATAAAATTAATATGTACAGACTAAAATCTATGAAAATATGCATGACAATTACGTGTTGCCTTGTTCGCTGGTGATGCTGATGGACTTGAGTTGATATCTTGTGAATTATTTCCTCTTCCTCCTCGAATTCCCGACCCTGCTGAGGGTGGGAATGCAGCACTTCCAGTTCCAGGCAAGTTAGTGGGTGCAGTTCCTGCCGCTGCAGTGGGAGGGGTTACCGCCACTTTCTTGGCGTCCGAAGCCACATTGTGTGAGATACCGTCCAGCCCCGTGGGTTTTTCAGTCGAAGTTGTCGAACAGAATTGAAATACTGATGAATTGCCAGGAGAAGACGAGCTCTTACTTGGTGGCCCCTCTGCTTTTGACACGTTTGGAGATGGTGCAGCTTGTGCGCCTTGGATAGGTTTTGGTGTATCAGAAGAGCCCTCAGAACGGGCAGCAGAGATTTTGGTGGTCGTCACAATTGTTGGAGTTGATTCCGCAGTACGAGCAGTAGTGGTAGTTTTTGATGTCGGAGCTGCATTTGTCGCACTACTTGAGGTTGAGGAGACTGAGGGAAGATGTTTCACCGGGACAAGCGGCGAAGGAGGGGTCGTAATGACCACGGGAGATTTCTGAAGACCAAATAAGAAGCCCAAGTTGCATGATTAGAAATCTCAAATTTTAACTAAGTAAATGAACTATTTTCTAGAAATAGTCATTACGAGTGATGAAACAGTATGATAACTTCAGCAAGAGCTGTAATAATTTACCAAAATAGTATCTTTTTCGAGCTTGATAATTTCTAGTTTCCTTTAAAATTGTACATTCCCCTTAATACTCCATCAACAAGTCTGACAAGTTGAGGGAGCTTTCGCCTAGATTTCGATCAAACATTGTTACGTGCTACACAGGATAAATTCTTCCGATGCCAGCCGACACCGAATAATACCGGTTTGACTTTGTCAGTTTTTAAAGAACTTGTGGAGACAAGGGACAAGAACAAATAAACTTCTTCACGCATTAAGAAAATACGATTATCAGTGCAGTTCAGTGCAGTTCAGTTGCGTTATATTTATCTCGTGGGCTGTATGTGGAGAGGTGCAACTCGAGATGAGATGCGGATTATTTCCTAAAAATAGATTTGTAGTATGGAACTGGAGAAAGGGTGAGATCTCATCTCTACTTCTTAACAAGTAAAAGTAGTCAAACAACGGTGTGTTCTTCTGTTTATAACCAAAAAGGGGTAAATTAGATAAATGTGGTCGTGGCCTATAACACTCTCTTTTCTTGTACTTATTTATTTAGATGATCACAACTTGTATTCCGTATGAAATTAAAGCACATGCAAAATTACAACCCAGTTTTTACTGAATCTTACCGTAGCAATTAATTCCCTGTTTGGAAAGTTCTGAGATAAATTATTGTTGATCATGTTGGCTCCATTATTAGCATGGGCTGTGTTTTGTTGGATTATTGCTTGGACCCCCATCATTGGCTTTCCGGTGTTTCCGGTGGAATGATTCATGACCACGCTTTTCAATCAGTTAAATAAATGCCAAAAAATGGAAACGAATTAGACGAGAAAAAGATTTTTAATCTGTTGAAACTGTTAGGAGCGGTGTTAATTTGACACGAGATTGATAGTTTCACTGTCCCTGCAATGCTAGCATCGCTGGATAACTGATGACGTCGATGTTGCCTTTCTCTGAAATCAGCACTCTACACAAAACCTCTTCGTAGTTGGCTTGTTCACAAAATGCGAGTCAGACCATACGTATTTCTACCTGCACGTTTGGTCACATGCCTTTCTCTCCATTTCTTTGTCATGAATTCTAGTAGTGCTATTTTGTTTAATGGAGTTGAGCCCAATCAATCAATCGATATGTGATCGATAGTTTATTTTATTAAGGAGTTTGCCATTTTGCAGAGAAGCCTATCCTTCAATTCATTACTGTTCCGAAAATAGCACGGCCTGGAATAAAATTGTGTAGTATCACTCCTGCAAATTCAAAATGTTCTCATAGTTCCACAACAAATGAATGACTGCTCAAACAAGCTGTTATTAGGAAGTATAGATATATAAATATAGCCTAGTTTTGGAAATAAGCAATATGAGCAATATTTTTATAAATCAAATTCTAATAGTTGGGGTGTGGGAAGTAGCAAGTAATTTACTTAACAGAGAAAGATTTTCAAGTCTATGTAAATCATGTAAATAGGTACCTACCGTTTGTCTTGCATTTTGTTCGATATACCCAGATTCAAATGCTTCATGATTAAACGGAATACTAAAATTGCAGTTGGTTCTACGTATTCATCCATATAATTTAAGTAATTATGTAGGTTTATTATATGTATAGTTATACACGCTCGTTGACAATTGAAGAGCTAAAATAAATCTCACAAATCTCAATTTGCCTCCACGTCTGCAACCAAGGAATGTCATGTTTTCTGAGGTGTTTCACCTTATAAACGTCGTACATCTTATTAATTCTAAAGTGGATTAATTGTAAATTGATTAAATAAAAATGTCACGTTCGAAATAAATTGTCATTCATCAATACAGTAATTTGTCATGTAAATATAATTTACCAGTCTTCTATGTATCTCGAAATGTCTCAACTTGAGTGGTCCCGATTCAGAGTATGAGGTAGGTAGAAACCCCGGCAAGTTGTTATGTTCTCTTCAATAAACAATCACACTTTGCTGATCCTTTAGTGTCCTTAGTTCTTTTACGATTAGTCTTAGAATAAAGTTCTTTTAATTAGTGACAAAACTTGGGGATTGGACATTCATAGATGCTCCATTTAACTGTGGCAAACGTTTAAGGATGAACTTCGAATGATATTTTAAGATTATTTTGTTATAATCTGGAACAATTTTAAGGTAAGTTGTATTATGTACTACATAATTATGCAAACTAATAAAATAGAAATCAACTGGTTTAAACGGTCATATTTTTTGGTGATGGTTGCAGTTCAACATGAGTCAAATTCATCCCTGTCAGGATAACTCCGAGTTGAGTCCTTTGTACCCATCACGGGGTTTACATCTCAAACCCATCGCTCGTCTAAACGTTTCTGTCCACTATCCAGAGTTAAAACAGTCTCTGACCACTGGGGGAAAATCCATTTCAAGTTGGGACATCATGGAACGGATTAAGAGCCTCGTTTCCCCAGAAAATTTCATCTTTCTACGTGTGGTCAAGAACACACTGGAATTCATACGATTTGAAGGCAAGGAGAAATATTTGTATCGTCCCCTCATAATGGGCACCATTACTTTTATCATTACACAAGTTTAACTTATGAGCAATGGTTGCCTTTAAAATGTTTTAGGAGATCTGGAAAGTAGAGAAATTTTGAAAAAAATTATTACTAGGCTGGATGGTAAGATTAACGTCATTATGCAAAAAGGATTAACGCGTTCAATAGTTCAAAATACAAGTCATATTTATATTCAATCGATAGGCAAAACTATGAAGGTTACAGGATTCAAGGAGGCGTTAAAAATCCGTTGTGCAGAATCTAAGTTAATATTTCCGTCAAAGTATGATTGGGATTCGTACTTTAGGGATGCCAAAAATATGAACGAAATGAAGGCTGGAGAAAGACCGGATACAATTCATTTCCAGAATCTACCTTCCAAATGGTTATATGTCTAAATATATGTTATTTTCCGAAGTGTTACTTGAAATCACCAACCTCACTTATTTATCAGGTTTTGCGAAGGGGGGCGTCCCACATCCCAAGATAATGATAAACCGATGCCATCGGAAAAGTTCTTTAGGAGGCTGTGGTCCGTTTTTGGGGAAGTTAGGTGCGTGGATATTCCCGTCTGTGATAAGTATAGGTCACAAATAAGTACGGCAGTGAGGGGAATAAATACGTTTACGTTCAGCAACGACAATGTCTTTGAAGCATATGTCCAGTACAAGGTCAGTTTTCTCAAACTATCGTGTGTTTTAACAATGCCTGTTTGTTACTTTTCCCGACCATCATCACCAGTTAATTATTTCCCCGTTTTTTCATAGGATTACATGAGCTTTGTGAAGGCGATGGATGCTCTAAGGGGATGTTCGTTATTTTATCAGGAGAGTCCAATTGGAAAATACTATGTTGCTAATATCAAGGTGAGGAGCTATACATACATATTACATAAATTAAAAATATGCGAGTCTGTATGATTCATTATCCAGGCATCCAAAATTCTAATTTTTAAATTCACATTATTTTATTGAACTTGTTCAGGTTGACTTTGATAAATCTAAGCATCTGAGTGATGAGTCCATACGAAAGCGTAAGGCAGAGAGAAATCGCTTATCAGAGAAGGACAATGTAAAAAAGACAGCAGAAAAATTGTCAAAGTTAGTTTAAATAATTTGAAACGTAAAAACAGTAAACTAAATAGTTTATGGTTTATCCTTCTTTGTGCTTTCTGTAGATTTGAAGCTGAAGTTAAGGAACAGAAGCAAAATGAACGAGAAAAGAAAGAGACTGAGAAAAATCTTGCAAAAATTGAATATAAAATAGCAATGGAAGAGCGAAAGTATTTAATAGCTAGACGGAAACTGGAAGCAATACGATTGATGGACTATTTATTTGAAACCATTAAAGTATTCATAAAATAACATAATTAAACTAAATATTATCTATTTATGCACATTAAGTATAAAATCTTTCCTTCTAGACGAATATAGTAACCACTGCTGAGAAGAAACGCGTCCTTAAGGAAAAGACGAAGCAAGAAATGAAAAGGCTGGAAAAACTTGTCATACAAAAGAATACAAAGGAGGAGCAAGAAATACTGCAGGCAAATAAACAATCAAAGCCGCCTAAAGTCCGTAAAATGCAGAGTGTCGTCAAAGTTCACGAAGAAGATGACAAAGATGATCATAATACTACACCACCACCTCAGTCTGGAGAACCTGCAAAAGAGAATCAGATTGATGGTATGCCATTAAAAATACAAAATTTAAATTTAGCAGGGAAATTCCTTACTATATCTGTTTTTCGTAGATTCAGAGAAGAAAGTTACTAATTCTGGTCCGCATTTCGACAACCGGTATCTTGGGGATTGGGAGTTGAAAGCAAAGAGTCATGGAGGTTCAGTTGTTAAAGTGCCATCTAATTATGTCCCTGTATCCGCTTATCGTGGACAAGGTCGTGGCAGAGGAATGCACTTCCGAGGGAGGGGTCGTGGTATTTCGGAACCTTATTCAGGGTCACACGCTCATCATAGAGATGGCCGTTTCGAATATAGCAATAATTATCCATATCCTAGTGAACTTCCACCGACTCCCTACAATAGAGATCATCGGGGGTATGATTACAATAGAGGGCCACCATTTCAAAGAAGGAGTGAACCTGAGCAATTTCAAAATGGACCGGAACCAACTGTTCGGCATGATTTTTCGTACCTTGACGAGTTAGACAGAGCCTATGAAAAATATTTTTCTAGCATAACTAAACGACATAATGAATAATAGCCACAATGTATAAATAAATTCTAAGTATGTGTTTACACTTGAGCAGTTATTTAAGGCACGAGATGAACATATTTATTTTATGATTAAAGAATACAAGTTGATTAAATTGAATAACTGATTTTGAGCTCTATATTTCAAACTTCATTGCGCTAATTTTTGTAAATTTCTAATTTTGCTCTCTTCTCCGTCGCCATCGTCTGGTGAATCTGCCTCTTCCGTAGTAGCAACGACCGATTGAACTGGTGCAGCCGTCGTAGCTATGACCGTTCCTGCAGCTGGAATGACCGCCGTACTATTGTTGGCAGTATTCGCTAGCAATGGGTTTCTCGTTGTAGCTTCCGTGATACCAAAATATTTGAGAGCCTGTTTATTTCCTGCTGCCCATAACATGTTTAAGGGTTTTGTCAACGAGTCGAAAATTGTTCCAACTGGGTGTCAGGGAGAAACAATTCTACTTGTTAGTTTAAATATATGTACATGATACAGAACTTTACAGAAGACGCAATGAAATAATTATACATAACTTTGACAAGCAAACGAAGCTGGGAAAGGCGCATAGGGCCTATGCGCCTTTCCCAGCTTCGTTTCCAACCGTGTCCTGTTCGTACCAGGTCTGACTTATATTTAATAAGGTGACCTTATTAAATATGTAATTTACGCCATAATAAATGTGTGTAGCTCATAAACCTTTCTCTCTGCCATTCGTTAATTACATATGTAATTACCCATTTTCCCGTTAGTCATTAAAAAAGATAGTATTGTTTACCTCCTGTCTGAACATCTGAATCCTCAATAAAAGGTAACGTTCCCTTAAATATATCCCTGAAATATATACATATACATACTATAAATATTATATATATGCATACAGTTAAATATAAATTAACCTAACCCAACATTTGAAGAGACAACTCCGTTCACGATAGTTCCCACTTGTTCTCCGACCTCCACTAATTCTCCTACACCCTCCACGCCATCACCAACGTCTTGACGCCCAATGGATGCCTGGGCATCTGGGGCAACTGGAAGGGCACCGCAAATATGCTGTCAAATATGTAAAAATAAATACCAAACAAAAAGTAGTACTTTTTCTCACGATTGTTTTAAATTATTAAATTTCAGTTTAATTGTTCATTACCACAAATCCCAAAATTGAGATGATTAGCCATCGCAAATAACTGACACCCATGATCACTGGAGACCTCAAAATAATTGCTTATTGTTGAAGGGTTCAGAATGAATGCCGACTAAGATATCTCAAGCATGCAAACGAATTATTTATAGTCACGTCATGACTAAGTTGTATATGAAATTATTGGCCTAATCCAGCGTTCAGTATTGTAATAAAAATAATTTACTAGTGCATTAATAAGCCTAAATATGTATGACATGGACTAATATCCTAACTATTGCAGTGCACCACCATTCGTATTTTTGTTTTATTAATTTTATTATAATTTCTTAATACATCTGTGCGTTAAATGAATATGTGTCTCTGACCCTATTCTATGCAATAACGTAAGCACTATTTTGATAATATGTATTAACGGCTAAAATCCAATTCCATCGTTTTGCGTATTATGAAAGAAAATACCTTTCAACACCATGCATAAACGTGCTTAATTAGAATAATGTAAATTGACAATTGTGAGAATAAATATTTATTTCGAGTATATTTAACTAATAATTAGAATTGCAGTGATTTTAACGAATATTTAAATGCACTCCCGAACCAACAGCGAATAATTGGTATACATACATATACTCATATAGAAACCCATACTAAATAACAGTAGTTTGTTTCATAGTTCTATGAAAGTAATCCAGGTTTATAAATTCTCATTGTGCTGCCTGACATTGACAGACAGATAGGAATTTATCAGAGTGATAATCAATCGTCTATCGGATAGGTGGAAAGGCTCTAGGAAAACTGCCTATCAATTAGCTCATAGACATCGTATTTAATTGTAACAAATATCCCCATCGGGGAATGTTCCAAAATTCAGGACTTGATAAGAGTAGTCAGTCGATACCGTTGGAATTATGACTCCTGGATTTTAAATTTAGGGGCCAATAGTCACTTGGTGTTGATGCTTCTGTAATGTTTTAATAAATATGTAGAATAAATACTTATTGATTTTTAATTTGCTAAATCTAATTATTATAACCAGCTTATTATTGACATTAACGCGGTACTTGATGAACATAGTTAACGGTTATTTCTAAAATAAAAACAAAACAAGCAACTATGTCCACGATAATTGTGATTATGAAAGCGGATCCCATGTCGCGTATGTTGAGATGCTGAAGTGGTAATTTTTTCCTGCACTCTAATTGTTCTCGACCTGCATATCTAAAATACCTCTTCATTAGGCCAGTTTCGTGAATCTTGAGAATCCTAAAGGAAAAAGAAGTCAAAATTTTTGGTTATAAATTCCTACAGTCATCAAAGAATTTACTTGCCCTTGATTAAGATGATCACGTAAATGGGAATTTTTTTTAGTGTAGAAGGAACTGGCCACGAACACGTTTGCATTCTGCAAACAAACTGACTCTAATGATTCACAAATTTTTCCGTCCACGTAAGTCGAATTGAAATGTTTCTGTAATTCCCAAAGTAAATGTTTTCCATTTACTGATGTTGGAGGAACGCCAATGTATGCACTTCGACCCTCGAATATGGATGAGACGGATTCTTCTGTTGTTTCCCCAAGAAGGAAAGGTATGGGTTTCTGACCAACCATAAGAGAAAGTTTGACAAGTGAGTGAGTTAGATTTTAATGTAAAATTTGGTTAAAAATTGCCTACGTATGTACCTCCACGTCATGAATCATATCGTATATTCCAGGTTTTCCGTGAAAATCAAACTTGTAGTCGATAAGATCGTCAAGGGATTTTATCAGACTAATCTTCGTGGTCATAGCCAGTAGCAAATTCGCAGTATAAGCAGAAAACATAAGAGCAGAAATTAGTTCTCCAGAGAAAACTAGAAACTTGTAAGCAGGAGACAGTTCAAATTTTTTCATGAAATAACCTATGTATAAAATGTTTCATGAGTATTGATTATTTTCGACATTTATGGATGAATGACCGGGATTTAGTTTACCTTGTTGACCAACAAGCGATGAAACTATCACAATTGTATCGAAATAATCAATAGATTTTCGACTAAGGTTCTTGTATTTGAGTGAAATTACTGAAAATAATGAAATTAGGAACATAACCGAGAAAAAGACGACTAGCAAATCGATTCCAAAAGTTGTAAAAAAAACATTTGGGTGTAGATTTTCGGACGACAAGGGAACAAAGTAAGCGTGCACTCTGAAAGTTTCAATTGGCCGAATTTTAGTCCAATGAATCAGCAACAAATGATATCTTGAACAATTTCATACGTTTCTGAGATCATGGGAATCAGTGGTGAAGAAATATTCAGCCTCGACAGTGTCACAAAAAAATAGCCAACTCCTATGTCAGCTCGGTCGTTTGATAATTCACGAGCTATGCCAGATTCAAAATATCCTGCTTGCATGACATTTGTTTCGTTTTCTGCCCATCGCCGTAGTATGATTCTAGTTAACACAATGCATAATTAGTGATCTTATTCTCAATAAATAATTATTTAACTTGGGTTCTTATTGGTTATAAAAATATTGAATCAACCAACCTGAAGTTTAGTATGTATTGCAAATCCCTTAAGGTTTTTTCTGCTGCTTGATTTCCCATCATGGTCATTGTCTCGGAGTCGACATGGCCTGTGATTCCTTCAGATTCCTTTATAAATCAAAACTTGTGATATGAAACCGTGTAAAAATTAGCAGAATTAATGCTGATTCATTTATTTAACAACTCACATATGCCACCACTCGTAAAACAGCACCACGCAAATTCTGTATCATGATTATTGTGATTATTTTAACTGAAAATTAATTGAGTGGCTAGTTCTCCGACTCTTAGATTGACTTTATTCTAATGATCCTAATAATTTATTGCACTTTCCCATGCGTCAACCCTTCGGACTCGAAATACAACATAGCATATTGATAATATTACAATAGCATCAACAAAAGTCATGAGTGGTCTACTTAAATATGTTAAAAGCTTTTTGCTTAATTCGATTTGTGTATGTATGCTTACACGTGTTTAGGATATTACTAATTCATTGTGAAGTTCATAATGTGAACTCCTTAGTTATTTATCTATGCTTGAAGGTCATTAAGCCATTTTGGCTGGTTTGAGTTTTGGAAAATTCAAATAACACAAAATATATGTCCAGTTGTAAAGTTTATTAATTTAAAATCATTTAAAATTACAGAAAAGTATGTATATACTGGTTGCTGAGAATAACGGGCTTCAAATGAAATACGATGGTGTTAATTGTCTATGGTTAGGTTATAAATAATTACAATATCTTTCTATCATACTTCGGATGTATATTTGGCAGAAATGATTTATGCGTTGTTCAGCACAATAAAGATCACACCCCCAACGTCCACGAATCACGAGAAGGGTCACAAGAGGTCATCACTCTGGTTGCAACATGGAAATTCTAACTAGACTAGATTGCATCATCGGTTCTCAGTTTTCATAACATTCAACATTTACTGAACCAATTAGCTACGTACATAGATACATATGACCATCAAAATCACAACCACTCAATCAATCCATGATTGACAAATCTCAATCAAAAGGAAAAGTTTACATGAGGTTTATAATATCAGAACGTAGACGATATGTTATGGAATTGTACAACATTTTTCCCGTGTTGTCATAAATTAATAAGATTGTACAAATATTGTACAGTTAATTTCCATCACATGTAAGTACTACAAGTATATTAACTAATTAGCGGCACAGGAAAACTATTTTTTATTACAGTTATTTTTCTAACATAATAACTAATGCAAGAATTATAATTTGATTTTATAATATCGAAGCCTATCTACATATATAGTCATGTAATATCACGTAAGAATTATGAGAAATATACACATACATGTATGCCATTTCACGGGTAATTTAATTCTGTTCGGTGGTTGGACAAAGTATTGTAATATGCATTAAAATGCCATCATTTGTCGATCCGTATCCTATTACAGGTAGCTGAGTTAACTATCCATATCCATCCAATACTTTCTGCATACAAATAACCTTAGGCCATACTTAAATATTTGTATAAATGTGATTTCCAGACCAATATTTTCAATTCCATTGACAAATCCAGCTTCATAAAATTCAATCTCACAAAAAGGCCTTGGTGTTGATGGTCCATATTTACATTATTTATTTAGTCTCTTAAGTAGCATTTGCATACTTATACAGTACTCCTTGGTTTGACTTGGCGTAAAATGTCGGGAGATACACAACTGTCAACTGTTTGTTAATCTCTTATTGTGCATATTTATCGATCTACTGCGTAAAATACATTTGTATGGATGGACTAATGATTTGTGCATTAGTCGATATTTATTTGTATACTGCGTCGCTCGAGAAATAGAAATAATAAGTATGTATTTATTCATAATATGACAACCATTAATCCGATCAAATCAATGTAAGACTTCTTTGGCGTGGATGCATTGGCGACGGGCAGCACGTCATTATCTTGTTTTGCATGCGACATGCGATGCGTCACATGAGATTAATAATGAAACAGATTTTGAACAGTTTATATACTTAAATACAATCTGATAATTTTGCAATGACAAATAAATCAACCACTGGAAAATCTATTGAAAGTTTGGATTCGATTTGTATGCATGGAGTAAGTACGTACGTACGTCATGTAATTCATAAAAGCTTGACCTTGCACTACTAAATTGCAAAATTACTAGTTCAAACAATTGTATTAATTAATACATATATTTGTACATATATTTATATTTAAATATTTATACACATGGTTATCCATAGCTAACTCTGGATAGCTCTATATAAACTTAAGTGCTGTCAGCTGTTGCAAAAATTGGTAAAAAATGTATTACCCAGAAACATTACTTCTAAATATGTGTGAAATTAAGATTTAAGACCTGATTGCTTCATTAAATCAGATATGCAATTTTAGAAGAATTGCACAACTTTTTGTACCAGTTGAACCTCATGCTAAACTCATATGTAATTAAGAGTTCTTTTGACACTCTAACAAGACGTGAGAGGATCCATGCAATTAATTTGAGTTCTCAACTTTGACCTGTCTGATAAGCCAGCCATATTTTCATACATATTGAATGCAGCGAAAGCTATAAACTCAGGTTCATATTCGAGGTAAGCACAGATCAGCAATAAAAGATTATTAACAATCATGACCCTCAAGTGTTATGTAATTTTCCTGTTAAATTAAAAAAGAGTTTCGGGTAATAAATATGTTATTTGGATTAACTTTACTAGTGATAGTTTCTGGCCTGGAATGAGGTTTTGACCGATCAGTCAGTACATACAAAGGCATGCTCATGGAATATAGGGCATGCTCGAAGTCCATGTATGGAACATTTTTATATGATCTGGGAAACTTGAGCATGTAGATTACGCTCACCTACCCCGAGGAGGTCTTTCGATTTATTGCCGTGTAATAACCAACTTCATAACTAATGAATACTAATAACTCAGAGAATTTTTCAACGATTTTGCGTATACTAATATGTGCTTAATGCTGGCCTAAGCGTGACCTATATCGTGCTGAGTGTCAAGCTTGCATGAATTCAAGTTAATAGTTTTGTAATGTACATAATTGTATTTAATCTCCATCTCTGGCAGAGATTATTTGCCGGATCAGCCAATCGTTTTCTTGTGTGTCCTTCCTAGCCTCCTCCTCATCCCCATCGAGAGTTGTTTTCTGGAGACAAATTGTATTGATATCAGTGGTAATTTACCATTCGTTTCATGCACTAATATCGACACATACATATAAAATATGTGTATGCATATATACTCAAAACGCTTATTGTAAAGCTTATTTAAGGTTGACAAAATGTGTCGATTCAGTATGGCACATACAACACTACGGGCGGATATCTACGACTTTCGACATTATAATGATTTTAATATCAACTTAAATACCAGACCCAGAACAGATCACACGTTGCAGATAAAGAATTAAATTCATGTATGACGATTTCATCAGCGCTATAAAACCGTTTTCATGTGGAGTCAGTTAGTCGTTATTTTGCAGAGCAGTTCCACTGTTGAGTTCATACGTGAAACGCCGACATAATCTCTGAAATTACACAAATGAGTTCCCAAAAATTCTCCGGAGGCGGAATGGTGGAGCATCTGCATGTTAAGAGTGGAGAAGAGCAACATCACATTAAATCGAAAACTTTAAACTCGAAAAATGGCAACCATTCCAAAACTGGGGATTATGAAAATAGAAAACAAGGGCCGCAGAAACCTCTTGAAAAAATTGGGAATGTTGCGAATCCGTAAGTATATCTATATGTACCTGCATGCAGAGTTGGCGATTAGTTTGGGTCGTAGGACATTGACAAACAGCGGCTTATCGAACTGTATTGTTTATGTGTGTGTGCAGTTACACCCACGAATTCTTGATGGATTGTGCCGACTACATCTTGACGAGAACCAACTTGAGACCCAAAATTGCCATAATTTGTGGCAGTGGCCTTGGAAGTTTGGCAGAGAGCTTGGATGAGAAGATGGACTTTCCCTATGAAGACATTCCTCACTTTCCCCAGGTAAGTTTCAATTGACCGAATTTTAGTCCATTGAATCAGCAAAAAATTATGCTTCGTTTTGCAGTCGACAGTTCCAGGGCATGCAGGCAAACTGGTGATTGGGAAGATGGGAACCGTTCCTGTCGTCTGCATGCAGGGGAGATTTCACTACTATGAAGGGTATATTAATATATATGTCGTTTGTCGTAATTTATATACTTCCGAAATTACTGATTAATAACTTGTTTTATATTACAGATATCCCCTCTGGAAGGTGAGTGAGACTCGTCTCACCCTGCCTCATCCACTCTTATTCCCACTCTTATCTTATCCCTACTTTCCACCTCTTCACTTATCTTGAATTGTACTCTAACACTACAATATTTTCCTACATGTACAGTGTGCCATGCCCGTCCGAGTCTTCAAATTATTGGGGGTTGAGCTTATGGTACGTTGTTGATTATCTGCATTATTGTGTTACTTATTACAAGAAACATGAGCACCATCAAAAGGGACATTAGCCCAGATTTGATATACAAGGCGTTACCGATTACGTAGCAAGCTAACATGGTGTAATAATGACGGAAATAAATTTTGGTACCTAATTAAAATAAGGTACCAAAATGTGTTTAATAATAAACATTAGTATTCAGATGTACTATTCGTTCATAGTGAAATCGAAAAACAAAAACCTCTCAACTGTTTTATCTATGCGGGTTTGCCTGTATGGGAGGTACGGTTGGAATGGGGTGTGTCCTACCTAGATGGATTATGTCTACGTAATTTACGCATATATGGATGCCTTCAAGTGGAACTTGCTTATGTTTGGCGTTGATTAGGTTGTCACCAACGCTGCTGGAGGGATCCACCAGGACTTTAAAGTTGGCGATATTATGATCATAAAGGACCACGTTAATTTCCCTGGGATTGGTGGTGAATCTACCCTTCGGGGTCCCAACGACGACAAGTAATGTTATATGTACATACATATAGTGCATGGCTAAACATGTGCCTCATAACTTGGAGTACACATTTAAATCATATAAATTGTTGACAGGTTTGGACCCCGTTTTATCGGTAAGGGTCGATTTTATTAACAATTCATATAAATAATACTTCACTTAAAAAACGCATCCTTGAAACTTGTATTATTGGAATGAGAAACAGTAATAGTGAGGGATTGGCCTGTTAAAAAGTTGAACACTTTTTGTATGTACAATATATCCCCTGGTTCAGCAGTGTTGATATGCTCATATTTCCTGTTGTCACGAATAATTGGGATGCCATTCCGAGAAAGTCCCTTCATCTGTGCAATGACGAGGGTTGTAATTCCCAATGCCTCCTTTCTAGTACAATCATCTTCAACTTCTTTACGAAGGAGTGGTTGTGCATCAGATAGTTGTACTTGTTCAGGTGTCCACTCATCTCGAGGAGTATTGGGTTGGACAAAATTAGCAATTTCAATCTGAGCAGGTGTCAAGGTGGTTTGATAAAGAGGCCCGGATGTGAATGAATCGCCACTGCAATTAAAACCGAAATGTAATACTGCCAAATATTTGAAATGAATTTGAACTCACTGTGTGAAATTACTGTGAACAGCCCCCTTAACTGCAACTTTCAATCCAATACTAATTTGATTGTTGGACTCGGTTCCACAATAAACGTAGGGTAAATTCCAGGAGAAACTAGTCTCATTCACAAGTGTAGAGTTGGAAGGTTGCTCTTCTTTTTCATCACCCACGGTGAAAGTTATCCCGTTTTCAGACAAAGTTCTTTCCAGCACTTCTAAATTGGCAGAAAACATGTCGATACGGTTTTGAAGTAACTCGTGGGGTTGGATTTCGGCACCGTTTTCTACTCTTTCACTGTTTCGGAATAGACAGATTAGAGCGGTTGATAACTATAAAGAATAAAGGAAGCATTGTTGCATAAATTCATAGTAGGCATAATAAGATGATAATAAGAAACTCACTTTTGCAGTATGAAGAATTGGCAGTTTGGTTAGTGAAGAGTGAAGCATGGATTTGGCGTATACCTCGGAGAAATTGGATTTGGGGTGGGATGTCAAATGGTGGAGTAGCATGGTCATGTTATGACATTTCGCAATGTTTTGTACCACAGTGTTTTTCCACCCAGTTTTCTTGATCGTCGTTTGCTTCAAGACAGCATAACATTTGAGCGTCGTTTCATTCTCATCCGTCAAAACTGCAAAGTTGCTAATTCTTGTAGAGGAATGGGCTGCACAGTCAAGTTTGTTCTGCCAACAGTGTGCACATTTAAATTTACGGGGCTGAGTGTATTTCGTCCCCAGTTTGCCGTACTTGATTGTAGTTCCATCCCAATAAAGTGGAATAAAATCCTCTTCCTTTTTCTTCTTTTCTGGCATTGTTGTGCCTTTCTTGGGAGTAGTAGTGGGTGTGGTTGTAGGAGTGTTGTTTTTCTGCTTTTTTGTTGGGTGTGGAATTTCCACAGGAAAGAACCTTTCTTTGCCAACATTTGTCTCATAATGTTCCGTCCATTCATTCATGATTATGAGAAACATTGCATCCTTATCTACATCTTCATCCTTCAATTCTGCATGATTGTTTTGCAGCTTTCTCCTCCTAATAATTTCTTCTTTACAGTAGTTGAAAATCGCACGGAGGTAAGATCCCTTCTTTGGCAACTTGAATTTGAAACTGATGACATTTCCTTCCCCATCATACTCTGCATTATCCTCATCATCATCATCCTCTGCATTATCCTCATCATCATCATCCTCTGCCGTAGTTGATCCGTCATAATTCGAAGAGGGAGATGGACTTGGTGGCATTGGAGAAGCAGGAGAAAGTGGTGGAAGCATAAGTGAAACGGGTGGTCGTGGGATAATGTTCTACAAAAACATGTGAATATGACAATGGGATCATAGAATGGGATGTTGCATTGTTGCATTAACTCACATTCGCTACAAGAATATCAATTATGTCATTACACATCGACACCGTACTCCTCACACTGGGTTTGACATGGAGATCAGGAGTGGTGGGTGGTTCATAGTCGGCATCAATAGGTGCACCAATGTTTAAAACTAGGAAACAATGAAAATTACATATTAAATAATAACGGAGAAAGAGGCTCAATTGTTGTTTTTACCATTTCTCAATAATCCCGTCAATCTTTCGCATTCGTCTCTTGACCGATCTACAAATATTTCCAGAAATGGCAAACTTGACTCTTGGTGGGACAGTCTTGCCTTTTCCCTATCCTAAAAAATGACACATTCTGTTAGCTACATGTTTCATTCATAATTACTATAAGACATAAATTTACTCGCGCAAGAGGTGCAACAATGCTAATTATGGAGATGAAGCCTTCCTCCGTGAATCCTTTTGCATGTTCACTGACGAGGTGAACAAAAGAAGAACGGTGGTGTGGTTTCGCCAAATCCAACTCTTTGCAGAGTCCAGCTCTCATCTTTTTTCCATCAAACTGTTTGACAGGGATTCCACTACTTTTTAGCATCTGGGTCAACTCATCAGAAATTGTGGATTTCCCAGCCTTTGCAAGACCTGCACATTTAACAATAATCAGTGTTGTTTAAAATAATATGCATGCACAAATACTCACCTGTGAGAAGAATTGTGCATCCTTTCTTATGTGAGGGACTGGATTGCAGTTTCTTTCTTTTTAAGGGTGGGGATGCAGATGGAGAAGGGGTGGTTTTAGTGGAGGAGGGTGTGGTTCGATGCATTTTTAATCACTTTGTTCCACGAAAAGTTTATTAAATCACTCTAATACTGTGAGTATGGATGAATGATTTGACAGGAAGAAAGAAATGTGAGCATCTTATTGTGGTTCATTTCCCACCTGCATATCATTATTTTTATGCTCCATACTCGACGTCTCATACATCTCAACTCTCCCTCGATTGCGTCTCGTGATTGCTTATTGCTTAATCTAATTGTTTTTGTTGTCTGCTTTTTTTTTCTAGCCATGAATAAAGCTTATGATCTAGAGTTGCGAAAGCTGGGCAAGCAGGTGGCGTCCGAGCTGGGGATGAGCAACTTTTTCCACGAAGGTGTTTATTCAATGGTTGGCGGACCCAGTTTCGAAACTGTGACTGAACTCAGGTTAGACTGTGATATGATCACTTATATTTATGTATTTATTACTTTCACAACAAAACATTATCAGTCAACAGTTTTCATATTATTATTTGAAAACGAGTATTTTGTGTTTATCCAACAATGATCAACATATTACCGAGTCGGGTTAATTAAATTTATGTTTATGTTTTCTGATCCCAGGCTGATGAAACTATTGGGAGTGGATGCAGTAGGTGAGCACACAATTTGTATTTTCCAAACAAAATGTACAAATATTTGTAACTCTATAAATTACAAGTACATAGTGGGTTTGTGCAAACTATGTACACATTTACGCTTAAAGTACTAATAAACTTGTTCCATTCACACAGGAATGAGCACGGTCCCCGAGGTGGTGGCAGCTCGTCATTGTGATATTAAGTGCTTCGGATTTTCACTGATTACCAATGAATGCATCATGGAATATGACAATGAAGACGAGGCAAACCATGAGGAAGTTATGGAAAATGCAAACAAGAGAGCCAACGACTTGGTTCAATTTACAAGCGCATTTGTCACGTCTGCAGCCCAACATTTGGGCTTTGAATAAGTGTCTCAGCTAATAGTAGCAAATATTTCGCTGTCACTAATGCTAAGTCAGTTACTTGTATTATTACCAATGTATCATCCGTATAATATTTAGTAGGCAAATGGCAACCACGCAGTCCTTTATCCCAACTAATATAAAAATCTTGTCGACTTAAGTAAAACCATTAAAAATGAACAATATTCATATATACAGATTCCGTGGTTTATTCAATTGAAGCGTGTCGATATTTGAGCAAGCCAAATTATTTACAACAAATTAATTTCTACAATTGGTGGAACAGCTCAATTTTCATTCAGATCAGAGTACTGGGAAAGAATCACTTCCTCAATGTCACAGAATGATATTTGGTTTACCTAGAATAAAGTAAAATCCTGTCAGGGATTCCTTCAGATTTTATTTGTAGTTTTATACCCTCACCTTATACCTTCCGCAGCATGACACCAGGCAGAACTGGATACTAATCAGGGCACTGCAAATGATCACTGGAATTGTCGCTAGAAGACAAATCGTAGTAAAAGCGATGCTCTCATCTAAGGTATTCAAAATTGTCACGGCATCATCATCTTTTACATTGCGCATACTAAATAAACCACCATCTCTTACCATCCATCTTGGGATAATCAGATTTCGCCAGCATGACAATCAATTTACAAGAAAGCATGCAACTTATAACCGCCGATGCAACCTGTAGGAATGTATAAAAATATACCACCTGTAATTGTTCTACCTAAAAATATATAAGTACCTACCTGGAAACCTAGTGCACTACCAACTCTATTTGACAACAGAAATTTTGAATTTTATAGATAGATTAGTAGAATTTATTTTGTCCTATCTTAATCAAACCTGCATCCGGAAGGATTTTGCAGTGCAAAAAAAGTTAGTCCGACACTCAGTCCAAAGAGAACACAAGATATTGCAAATGGATACCAGATTGTTTCCGGCATCAAGAAATCCACATAAAAAATTACCTCCTCAAATCCAGCGGCGATCATCTAATAAATATAAATGTATACTTGGTTATTTTTCTTTGGCAAACAAATATTCAAATGCCATAAACATCATTACGATAAAAATCACTAGTAGAGGAATGCATGCCACTTCAATCCATAAACAAATGCGGATAAGCCTCTCATTCAAGTAGAATCCAGCTTCACGACCTTCTTTAACATGTTCTTCTATTTTTATTAATCCATCATCTCCAGAGTTTTTGGGATTCGGAAGACTCTTGGCCTCATTGTGCCTTGAAGTGGAAGAAGATAGCGATGCGGTAAATGTGGAGCTGCTAATTGGAGAATTAGAGGAAATCGTAGTAGATATTACGATGGGGGACCCGCTAAAACGTTTCTAAAAGTATTCAGCATCAACTTTAGAAACCACGTATATAAATCCACATGGTGTCGACTTGATATCTGAAATAATTATTTGTCATACGACTTTGCCACCCATCAGCGTCCCGCAACATGCTCCTCCGGAAAATAAAATGACCACAAAGAAGCACGTAAGAATGTAGGGAATGGAGAGGATGGCTTCAAGCGAAGAAAACACCACGACTGATGCATCATATACATTTGTCTGGTTGTGCGCTTTCAATGACATCGCCACTGTCGCATTTCCGGTCGTATTTTTCGTCATCTGGTAATCTTGAACTTCAACGGTTGAGGTAAAAAGAAATATTCGAAGTGCAAGATCCAACGTTAGTAAACCGTAAATTGCTGAAGACGCCTGAAATCCAATAGCTGATCCGAGCCTATAATAATAATTATTATAGGCGTTTTACGATCAACAGTCAGAATTATTTAATTAATTTGATGATTCAATGGGTTCGATTTAACGATTTTTAAGCTGGGTTTTAAGTCTTTTACAACTTACAAACAGCCGCGTGGTTCCTTTATAGTGAAAATAGAGAATATTGTCGCTCCCATAAAAAATCCCAACGGACCGATTAATCCCGCACCGGCCGTCCATATCAAATTATTGTCGTGTCGATGCACCATTAACAAGATGATTAGGATTATCTGCGAAACAATAAATTACATTAGCAGGTTCTGAAGTAAATTGGCAGCGAAAGTTATGGTTTACTTGCTAATACATCAGATCACTGTATGTACTGTACCTGAAGAATAAGGATTGCTACCCAAAGGGCAAGCTGAAGCCAGAGAGTTTTCCATAATAAAACAATGTTCAGGGTTTTCCGAAAGTACTGAACATGGCAAAGGTTACATTCAACAAGTAGTTTATCAACTTATTTATGCGGCCAAAAAGTTTACCTCAACTTCAGCATCCACAAGGATTGTGACATTTGGTTTTTTCGGTGCTGGTGGGGGTGGGGGTTTCTCAGGTGGTTCGGGCTCTGGACTTGGCTCTGGTTCTGGTGCCTTTGCTGGGATCGTACCATATACAAACATGGTCCAGGGGTATAAAAGCTAAGATGTCATGAATTTGTTTCTGAATTTTATTTATGGGTAGTTAGAAATCTAGTTTACATAGTCAAATTATTGGATTTTGAAAAATTAGTAAATAGGTGACACCGAGACATGTTATCATTTGTGCTTTATAGTTGCTTATAGATACCAAAAGTTAATGCAACTGACGTGTCTGTCGCAGCGGACAGACGGGTGCTACGTTATCTTTCTGTCTGCACCTGCACCAACCTATTTGATAAGTCTCAATCACTACCCTGTACGCAACCTAATTGGTTCTTGTATTGTTTAGAGAGGAGCTTTTCTCGAGCAACTAAAATCAGTCTGGTTTATGGGAACGTTCCACAACCTCTGACCCTACATGAGAATTTCCAAGTCATAGTCTTGTGTCCAGTCTGGTTGCATGGGAAAACTTTGTTTCGCCTGATTTTTCATGGGGACTTTGCTGATTGACGAAGTATTTATGTATTTTTGTACAACATATTCATCTGCCTAAAATTATCTATTAATTCTGTGATGTGTTTACAAAATCCAATCTAATTAACTAGTAATATTAGGAGAATTGTTATCCAGGTCATTTAAAACAAGGACCGAGTTAGTACGAAACCTGGAAAAACAATTACAGCCTGTAATTTGTCGGCATCTTTATTCTGTTACGAATAAACAATGATCATAACGTAGCGTCCCAACGTATGTATATAGCATGTATTTTGAGTTCGCTTCCAATAAATAGGACACAAGCTGGAGGAGCTTTTGATATTATAAAATTTTCTGTCTAATCTAATTTTATTGTAGGAATACTTTTTTTTTTTCGACTCAAATAAATTTAGGGAATTTCAACCCTTTATTACATATATTTAAGATTAGTTCGTACAATGAGAATTCCAAACACAACTATTCTAAAAAAAACGGAATAATCATCATACAAATGCAGCTATAATTAGGCCATGATTTAAAATATGCCGAAAACTTAGAGATATAATTTCGTATTTCATTCATTCACGAAAAACTGAAAGAAATGGCTTTATATGATAAGGAAATAAGAAGATTCAGCCTAACCTGACACCTAAGTTGTTGACATACCCACGACGCCAGGTAATGGGTTGGGATCCTCCCTGGGGCTGTGGGTATGTCAACGCGTCCCTAACCTTACCGATGCCAAGTGCTAGGAAATGACTGAAAATAAAGAACCTTCCCAACCCGGGTACGCTCGCATTTTTTGAAATTTCTATAGGTTCTTTAAAAGAATTTAGGAAAGATGTGCCAAATGCAACTTAATACAAGAAGTAAAATTAAATGCTAATTACAGTTTAGTCTCCCACGGCGGTGGATCTTCTTGGGAGGAGGACTTTACTTGTGTCATCAGGGGTAGGAATTAAACACTGCCTCTGACTCACTCTGCTTCATGACCACGTTATTTAGTACAATGACAAGTCAATAAATAATTCTTAGGAAGAGATTTGTAGAATAATACATGCTTATGTAAGAATATTTTAACTACCTGAAGGTGGGAAATTTTATCAAAATATTATTTTAAATTGAGATTAATGTTTATTCTATTGTTGATCATAGTGTATAGTTTATATTTTTTCCATTTTCGATGGAAATTGTCCATCAAAACTTTCCCACCTCGCATGCAAACATGGAATTCAGACAATATTCGTCCGAAAACCATGTGCCTAAAGTGGGACAAATAATCAAAATTGTCCCCAAAGTGATTTAGAAAGTGAACATAGGACTTATATATCGTGCAAAGACCATAATAAATAAATATATTATCGTACTTCATATTTCGAGACCCATTAATCCCTGATCGAGAGACATTAGTCAGGTCTCTGCTGAGAATTTTTGAAATAAAAAGCCAGAGGGGCTGAAAATGGATACATTTAAAATAATGACTAGATTTTATATCTTTAAATGGACAAAAGGGGCAATCCCTACCCTCATGTATGCCCATTGACTCAGCCATTTTTGGCGTTAGACCAGTATTGTGCAAAAGTTTATAAATTACGTCTTTCTCTGGATTACTCACCTCGCTTTTTTGAAGGGTAAGCCAGGCGGAATTATTTAAGGTGTCGAGTGATACCTCAGACCATTTTATTTTTCGCACAATACGAGTACATAGTAAATACTGCTTGGTTTTCACAAAAGATTCAAACTCACCCCCGTTGCCGTATTTTAGGCATCGAAATGTGATACACTCTTGAGATAGTACATAAGTGTCAATAATATTACGCAAAATACTACTCTCACAAGAAATTAACCTTTGAGATGGAAAGCGAGGCATGTTTTGGGAAAAATCGAAACTAATAAAATCCCCAATGGTTTCACACCCCAATTGAATTAAACATGGAAAACTATTATTTTTCAAGAAAATTGAATTACTAAGCGGGATAAGGTGAAAAATATTGTGAGGGATTAGTTCAAAACTGAGACCAAGTATTTGTACATATTTGCAAAAATTGTCATAAAAAGAAGTACAATAATCTGGTTCATTCTTTAGGAGAATGTTGAAAACATTTTTACGTGCAAAGTTACAAAAATACGAGTCGCTCGAATTTAGGACTTTGCATGCAAATACTACACGAAAAGTTGTCATCTGGATAAACGGATGACGCACACCAATCCCCCCATTTGCCAGAGGCAAATAGAGTAGATGGCGTCCCACCCAACGTTTTGATCCTCTCCAGAGAAAGTTTTCAATTAAGATAGTAATTTCTGTTATAAAAGTTTCCGGGGGGTCAAGAACCTTGAGTACATACCACAGTATTGGGAGAAGGTACGTATTCAAAATTTTAGCCCTTGAAAAAAAACTAACTGCGCAAGTTTTACTGTTATAAAAAGATAACTTCCTACAAAATTTTTCAAACAATAAGGTAAAATTTTGTTCCATGAAGCTTGTATTCCCAAAAAATATACCCAGAATTTTTAACCCATCCTTTCTGGTGGGGAAATTGGTCTCTACCCAAGTAGTCCCCCCTAAGAAAAGTAATTCTGACTTACTACTGTTTAGCTTAGAAGCTGAGAATTGAGAGAAGTAGCTATACTCGTTAATTACAATTTGGACTTGTTCCTGACTTGAAAGTAGGGCAGTCGTATCATCCGCGTAGGCAGACAGGTACTTATCAGGTACCCTTGGCCATGCGGCTGGCCCAGACGTCAGGAGACGGCTGTTCAGCTTAAAAAGAAATGGTTCAATTACGAGTACGTACAAGACTGAAGCAATCGGATCTCCCTGTTTTAGACCAACTTTCAGGGGAATCTTTCTAGTAAAAGTGTTACCGACAACAACCGAGATAGAAAAGTCGGTATGCAAGAGTTTAATGTATTTAATAAAATTTGGAGGAAACCCATATTTCTCAAGTATTTTTATCAAATACTCAAAAGACACCCGGTCAAAAGCTGCCTCTTGATCGAGTGAAAAGAGAGCCCCCACAAGCTCATTTGACTGAAAGGCATCACGCATGAAAGTAAGGTTGTCATAAATTGAACGACCCTTAATTCCACACGTTTGCCATGGACCCACCAGTAAGGGTAAAATAGGAAGTAGTCGGGATTTTAAAACGTTGGATAATATTTTGTAGTCCGAGTTAGTCAAAGAAATCGTCCTAAAGTTGGAGAGATCATCCACAGACCCTTTTTTATGAATTAGGCTTGAAATAGCGGTGCGCATGCATAGGTGGAATCTACCACTATTTAAGGAGAATTGTGCAACATTCTCTAAAATAATGGAGAATTGCTCCGAAAATTTCTTGTAAAATTCATGTGTAAGTCCGTCAAGTCCAGGTGCCTTGTCATTTTGTAGCTTGGAAATGCACGCCGCAATTTCTGTGGAACTAATCTTTGCAGCAAGCTGTTCTGATTGCTCCCCAGGAACAGTTGGAATTCCTTGCATAAAATTATCGAAGTTGGTAAAGTCCACTGCCTTACATTCAAATTTAGTTTGAAAGAAGTCAGTAATTAAGGACAATTTACTTTCAAGGGACATATTAGAAAACGAATTAGAAATTGATACAGGATTATCACGACAATTTATTTTCTTCTTCGGGTAATCCTGACAAACTAAAAAATTAGAAAAAGTATTATCTAAACTATCTATGAAAATTTTAAAAATATCAGCGTTACTAAGATGTTGACTAGAACTAACGAGCTGAATATCCTTTTGTACTTTTTTTACTACATATTTGAATCTACGTTTAAACGAGATGCCAAACTCCATTGAAACCTGAACTATCTTATTTTTTAAAAAGGTATAACTTTCCTCAGAGTAATCGGATTTTAAAATAAAGTCATTGAGTAAAAAGGAAATTGAAAAATTAAAATCATCAATGTTTAAAAGGTGGTTCGGAAAAATCCATATATTTTTAAAATCAAACGAATGGTCAAATTTGAGAAAGATATTAAAAATCACGTGATCACTAATGAAAGGAAACATTTGACATTAATTGTAGGAATACTGTAATACATATATGAGCGATAATTAAAATTAAAATTTAATTTCTAAAAAAATGAACATATATATCAACCTACATATTTAGGTATGTACATAGTATGAACCCAAGTGGTATTGTTCCATCATTCGTATCGCACATTTCGATACAAATACATAATTTATACATTATATAACACATGCAAGCGTTTTTAGGCCTTTTAAGATGGCCTTATAGATTTACCAAGATGTCTGTCTGTCCGTCCGTCTGTGCGTCCGTCTGTGCGCACGATAACTCTCTTTAAACAAAAGCTATCGACTTGAAATTTTGCACACTTCATCTTCGGGTCAAAAGTAAGGATGAGTTCGGAGATGGGCATGATCGGTCAAGTAATTGGCCGGTGGGGGTCATTTCCATCCAAATGCGTTGCCCTTAACTACCAAGAACCTTTAGAGCAGGTTAAATTATTTAAGTGTAAGTAAAATATTTGTAGCTTGAGAAATATCTATAGTAATAATTTTAAGTAATTTTAGTATGAAGATTGCGACTGACCTCAAAGCGTTTAAATTGGAGTGGAGTTTCAGAAATGTTAAACCTGGGAGACCCGATAGGGTGACCCGACGGATTTCTAAAATTTGTAGTAGGTAGTTGAAATTTGGAACAAAGGTTGCTAGTGGATTGTAACAGACAAAAATGAATTTAGGTTGGAAAAATTTTAATCTTGATGGACCCTATGGGGTGACCCATACTGATTTTTCAAAATCGTCATATCGAAGTGAAATTTGGGAGAGAGGTTGCAAATGGGTCTTAATGGAACAATATGAAATGAAATTGGTAAAATTTATATCTGATGCGGTTATCCATATCTATTTTTAGAAATTGCGTTAAAAACATGAAATCCGGCACGGCAATACTTACAATTAGTGGCTTCTCATCAAAGAATTTGAAATTAAAAGTTAGCTAACAAGGGATACTTTCGAGGTGATAGTCGTGTCCAGGGTACCACTCATTGGTCTAAATGTTTTTTGATCGAGTGTTTCTCACGGGTTCGGGTTCTTACTTCGGGTTTCGGGTTTGGATCGGGTTTGGGTCCTGCTTCGGATACGAAATTTTTGAACCCGAAACTTTCGGGTTCGGGTCCGAGAAATGTGATCCCAAAATTTCGGGTTCGGGTCGGGTTCGGGTTCCGACTAAGAACCCGAAACCCGAACCAACAAGAACTTTTTGCCACAACGAACACGAAAACATTAAAAAAGAAAATAAAGTGTTAACCAAACTTGCTACGACGGTTATGCTGCAGTAATTCATTAAATAATTCAAATTTTTAATTGTCGTAACTTCTTTTCACAAGTGTCTTCAATTAGTGTTATGGTTTGAATATTAAAATAAAATATATTTTTTATCAAAAATTTGCAAAATATTTAGCTTGAGCTTACTTTAATATTGGAAACTTGAAACTGAAAATCATTTTCAGTTTTCAACTGATTTAAAAATTTCTGAATGTCACGGAAAGCCATTATTCATGGTCGATTTTTTGAGATTGCATTATTATGGTCAAGGAATTAAGAGTTATGTACTTATGCAGAAATGTGCTTAATTATAATTCCTCGGTCATATTTACAGAAGTATTGTTTGTTTGAAACCTTCCAAAGAATTTTTAGCTAAAAAGCCAGTCACCCCTTAAAGTTAAAATATATTCGGGTTTTTCGGGTTCGGGTTTCGGATTTGATCCGCCAGTTCGGGTTCGGATCGTTGCAAACGGGTTTCGGGTTCTTCGGGTTCGGGTTGCCCTCAAGTTTCGGATCAGTGGCATCGGGTTCGGGTTCGGGTTTCGGATTTGCAAGAACCCGACCCGTGAGAAACACTAACCCATCTTCGAACTCGGTCGATGCCCAGATGCATGTCTGTATCAAATTTGGTAAAATTCAGCCTACTCCTTCGAGAGTTATGGAAAGACAGACAGACGGACAGGTCGATTACATAAGCCCTAGTCCGGGCTAAAAATTATATGCCAATCGTTCATTAGAGTCTGGCTTTTATGTAATAATGCCGTCTTAAAAGGCCCCGCAAAGTTGCTTGGAGTAGGTTTTACATATATACATAAATCACAAAGTTTATTTCATACGAAAGATTTGAAAATAACAAGTACATAAAAGTTCAACGATTACTTACTAGAACCATTCAACATATTTACATATACGGATAGTGTATGTATGTACATATTCGGATTGTTAATGAGAACCAATCTACCAGGAAATATTTTTACAACACATTTACAAATTAAGATTATAACGATTTGTTCGCGACTAAAAAAATCAATTGTTAAACAAAGAACAGTGTAATTCTTTTTGAAAATGGCATTTTAAATGTTTGGATTTAGAGGAAAGTCTTGCTCAATTTTCATTTTCATCATTGCGACGAAGACCAGGATGCAACGGTGGAATGGGAACACGTCTAAATAATATTCAAATCATTTTCTCGAATGACTATTTTAATGAAACCTCAGGAAGTAACTTGCAAAAAGTTCTCTATACTATACTGACCTTGATAAGCCAAGACGAAGTCGTTGTTGTGGATTCACTCGAATTATTGCATGAGTCCGCTGAAGAAGAAAGTTATCTCCACCTACGGTTTGAAAAAATATTTATTAAACTAAGCCTAATCCCCCCTCCCTCCCCCCCAAAAAAATAGCCAATGTCTGAGGCAGGTTAACTCATGTCTTTCCATACATATTTTATAACTCACATGAAGAATCTCTCTTTCCACGAATTTTGGAACCTTTTGAAGATGACGGAGATATGCGCACACTGTCCTCGGAATTGATAACAAATTCACCAATACCAGATGGAACGAAGCGCAATTCACCATTTTCTCGATTATTGCTCTTCGTAAATGCGGCTGAATCACGACAACGAGAGGAGTTTACAGAAGTAGGAACTTGTTGTTGAAGTGGTCCAAGAGCTCGGCGGCGTTTACTTCCATTTGCAGAATAACGTGTAAATACAGAATCAGAAGCGCTGGAACTCCTGCTAATCATTTCGGTCGTGGTGTCATGTGTTGGCGAAGGCGGGTCGGAAAGATCGTCGTCGTGACTGTAGATATCTGGTTCGCTCAGTTCTTGATCATGAGATTGACACCCTTCGTTTTCGTCGATATTATCAGCGCTATCATCATGGCCGTCCGAAAGGTTTCCACCTGTCAGGCTATGTTGAGACGTACAGGAATGCTGAGAAATTTCAAAGTCGGTTGATTGTGACTCAGCTTCATGATCTATTTGATTGACAGCACCTTCGTGACCCTCAACACTTTTTGCAACATTAACATTACTTTTTTCTGCCACCCGAGGAGTTCCAATAGATACATCAGCAAATGTCATTCCTGACTTTGAGGTTCCGGTTCCTACATCTATATACATCATCGTGGATTGCGAGTTGCCGATTCCGACGTCGCAGTGTGTTGTGAGTTGCGAATTTCCAACACCAACGTCGGCGTGTGTCGTCGGTTGCGAGTTTCCTGTACCAACGTCGGCGTGTGTCGTCGGTTGCGAGTTTCCTGCACTAACGTCGGTGTGTGTAGTTGGTTGCGAGCTTCCGATTCCGACGTCACAGTGTGTTGTGAGTTGCGAATTTCCAACGCCAACGTCGGCGTGTGTCGCAGGTTGCAAGTTTTCTGCACCAACGTCGGTGTGTGTCGTGGGTTGCGAGTTTTCTGCACCAACGTCGGCGTGTGTCATAGATTGCGAGTTTTCTGCACCAACGTCGGTGTGTGTCGCCGGTTGCGAGTTCCCAATTTTTGTAACACACAATGACTGCGACTGTGCTATTCCTATAATTGCCTCGTGTATCATGGGTGCGGTGTTATTTTGTGATGACACCGACTGCGAATTTGCTAAATTTTCCATAATCTACAAAGACGTAATATGGTTAGGATTAGAGTTATTTGATTATAGTGATGCAGCTAACAGTATTCGCTCACTTGTAATTAGAGTTGATATAAATAATAATGTCAAGTTAGCCCAATTTTTTCTACATAAATTATAAATTAGAACTTTAAATCAGTTGAACCGATTTGTGTAAATTTATGGGGTTTCTGCTGCTTCGAATGAAGTTTATGAATATGAGAAAATTGTGCGTGCGATGAAAAACTTGTACTTGGAGTTGAAGAAGGGCAATGACCTCTGTTCCTCCTCAACTGCGTGTGCGGAGAACAAATAAGACAAATCAAAATGCTTCCAAAATTACTTTTTTACTCTGTTTATTAAAATGCAGCTTTCTAGTTGCGTATACTGATTATTACAAGATTGTATTGTAAATATGACTTCACTAACCTATCTCTAATCAATTATATGAAATTAATTACTTGCGAATGCGATTCTCTTTGTCAGTTTATTCGGGTAAAAAAATATGAACTTACATAAGCAAATCATTTTAAATTATGCTAATTAAAAATGGAAAATAGAGTTTTGTACTTATTGTATGAAGAACCATTTAAAATAACAGAACTAACGGACTAACCAACCCACAAGATTTTAGTATTGGGGGTGTGTTCGATATTTCTAAGCAGTTTTATATATTAAGGTTTGTAGTACTTACATACTTATTAATGCAAAGATCATTTCATAACCTAGTCAGATAATTAAATTTCCAGTAAGCTTTTATAAGTATGGTTGCCATCCAGGGAAAAGTCGGCTGAGTCGTTCAGGTTCCATGGCATGTTGAATGAGAAGTGAGACATGACCTGGGACGCTCAGGGCAGATGCAGATGTTCCGCTTTCTTCAACGCCCGCCAGTTTCTGACGCAATCGGAGCAATACCCTGGCGGCGGAGCTGTTTCGGGCTGTGGAATCAGAAAAAAATAAACGTCATCCTCTTACAGATGAAAAAAAGATTACAGTGATTAAAAAATGATTAGTGTAAATTGCAAACCATTCAGAGTGTCAGCATCCCCAGCGTTCCCCACATTAAATACACTGCCAGCTGTCTTGTTCAAACTCTTATTGGAATCTGTGGGCTGAACCTTACGCATCCTGTCCTGAGTTAACGTCCACATGTAGAGCGGGTCATATAATAACACTTCCAATATTGTGAGAATTATTTCCGAGTTGTTTCTCAACACTTCTAAAGTCATTTCACTTGACCTAAAGTACAAATATATAACAAAATTTAGTGATAACATAGAACTGCACTTCAAATTTTCATTAAGGTTGGTTGAATAGAATACTTTCTGAAAACACCCTCAACTCCTGCCACGCCCATTCCGTCTATAATATCTCTGGTCAACCGGAATGGAATCGTTTCTGGAAAGGAAGAATAAAATGTTAGCTATCCATAAAAAAGATGGTTCGCTTATGTATAAATTAACTTTGAAACGGGGAAGGAGTCGATATCTAAATTAATTATTTAAATATTTAATGTGAACAGGCGAAACAATTTGAACGCCAAGGAGAGTATCGAAAAGCAAGTGAACGTTATATACAACGTTATTTACTTTACAGAAACATGATGTCTTCGGTAGTGAGAATGTTAACAACAAAATATTGTCTCTTATATTACCTGGAGCAGGAAGAATTCTCCCTTGTTCGAATGCCACACCTAGAAATTAACAAACGAAAAATGCCAACCAATACTCGTTAAATATGATGATAGATAACTTAATAGGTTGTATATTACAAATAAATAGTCTGCACCTAAATCAATATGAATCAATTCTGCAGTTGTTTTATCCACTAAAATATTTAGAACATGGCGATCACCGAGTCCAAGTATGTAGCCAACCATTGAGTTTGTAGCCACACTGTATAAGTAAAAATTCATTAATAATATTTGGATACGAGTTAACATTGTTTACTCGCTAATACATGTTAATGCTTGCTAAACATTAATTAATTATTATATTCAAAAATCAAATCACCTTCGAGTATATGCCAAGCGACGTTCAAAGTAAGCTCCTGCTTCTTTAAAATTCTCAAAGAAAAAGTGACGAAATACAGGCTTAAAGTGCTCCAGGATAGACATGAATGTGCTGTACTTTTTTTCATTATCTCCACAATCCTTTACTGCCTAGAATAGAATCATCATATAAATATTACACATACTATAGTACCAATTATATAATTAGTTAATTAGATACAGCAATTGAAAGAATAGTAATATTGAAATTACAAGCATCTTTCTTCTGCACTCCAATGGTGTGTAATCTGTTGGGCGGTACTTGAAGTGCGCCCCATTAGCATCATTTTCACCAACCAAGTAACAACCAAATGTTAGAGTATTTTCACACCATTCTAAAATACCCGTCCTTTGGGACAATGGAACGACTTTGTACGTTCGAACATGTAATCTTCTAGCTTTTGTTTTTGGCTCAGTCTGAAGCAATTTATTCATTACACTAAACACTTGTTGCATAACGGCATCTTGTCGTAGGTCATCTTGCCCCTAAAGGTATAAATTAGATTACATTTCGATTAAGATTAAAGATTAATTCGATTTAATCAGTAAATACTACCATGTATGTGATGTTTTATTATACAAAATAAAAATGTAACCATATTACATACCTTCAAAAGCATGTTGAATTTGATACCATTGGTTCCAATACAAGAAATTCGCTTCGGAGAATTTATTCCGCCTACCAGGCCGTACGTTGGTTCAAAAGAATGTATGCCTAAAGAGAGGAAACATGTGATAATACAGTACGTAATATACTTTAGTCAAACAAACAGATTATTGTTAGCCAAAAGACACTACAAAACTTTAGGACTCATTTACCGATGATGTCGGCATATTCTCCGGATGGAGACACTTGGAGCGTGGCCGTTGGTACTGGAACAATCTCGAGGCCATTTAAACGTTTAATTTCTGCATTATTTGGAATGAGGACCGACAGTGTGGACGAATTCTTTCCTTCACGAACATTTGCCAATTGAATTAATGCTTCCCACAGACGTGCCATTTTAATAGTCAATGATCCCCAAATTTTGTGCTGCTTAAGGGCATCGACTAATCTTAGAGCAGCAGCAACCCGATTCTGGATTATATTAATACAAAAAAAACAATTAACCATTAGGAAGAATATTAAAATAAAGGAAAAGCTATCACCACATTACACAGGTTCACTTAAATTTAGTACGTACTTCAATATTTTGCTGCCTATTTGCTGAACCACCCGGTTGGTCCGCATGAAGAAGGGATTGCGTTAATAAAACTGGAAGAGTGTGGTATGGATGCTGTTGAACGCATTTAGCTAGAGAAAATAATGGAATAAATAACTGGAATAAATGTGAATTCCAGGATTTTTGAGCAAGTCTCACATAAAATGTTCATTATATTATCGCCCATTTTTCCACTACAACTTGATGAGGTTCCGTTGAGTCGTGCACTGAGTTGATGCAAGACCACGACATATTTGTACGAGGGAAGATACTCACTGGCAACCAGTTGGTTAACCATGGTGCAAAATTTTGTGTCGATAGACTCTGCATTTTCCATCCAAAGGGCCACCTTAAATTACACCATGAGAACGATTTAATTTCTCAAGTTATGTAGATTCATAACAAGCAAGTAAAATGTTGCTAAACATACTGCTCTGAAGACTAACAAATCCTGCTCGTTACAGTCCTTTAGTCCTCTCAAATAGTGTCTTAGAGCCAAGAGTAGAAATTTCTTCTTTTCGTCACAAATTCGCTGTATTTCATCTTCATCAATGTTGCTCTGTCGCTTAAGTGAAATTGCAGAACGTCGAACATCCCCATCAGCGACATTTGCAATAGCAGCGACGTCTACTTTTGCCTGAAGTTAATAATAGCAGAAAACAAAAAAAATTATGGGTGTTAAGTAGTTAATTAAATTCAGTGCAAAATTAGATTATTAGATGTGTTTTAATATAAATACAATTTGGATATTTACCTTGGCTAAATGGGCAATTTTTTCTGCATATAAATCTGACTTCATGTACTTTGAAAGATTTTGATATTGTTCATCAGCATATTTTGCGAGAACAAAATGGGCCTTTGTCCATTCTGTCTGTCCAGCAACTGTCTTTTTCTCAAAAATTTGGACGGACCTCAACAAATATTTCTCTAATATCACCGTTGGTCTCTCACTCATTGACTCGGATAGCCACTCTCCATGCAAAAGGAGCATGTTTGGGTACAAATCACAAATGTCAGGGTTCGACTTTTTTATAAGTTTTCCTAAAATATGGCGAGCAATATCTTGATCACCTCGAGCCCAATGATTCTTTGCAATCTCAAGATCCTTCTTTAAGCTACGATCCGACAAAGACGAAATGCAATTGGCACAATTTTCAGCAAACTCTAGTCTTCCACACTCTCTTGATTTTGCAAGAAGTTCCAACATGGAATCGTCATATGCAGTTTCGAGTTTGGAACTTGGATTTCTAAATCACACACACAAATGCATAATTAAAGTACGTAATTACACCTACCTAGGATCTACCTTTTCGACGAAAACGATTCATACCTTTGGTCGAAGGAATGTAAAAGTACACCTCGCAAAGATAGGACAGGCTCCTGGAATTTTAAATCTGCAGAGTTTATTTTGTCGTGAGTTCTCCACCGTTGCAGAAAGCTGTTAATTCCTAACGATCCATCTTTTGATTCTTCTTCAAAAAAATCTTCGACAACTCGCAACATTTGAAATTGCGAAAGAAATCCATATAGATTTTCTGAACTTTCTATGCTTGCATGCCTCAAATTCTGTGATACGCTCCTATATCCTCTTGCTACGTTCTCAACGTGATTTACAACGTCCTTGGCAAGTCCTGAAATTATAATGAAACCAACAATAATTTAACTACCATCATAATGGTAGTCATACATAGTTCTATTAATAGTTAATAACTCGACCTGTTTGCACACTTTCGTAAACAAATCGCTGTAGCATTCCATGAGTTCTGGAGTTTTCAAAGAAACTGCCATCCTTCAAGTACGTCGCTAGGAATAAAACACAACGGTATTTCATCAATAACTTTAATTGCCGATGTTAACAAATCAGTAGAATAACGAAATATTGAATATATTGATTAACGAAATAATAATACAAATATTAATTAACAAAATAAAGAGTTAGAATTAGTTACCTTTATCGCAGTGAAGATTCCATTTTGAAAGGCTAAATAAAATAAAACCTATCAGTACAGCTTTGCTTAGCCCGAACCAGGAATGATTAGTAAACCCGTGTTTGTCAGTAGTTTTCTATGAAATCATGTGCTACTATTTTGCACTAATTCTTCCATCAATCCTTCGTATTACTAGGCTCCAAATTCTAAAAATATTTACTATCCCTTCTCTTGACTACTTCCTAGTGGAGGTCGTCTCTATAGCCCCCCTGGTTAATTTTTGTTCATATTTAACTTCATATTATTTCGTGAAAAAGCAGTATGGATCTCTGGTCCAAATTTCAGCTTTCTATGTTAATTTCTGAAAATCGGTGGGGGTCACCCCATAGGGTCCCTCTAGATGAAAATTTTACCAATTTCACTTCATATTCTTCCATAACGGGCCATTAGCAGCCTCTATACCAAATTTCAGCTCGATTGGATGATTTTGAAAATCGGTGTGGGTCACCCCCTCGGGTACCTCCGGTTGACAAATTTTCCAATTTGACTTCATATTCTTTCATTAGGAGCCATTAGCAACCTTTGTACCAAATTTGAGCTTTCTACGACGATTTTGAAATTTTGGTGCATAATACCCCACCCACTCCGATGACCCCCACCGGTCAACCACTGGACCAATGTTACCCATCTTCGAACTCGTTTCCTAACTTTGTCCAATATGCATATGGTAAAAATTTCAAGTCAATCGGTCAACTCGTTCGAGTTATCGAAAGACAGACGGACAGACAGACAGACAGACAAACGGACATGACAATTACATAAGCCCTGGTTCGGGCTAAAAAGTATTAAAAAATTAGCAGTTGAAAAATCAATCTTAGGTTTGCTTGGTGCTGGACTCACCGCCATCCACACTCGTACTGAATTTCTGCAAGATCGTAATCTAGCATTTTATCTTCGGCCTCAGCTCCCTTAAGGTATGTCCACAGACTATTATATAGCGCTAAATAATTGAAGTACATACATACATACTTAAAATGTGGACAGTTTTTATTGTTAATAAACTTAGAATGGTCAGAAATACAAAATATATTTACCCAAATCTTTTAGAGCTCCTGCGACGCCAGCTTTAGTAGAAGAGTTTGAATCTAGGGCGTTTCCATCGGCAGCAGACAGAACGCGGAAAAACTGCCTGCGTTGTTGAAGATGACTAATATTCATGACTCCATCAGAAAAACGGGCCGAACCGCACCCATACACTGCATCTGGCTCCCCAATACTCGTGTATGCTTTTAGTAAGAGTTCCATTGATTCGCCGCGAATACCGCCACGGGATGCAGGAATGAGCAAATTTCCTTGAGAGTAAAATGCATCCATATCTTCCTCTACGGAATCTTCAACATGTGAGTTGACTCCCCTTAATTTCGTTAATAAAAAATATCCCATGAGATAATTCAAGCTTTTGTTCATATATGAAAATTGCACTGTCAAGTGGTTTATTCTATGGAATGATCGGAAAATATTGTTTGTTTGATACACTATTACACATATAGTTAAACTTACATGTCCAATTCAGTTACGGCAACCTCAGTGAAAAGTATGGATGTAAGATATGCTCCACAGTGTTGTGCTGCTCTGGCTAATAACAAACGTTAAAATTAGACTATTCATAAATAAAATGAAAAAGTAATTGTGACGGACATTGCACGTATAAACCAATGTTTCTTCATAAAAAAAGCTTACACAAATCAAAATAGCTAATATCCATCCAAAAATTACTATCCCATGGTGTAATTCTGAAATTAGAGGAAACAAGAAAAAACTTTTTAACTAAAAACAAAATTGCTTGTTATTTACTAAAGTGCATTATTTACTTACTTTGAGCTCCCTTTGTATTCCTGAGGAGCCGGATGGATTCGTAGAAATTGAATAACTCCAATTAGATTTCGTAAAGCAAGTTTGTTCGTATAAATTGATCCTTGGTTTTCCACTCCTGAAATTATTATGAATACAAATATCTATTACATAAAATCTTTAGCTTTAAGCTTTAGCAAAAACTAATAACTAAATATGTGAGAATATCATACCAACTACAGGAGTAAAACTGCGAGAACAATCTGAACTGTTCGCCAAGTTGTACAAGCACTTGGTGAAGAAGTTGCGGAAATAGCCCGACACAGTTTTTCTTACAAGGGGATTCATACGCCCAGAATACAGCAAAACGTAAAACACGAAAGGAAGAATCTCCTGACAAAATTCGACCTGTAATTATTGTATAAAAATATGATTTGACATGTTAAACATAATTTGCATAATAATGAAAGAACCTTAATACGGCACACAGACAGCAAGGACGCGATGACGCTGTCCCCTTCTTTAAAACACTCGATGAGGCCACAGGTTAATTGTGTAAGCCAAGTTTTATAATCCAAACACTCATTCATTTCATTCAGACCTAACTTGGTCTCAATGACATTGGGGTACACCTTCTCAGGTGTCTTTGGGATTGTTCCTTGCGTAACTTTGAAAGGTTTAAGAATTGCGTCGGTTCTTGTGTTTGTAAAGTCCTTATTGATCAGTTCGGCGCACTCTGTCGTGCGACACAAGGCTCTTAACACGTCGCCACTGGTGGTAACCAACTTGATGTCATCCGCCTTTAAGTAGTCAACTAGAATTTGCATAATCGTGAGTAGAGATCCAGCCATCCCTTTAATTTCTCGTTTCTTTGGAGTGCAGTTGGGCAGTACCAAGACGGACAAATCAACAGGCCCTATTTCCCCCAGGCATCGAGCTGCTTCAATAACGACGTCTTGATCTGTTCCATTTTTTATGACGCTAAGTAATGTTTGGATTAGGGCATGAAGAACTTCACTTTGGCACTCGTCCGAGAAGCGTTTTCCTTCCATTAATCTCACCAATTTCTCGACATCGCGTTTTTTTAGACTTAACAGTTCGCGGATCCACACTAGTCTTTCCAGTGTCCATCGCTCACTTCCGTTGTCGAGATAACTTTTTAATTCTTTGAATAGAGACCATTCCGAATCGCTTTTAGTATTTCCAACCGACTTTACACTACTACTACCACTTGCACCGCCATGACCATACTTTACACTTTGTAAGACATCTTTGTACACATCAAAGTCACTAACTTTATTACTTGGAAATGGGTCCAAGGTGGCAATGCAGTCAACAAAATCCTTTTGATATCTAAAAAGAAAGTCACATACAAAGTTATTTGACAATTTCCCAAGTTTTTGTCGCCAATAATAAATATCATCGATTACCTAATCAAGAGAATATCCAACGGTTTTTTCGCAGCTAGAAAATAAAATCAAAATGCAAATTAAAGATGATCCTGGGGACTAGGTTTTTGTAGCCAAAATTATCAGTGGTGGTTCCTTTTTATGTATAAAATGTTCCTCAAATTGAAGGATCGTTTTTATGACGACATGATCAATGTTTGAAGATTTGTAATGGACGAAATACAGGATTATCTACAATGGTACGTACCTTTCAACAAATCTGGATGTCTTACAACCGATACCACCAAATTGTTGACTACAGTATAGTAATGTTGTTTCATCTCATCGGTGTAGTTAAGCGTTAGCGTCAGCACTAATTGTGATATCAGGAAGACGAGCGACTCTCTCAGGTACTGGCTGTATTTTCCTTTGCCATTTTCTAAATTTAAGAGACGAATATAACCATGCACAACAAATTGGCAAACGTATTCCTTCATTGTGTTGAAAATTGGGGGTTGTTCTTGTAAAAGTTGTTTTACAAAGTACGCAAATTGGTGAAGTCCTGTAAAAATGGAAATAAAACTATAAGTGTCTTGAACCAAAAAGATGTGAAAGGAGGGGATGACCGAGGAGGAGGGGGGGGGGCATAATTTTATTCACTAGATACATCGTAATTTACTTACGCCAAAACTTTTCGAGCGCATCATGGGAATTGTGCACTCTTGTGATTAATATCAACAGAGTATCATAAATAGCTTTGGGCGTATGGGTGGCCAGATACGCAATGAGTGATACGTCCTTTCTACTTGAATTTTCTCTCAAAAATTTTAATCCAATATCCACAGAGTTTTCGTCATAATGCGTTGAAGATGGTTCGGGAAGTACAAATGTGTTTGGGCAGCCCCAAGCTGATGGTATTTTCGCATCAAAAACGAGAGACACTAACTGCATCACCACATCTTCAAGTCGGGTCATCATGAGAGATTCTGTTTGAATTTTTCCACCAAGGGTAGTGTTTAAACGTTTCTGGAGTTCTTGAAGCTGAGTAACATCCTTTCCAGCGATTGATTGATACTTATAAACGGCTATCACGGGTACAATGCGAGCCATTAACATACCATAACACTCCTATAAAAACACAGGGTTATAATTTTTTAAATCACATTAAGCCTACTGATATATTATAAGTCAAATTATTTGGATAATTTACCGTTATCAGGTCCTCAATAGGTTCCCCTCCAAAAAACTTTGCAATTTCAGATAACCCTTCCGTATCATTCTTGAGAAAAAATTCGACAATAATCTCTTTCCGGAATTTGTTGTAGAAAGCCGCCATCGACTCGCATCCAAAAAAGGCATAAGGAAAATCATCGATTTTGTAATTGGCAGCTAGCCACTCATGAAGAAGAAACGAAACATGACAACACATGGTCTCTGTCACGGTGGACGAAGCATAGAGCAAAGCTCGATATGATAACGCAATGTCTATAGATTTCTCTTGAATTAATTGGAGAAATGAAAAGATTGTCTTTTTTTGAATAAACGGATACGCGAAAATAAGGCGAGATAGACATGCTAGGGCTATTGATGTTCGATTAACTGCTTCCTCAGCATTTTCATCCGATGTCAAGTTTGTCTGCAATTTGTATACAAATGATAAATTAAGTAAATAATATTAATGTTTATGAATGTCAAATCACAGGTAATAAGTTAACACTGCACGCAAAGGTTAACAAATTGACTTACAGAAATACTAAAGGTCTTTTGAACAAACTCGTAAATTTTGTCAAAGTATTCCGTAAGTGGCCAAGGGCGAGTCACAATTATTTCAGGATAAGCTGGCTGCACGGCGCAAAGCGGTGCAGCTGATTCGAATGTTGTACAGATAGTCTCGTTAGCAAAGAGTCTAATTTGATGGCTTGGATTATTCAAAAACTCGTAAGCTTCATTTAGAACCCAACATTCGGGGCCTGATTTTGGAGTAAACACGCTCCACAGCAATTCAGGATCACTCTGTATCGAGGAGAGGTAACAAAAATTCACGTTATAAATAATCAATTTGATTGACCTTTATATATTTAATTTATGGCTGAACGTACCTTTGCTAGTTCAGTTAAAGCTTTGAAACCGGGTTGGCAGACTAAAATGCTTGAACCATGCGGCTTCCCAGTTTTCATAAAAGCGGTCAACGTTCCAACCAAAATCATTAAGTTTTTCTTGTTCACATCACTGTCTCTTGAAGTTAATCCGGTTATGTCTGCGTATTTCATATACTTATAAAATTTTCAAATAATTGGAAAATGGTTTATTAAAGCATAATCACAAGGTAAATTTACCTGAGAAAAACTCCCAAAGCTTTGCAGAACAATGAGGAACCAAATAAAATCCCTTCGACATCTTTTGTAAAAGGTTTGTCATAAGAGTGAGGACGTCTGTATACTCTCTTTCCATAGAACTAGAGGTCAGTGCAGGGATTAACCGGATTATCAGTTCAGAGCTCTGGAAAAATACAAAATATAACGCATTAATTATGACCTCAAAAGCTTTCATTCAAAATACGCTTCCGCTAAATAAACACTTACAAATTCGAAAATGAATGGAATGAAGGAATTGTATGTTTCATTTATACAGTCTCGTAAAATATCGGAAAACAAGTCGATGCTGTGGTCTATGGAAGAGTTTATAACAAAACTTAGTATATATTGTAGAAACTAATGTGTATTTTAAAGATTATATCACTATACCACAAATAACTCCATAATCAATCAAGCACCCCAAACTCTCCAGTGCTACCAATTCAATTTGTCTGCTCTCTGAGATCCCACCATCCTCATCGCCTCCAGAAATGAATCTAGCCAATATATCTTTGCTTCCAAACATTAAGGTATCGCTGGGATTGTTTGCTGCTCCTACAAATTATTTGGAAACAATAAAGGTAACATTAGCTAATCTGAACAATTAATTAGCTACGAACAATTTATATAAACACTCTTATCTTTACTACTTACTTTCAAGATATCTGACCAAATTACTTCTGTACGCTTTCTTGAGCAGCTCTTGTAAGTGTTGAGGAAACCTTTGTGCCAACATGACTTTGACGCCATCACAAAGCTGTGAACTTTTCAGAATGTTTCTTAAAACAACAACTAGTTCGTGCACTTGGAGAGCAGTTTTTTGCTTTCCCTTTATCATAAAGTCAATAGTAAGTTCAACACATCGACTAAGCGCCTTGTCAAATAATTTTTCCAAGTTAGTTCGAAATCCAAAGTCTTCGCCTCCTCTGGTTCCAATCGTGTATTTCTCCAGCACGTTGATAGAATTCAAGTATAAAGCTACTCTGTAATTTAGCTGGGTAAACTTTTTTATGAAATCTGGAGATGTATGGTCAAACACGGGTAATTTCTCAAAATCTTCCATTAGCGATTCCACCAGTCTCAGTGGGATAGTCGGGATCAAGGACAATTTTAGTACTTCTGGTTCTGTAGGGGAATTTCTCTTTTGTTCAATTGCTGCTTCAATACCAGGTTCACGAACAAAGCAGCATTTTAGCAAAAGCTTTTCAAAATCTTCATACACTGATTCAAACTGTCCAAGTTCTGATGGAATATTAACTTTCATGCTGATATTTGGACGAAAGCAAAACCTTTCCGCATAAATAAGGTTATGCGTTTGTCGAACAAGAAGGGAGCACAAAATAGTAGAGATAAGTGGTTCATGTCCTAGACCAAGTTCATGAAATTCTTCCGCTGACATGGTGGCAGTAGACGAATTCAAAAGCCATCGAATAAGAGAGGATCTTGGGCATGAGGTAGAAGCAATTTCCACGTCCATTTCCATTGTAGAGGGTACATGACTATCGGACCCAAGATACAGAGGAAGGGAACAACGAGACAAATATTCGGCAAGGAGATTAAGACTTGCAGGGGTAACAGGAATGGCCCCACCGGTGTAAACAAGAAGTAAGGAATGAACGTTCGAAGGTTGAATTTCAATTAAAATTTTCCGCAGCAATTCCAATGCTTCAATCTTGAATTCACTGACAGAAAGTGACCTGGAGAAAATAATCCATATTTATTTCATTCCATAAACTTCAATAATATTTATCAAGTACTAGCTCAGCTAACCTAATCGTCAAGTCCCACACATTTTCCCAGCATTTTGAACGGGATTTTAAAACGCCTGTCCCGATCAAATGCTTCTCAGTATTGAGCAAACACAAGAGGAAGAGGTAGACATCCCTCCTGGTCACATAGGTTGATTTCAGCAAAGTAGTTCCCATTTGGAAAAGATTTCCAAAGTTAAGTCGAGTGCTGACAAGTTGTGGAAATTGTGTAAAAACACCAGTTAAGTAATTCATCCTGCAAATCGAGCAGCAAACAATTAACAGCGTGTTGCTATTGCCGTGAAAGACGTTGATGGCTTATGAAATGAATAAATATGTACCAGACAATTTGGCTTTCGTTAGGAGTCACCCTGCTACAAATATCACTCAGCACATTCTGAAAAGAACGGCACCTCATAGACTTCTTTGTAGGATTTGGCTCATCTTCATCACCTGAACTTGAAGGCTCATCAAGCTGTCCATCCATGTAGACCTATTGCACAAATCATGAATAAATATATATATATACATTATTTATACTTAAATGTGTACTAATAGTGTTAAATTAATATATTGCTATGAAAGTTAAGGCTATGGAAAATTACCAGTTTTGTGCATTTGGCAGCTAGCAATATCAGTTTGTCTGAAACTTGTAAATCCTTGTTAAAATGACTATTTTTCTTGATCGCAATGTCATCCAATGCATCCAAACAAAAAACGTAAATAGATTTAACAATTTCTGTCCACCGACGACAATCATTTGCAAGAAATGCGGACGTGTCCTTCATACTGGTATCACAAGGAGAATGGATTTGCAATTGCACCAGCAGAAGTTCGACGATGACACCCTAAAAAGATTATAATATTCAATGGCTATCACTTATCTTATGTGTATTATAAATACTTCACCTCTTCGTCGTTGGTGTAATTTGATGAATTTAGGATCCTGGGTATAAGCAATTCTCCTAACTTGCATATTATTCCACGGAATTCTACCGCATTCTGAACATATAAATAAAAATAGTTATACAAGAAGTTACGATTTTTAGGGATAAAATATTGTGTAATTAAGATAATAATAATAATTATATTGAAAGTTACCTTTCTGCATAATGACGTGAATCCCCGCAATATGATTGATATATTAGTTCGGGTGCCAGCCTTGTCTGTTGTGAAAATATTCTCGTAAAATTGAACAACACTGTAAAAACAAAATAAATTCAAACAAATTAAAGTTTTTCATTAGAATTTGTCCATATTTAGCAAAATAAATGTGTTTATGTACTCTGAACGAAGGGTAGAAATAACAGTAGGATGATTCGATCCTTCTTGAATGCAAATGTTAATGCATTGCAGTAATGTAAATGGTGGTATATTGTATTTTCCATTGACATACAACTTCAGCAAAAGCTTAATCAATTCTGCATAGAATAACAGTCGCATGATATTAACAACAGACGGGCTTTTATAGTTTTATCAAAGTGAAGAAATAATGTATTACCGATCCAGCTATGGGATACGATGATGGACACATAGGGCTCAATTGACAAGAAATTATGGAGCATACTGACAAGTGCAGAACCATAAACGAGGACATGAGTATCCTGACTCAAGTGACTTACAATAAAAGTAAAAATGTTGTTCCAGGCAATCCAAGGACGATCTAAAAGAAGTGTTATATATATCGAATTATATTTGTTGTTGCAACCAATCCATTATAATTGTGTAATCTATAGTCCAAATGCTTCTCTAATCAAATATAGTAGAAATATATAAAACTTACGACACGTTCCCTTTTGGAAGACACGGTGAACAACGCTGAAACAATAATTTTTTGCTGCACTGCCAACATGGCTAGTGGTCAATTTATCGGTTTCCTATCAAAACAAACATGAATTTATCACCATTTTCACACGATTATCATATATCCCATCAACTTACTTTAGTAAAATATTCACAAACTTCATTAAAAAGTACGCCCCACGTCAATTTTTCACCATTTTTGTCTTTATGTACAGAATTTGAATCTAAGGTGCGACAAACGTTATCACTTTCACTCAACAACTCCATAAGTCGTTCCGCCCCTTTCTAAAAAATATATCAATCATCAACGTTTATAATCTCAATACACAAATCAATACAACAATGGAAACATATCACACAAAAAAAATATATGATATACCTTCCGCTCGGAGACTCTGTTGGACTTGAACATCGAAATTGCCCCTTGCACATTGTTCAAAATCGTTTTGTCTGACGACGGCATGGCTGCAGATTTCTTAAATTCTGGTGCTACTTGCTATCAAAATCAACAGGTCACAAGTTCAGAACAAGCCACAACCAGAATCGCTCGTCTTTCTTGTCTACATTGTATCCGAAATATTAAACCGCATGAATCTTTGAAGATAAGATTGATCTTGACACAGCAAAATTCCTTTCCAGGACTGATTAGCACAAGTCAGCAAATCAACCATTAGCAAAATAATTAGCAAAGATAATTGTCGATCAAAAATAACAACCAGTTCTCTCTCTGCCCGCTTTGCTCTCAGCAAACACGAACTGACGACGAACACAACTCTGCTGGTCTGACGACTGACTGCGAGTGAGCGAGAGTTTATTTTGCTCCTGCTGCTCTGGTTTGCGCTGACTTTTTGTTCCAATAAAAACACGGCGAACGGGGCAAAGTGAGAGAGCCAAACTGATTTGAACATCCCGCCTTAAATCCCTTCGCCCCTTATGATACATATTGGTGCGTAACTTCAACTTTGCCAAGAACTCCACCAACTTTTCCAAATTTATTCCGTGAGTGGATTTTTCCTTGGTAGTTTCTCAAATAGACATAAAATTGGAAAAATTCCTAATTCCTGAGTTGAGGACATGTTGAGCTACGTGGCAAAGTCGAGTACCATGTCGCCTTACATGAAGGCCACGGTCACTGCCGTCGCTGGGGCGAAGCAGGTCCTCAACCCTGCCACGGTTGTGGGTACAGCCCCGTCTGTCCCTTATCCTGCTCCACAACCAACCGATCCCAAATCTGGAGATACGTTGAGGAGGATGGGTGAGCAATTGCTATTACGATCTAATTAACAAATTAGTTCTTCAACACGAATGATAAGGAAGTACTAAATAAATACGTACTTTAGTTTTTAATACGGTTTATTTTAATTACTGTAGCTCCTCAATCTGGTGCGGTATCGGTGACATCAGGCGTAAGGAGTTCGTCCATTGTCCGGTACGCACACACAGATGTTCGGGTCCCTGATTTCTCGGCTTACCGTCGTACCGCTGTCAAAGACCCGACCACTCGATCAAGAGACTCTGCTGATTCGAGAAATTCATTCACGTACCTCATCACCGGAAGTATGTTTAATTTAGTGATAACCGGCGGAGAATCCATTTTTTAATTTAAACAGTAAAGTTCATCAATACATGTATGACTAATACTAAATGTTTGGTTATAGGCGGTATGGTGACTGGAGCCTATTGTGCTAAAACTCTTGTCACCGATTTCGTCAGCAGTATGTCTGCCTCTGCTGATGTGTTGGCGTTGGGTAAGAAATTTTTTCATTTACGTAATGATTTATTCAATGATAAAATACATCAGTAAGTGATTGGAGTTATTCATAGCATTCATAATAATAGAATGGAAGAAACTTGAAGAATTTGATCATGTTTTTTCCCCTTCCGTACCATACAGTATCTGTATCTATATCATATACTATCAGTCCCATTTGTCACGGCCATGTATTCGTTACTTCAAATAGCTTATCCTGCCTTCTATATTTTTCAGCCAAGATTGAAATCAAGTTGGGAGATATCCCAGAAGGAAAAAATGTTACTTTCAAATGGAGAGGAAAGCCATTGTTTATCAGACACAGGTATACTTCACTAGACAGTCTAGCTATATACCTATTACTTCATATCGCAATGGACTCAAAAGTAATAAATAATACATCAATAATAATCATGACCCGCTCATTTTGTAGAACTGCAGAAGAAATTGACACAGAGACCAAAGTCGACATCAACACCTTAAGAGACCCCCAACCGGATTCCGACCGTGTCAAAAAACCACAATGGCTCGTCGTATTGGGAGTTTGTACTCATTTGGGCTGTGTGCCCATTGCTAATGCTGGTTAGTTTGATACATTTAACTGCTTCGTATTGAATGGTTACTAAATTTTGCTTTTAAATTTTCCATTAAATTACTATTTTTGTCTGAAATAAATAGGCGATTTTGGTGGTTACTATTGTCCATGCCACGGATCACATTACGATGCTTCTGGACGAATTCGCAAAGGACCTGCTCCACTCAACTTGGAAGTTCCAGAATACGAATTTCCAGACGATGATAACCTACTAGTCGGTTAAAATAATTTATATTGCTAACATCTGTATATAAAAAATATTCGTCAAGTTCAATTTCAATGCCCAAGCTGTTAGGAGTCATCAATGTCGAAAAAACACTATTTGATTGATAAGCATGTTAGTTATTCTTAGAAACGAACTGATACATTGTATTACTGCAATTGGAATCTGTAAAAAAAATTGAATAATATCCTGTGTTTAAGAAAATATTAGCAGCTTGCATTCGTAGTTTGCATTACGACGGGTGCGATGATCATGGTTAATTTCGTCATCCATAATTACGGGAACGAGGTGAACAAAATGCTAAATATGCTCTATTGGTAATTTATTTTATTTAAGCGTTCTTTTTTTATTTATGTCTTTCACTTTCATCAAAAATACGACTCACAAAATAATTAATGATACACACATGCAGGATAATTGTATTTTGTTGTACCGGGGATGGAAACAAAACTATACATTATTAAATTTTCACATTGGTTAACTAATTTAGAGGTTTGTGGTATACATGTCTTGGAAGTATATCCTATTATGATTGATTAGTGATTATCTATTCTATCACAATCCGGTTTTCCAGTAGGAATTTATTGAATATAATCCGACTCGAGGCAATCCCTGTAAAATAAAATCTGAAGCCCGGATTGTGACGTAAAGTTAAATTTGATACCACTACCCCTTCGCGTTGTTGATTTATATAAATGCGCACCATGTATCCTGTATGTATGTACAATAATTAGTTCTATAAAGATCATATTTTGAAACTCGCGACATATGACATAAAACGTGTTCATTTTTGGTCTACCTGCCTAATTTAGCGATGGTTAGCACATCTTAAAAATTCGAAGAAAAAAAATTATGATACCTTTTCTAGTGATTTAATTTTATACTTGTACATTTACTCACTTTACTCACACGAGTAGTTTAAATACTTCTTTTGCGCATACATAAATACTTTAGCCAAACACAAGTCAATTTATCCTATTAAATCGAAACATGCCGATGTTCAAGTACATGCAAAATTAGGATACAAATGAAAATTATCATACATCAAGTTTTACTTTACACTGTCCTTTAAAACTAGTAACAATTTAAGTTTGTTTTGTGGGAGGAGTAATGGCAAAATATATTATTTATTGGTATAAATGCATCAATAATTATTACTATCGATAATTCTAGTTCCCTCATTTGCTTGATCTTTAATTTGAACTTATTACTGAACTGAACATAACATATTTTGACTTATTTCACGAAAATGCATATTAAGTTTCCAATTAATTATTAATTATTGTATTAAGTAATTTCAATTGCACACAATTATTGTATGTACTTCTAAACATTATTACTCGTAGGTCACTATATAACTTACAATACCACGAAAAAAATGGTTGATTGACTAGTTTACCAACTTTGTATCAGGATTTTGAAAACAAAAATGGATTTTGTCAGTAGTAGCTGCAAAAATATGGCTGCTCGAAATATCTGAGGTGCGATGACTTACTTGACGTGACTTTTTAATGTTTGAACTTTGACCTGAACCAAACAACTCGCCATCCGGTTAAATAAATATACACATTTTTTACGTATGGGAATTATTCCTATACAAAATATGGTTGAAAATTTTCTCCCCCTCACATTCCATGTAAAGAATAAATTATGAAATGTGTTTACACGCACAATGTAACGTACATCCATCGTAGATAAGTTTAGGATCACAGACAGATTAGATTGAAAATATTTTTCAAGGACTGATGAGTAATAGATCCTTCACCAGAAATAGCCAACTACATACATATTATATATAATTGTGGTAAGCAGTAGAGGCAGATATTTGTGTATTAATTATATAGTATTATAATGCAAGTTAACCTTTCGTATTACGCATAGGCCTGTCTAAAGCTTCTAGTTTTGTAATTTCATTTAAGATTTGTAGATTTGTAGATTCATTCTATCCAGAAATGTGTGATATATGTATGTATATATGTATGTATATTTGCTTGCTACTTCATTCATACACATAAATGCAATTGTTCCATCCTATAGGTGATAACATTATGTATTATGAAAGAGAAGAGCACCAATAGTTAAGGTTGAACATTCAGGTTTCACAGTTTCAATAGTAATGCTCATTATAAATTTTACTTTGAGATTTAAATTTCAAAATTGAGATGTCAAGTATTGTATGTATAATATAGATTCAGTTAGGAGAGCATTATTGGAAGCAAACACCTATTAAAAAAATTATGCACAAGACAACTGATGTATTCAAATTTGAGAATAATATGATTGAACGAATGTGATGGCCTATGTATGTATGTACATTGTAATACCGGAATGCGCATGCATAAATTAATAGTCAGTGTATAAGTATGAATAATTATCACAAAGAAAGGAGTTGCTACGAGTCTAGGTTGGAGAAAATAAGAAGATTATACGTTTGCGAGACAAAATGATTCTTTGATGTTTCTGCACTCTTGAACTGGAATGAATTAGTTAAAATAATTTAAATTTTTGAGTAGCGTTATCAAGTTCGTTTGATAAATTTAAGCCAGCTGGTGTAGCTGCGGAAGGTCAAGGGTCATATTTGCCCTTAAATGTTGTCCTTTGTTCACTCGGGAGGTACGAATAATTTGAAGAACCTACAAAATAAGAAATCAATTACTTAGCTTGGTGAGTTTTTATAATAGAATAGAAATTTTGGACACTAATGAAGTCCAAGATGATTCTTAGATTATTTGAGATAAAGATAATCTGCAGCATGAGCCATAAACGGTGGTTAGGTCGAATTCATGCACCATTGAAATTGACTAGGCTAGACATAAAATAAAATGTAACTGTACCATAGCTTTGCAGTCATGACACACCACCATCAACTGACCCATCAGTCTTTCAGTCTTGCCCTCTTCCTTTTTCCGGCCAAATCCACGTCTAAATGGAAAACAAATATACTTTAGATTCAAATAAGCATGCCAAATAGATCGAGAGTTGAACATAAACCCTGTTTGTGTGTACATATGTATGAAGTCATTTAATGGCTGACCTTTTGAGAGCTTGGAGACTAAGGGAGATGGATGAGACGGTGGGAAGACTGTATGGACCACTTTGTCCATCAGGAGAGATCCGGTCGCGCAGGTCGTCGCCATCCAGCAAGCCGCCAGGAGAAATGGACCGCTGACCAGAGTCGTCCGATTTACGGGAGAGTGAGGGCGACGTTGGTGCACTGCCTACGCTGTTCTTTCGCCCCTTGCCCATAAGGCTGTGACAACTGCCTCCTACTCCTCCCACCCCGGAGGGATGAAGTGGTGAGGGGGATTTTCCTGGCGTATTTGTCGGAGAGTCCTCTTCTCTCGTGGGTGAGAGAAGTGGGCTCAGGGTGGAAACGGGGATGTTAGCAAAGTGCTCTGTGGGTATTCGCATCTGCAATTCAGCACATAATCATAAATACATACGTACAACCTTAACATTGGCATATTGTCTTTCATCTTTGTTCTTATTTATTTTTTATTTGTACCTTTGAGCAACATTTGGCACACACCATCCGCTTGCAAAGCTTGCAGGTATTCCCCCATGGTCCAAACAAGCTAAACCTTGCCTTGAGACATAGGAAACAGACCTAACGAAGCATTGTCCATAAAATATTGCGTTAGAATCATTAAAGTAGTTTTGACTGTATAAAACATTTTTAATATGTAGAAAAATACACACCTTTCCTTTTAGAACATCCTCCTTCGTACTACAATCTACTGGTAAAGACTCCAACTCTGCCTTCGTTAAAACATTCCGAATATGAACCACCTCCTCCAAGTTTAGAGACAAGCATTCCATCGCCGTCTGCCACTGATTCGATTGGAAGAATTCTTCCTGCAACATGCTCTTCGACATGGAACGAGGCAGGTTTTGCTTCCTTCTCGCCAGAATTGGGGACACGGCGGGCCCATTTAGCGAGTTGTAAACGTTCAGCGTGTTTGTATACTCGAGTGGGAACGTGATCATGAGAGCACCGTGTTCTTCAGTCATATCAGGATTGCAAATTGTGTGCCTTCTTCTGTTGTCCACATTGGAAGAACTGTCACACAGAAGGTCTGGAATTGTGGAACAAAAAGCTTTAATTTCATTCAATTTGGTCTGATGATCGTGTATGTACACATGATTTACCTGTCCTCGTTTTCCAAGGGGTTGTTGGCTCAGACTGAGTATGTTCCGGACATATGTGACCGTAATAGCAGGTTCCGTCGCTATCTTTTGTTACTTGGAGTTGTAGATGGTCATCATCACTATCGTCATCCTGAGGAAAGCAAATTTCCAGTTTCTTACAATGCACGTACAAAATCATTTAGGTGTCGTGTAATATGTATCCTTATATAACCTCATCAGCAAAATAAGATCAAAACCTGACGCCAATTACCTCCTACTACTTAATAACTAAATGTCAAGCACATGTAAATCTGCAAAATACTTCAGCAGAATGATACGATCTATAACCAAACGCAGGCGGCAGGGACGAGTTCGTATTCTAATATTTCGAATACGTAGGAATTATGAAGCAATGATAATGCTGAAAAACTTGGCGAGCAGTGTTGAATTCGCAAACAAAGGAGGAGGAAGAGTTTTTGCTTGATTAAGCAGTCAGATTCCTGATCATCAAAACTGAAGTGAAGCTGTCAACAACTTTTCCTACAAATCATGAGCCCGAAAATTCACCCTTATACGACTACAGAACTGCATCACATCTCTGTACATGGTTCTAGCTTACATAATAGTCCAAACGGAACAGTGTTACTATACTTTGAAACGTAATTGTGACACGGAAGATGATGTAATAATAATAATGGCAGCTTTCATTAATTTTACATTGCACAATATGACGACAATCATAATCTGGCCAAGTGGGCTAGCTTGCCAAAAACAAGAAAGCACAATATGCTTACACATATGTATGCATACATATATGAGAAGAGTATGATAATTATATGCTATCTTAACTCATGCAGAAAGGATTGCAACAATTACAATAGATTTAAGACATGGATTTAATTTCTTCGATTAATGTGCATACTTGTTGTTAAACTAAAGATGAAACCCACAAATCGAATGGATTTTCTCAAAAAGAACTGTGCATCCAGGATGTAAATATTTTCCCATTGTGTTGTTTGTGACGCTATAAAAACTTGAACTCTGAACTCTACATATATCCTTCCCAGGACCGATATGGTCATGATCTTGATATAGAGCATAAAGCTATCTATCCTCGATGGGTGTTGAGTTGGACAACTACCCAAAATTGCATTGCTATTTCTACTGGTCTAGATTGACGCGTTTCATATTATGCATCTTTGTCTATTTGCTTACTGAAGTCATCGTCATTTCTGCCATTGACTATGGAATATACTTGTCTGAACCTATGCAGTGGGTGTTTCTTATTGCATTCAAATCCCTCGAGGAAAATAAACGTGGTGGGGTGGCCTTCGTTTACTTTTATTATGATGGGATAACATTTAGGATAATTAGGGTAGTTCAGATTGTCAAACAAACACTTCCATCATTTGTCCCTCATCGCCATCAGCAGTCGTGAGGCAAGTACAAATGATAGTGAAAGCTCCAAATTGTATAAGTTGTAGTTATTTATCATCATCAACAAATCAACATTAAACTCACTTGAGTCGACTTCAGGTCACTAATAAAAGTACAATGGGAGAGTGAAATGGTTCTGCCCACTTAAACATTCTCAAGTGCGTATGTACAAGTTAAAAATTTATGACGAACAAGAATTGGACTTTTAGGATAAAGGTGGCGATGGCCTTCTTAAAAAACGCCTACATTGTTCAGCGTACATTTATCTCTATTTATCTACTCCAAGTCTTTCCCGATACTTTTATAGGTAATTGATTTTTAAGCAGTTCAAAGTCCGTGTTATTTTGCTGCGTTATGTATGTACATGCAATTGTTCAAGTATCAGTTCTAGTGCACATTTGCATATGTAACTTTGTTAGCTTAAATAATGTGTTAATCATATACAGATATTTTTGGAATAGTTCAGCATTTTGTAAGCTTTCGAAACATTGTTTCAAAATGTAAATCCACCGTCAAGTATTTTATACCCAATGTATGCACATAAGTATATATAAGTAAATAACTTCCTTGATTTTCGTCTGCCAACCGCAAATCCTACTTTCATCAAAATAAATGACTTAATCCGTAATCCAAAATAATAAAGCGACTGCATTCCATTGTTACACTCCTAAGCAAAAACGGGACATGGAATTGTGTAATTGGCAACCATATGTATTTGTACATGTAGCAAGAAGATGCAATGCAATGAGCAAATTGGCTCAAATCTTAGTTTTATGTCCCACACCCATCTTATTATTATTTCTTCTCGGTTAGATGTACAAAAGGTGATTAGTGATGGTTTTGACGAATTCAAAGTTGAATATCTCTGGCAGGGGGTTGAATTTTGGACTGATTTTTGGCGAGTTATCAGATAATACTCTCAGGAAGATATTTCCAAAATTTTGTAGCGATAGCTTCATAAATGCCCCCTCCAGTGCCCTCAGAGTTGGAGGGAGTCAAAAAAAGATAAGCATGAGACAAAAATTGTTTTATATAGTGAAAAGCATGCTGAGTCCCTTAATAATAGTCGCAAAGACCATTTTTGCATCAGGACCTAAGAAAAAAATCTTTTCTTCAACGCCATTTTGTAAGAGTACTAGTTTGGAAAACTAAAAAAGGACACGTCTCCAAATTTGACCTCGCCTCATTTCGTAGAGTACACAAAACCGGAAGCCAGATATGCTAACCTATAGTTTGAGACATGGGCTTTCACATAAAAAATGCTAGAAATCTCTACAACTAAAAACCATTCCGTAATTAAGGTTTGAATTCGTCAAAAGTAAGTCTGATCGCCTTTTGTACTGGCATGATTCCCTCCCATAAAAACGCGTAATATTTTTGAATGAATTTTTAACCGAAGGAATTACTTTATGTACCGCCGTTTTCCGTTATGTCATTTCCCAGGCATTACAAAAATCAGTAGCCATGCTTCTTCTCGTGATACACAAATTGTACAATATCTTCACTTTACAGTTGGTGTTTCTATGTATTTGACAAAGCTCGAGTCCCTTCTTGAAAGAACGTAGCACCAAGTTTACAGCTAAAACATTTATCTATGTATTCCAAGCCAAACAAATAAAATAACAAACTAACATGCTTCCGTTGAAGCAATGCGAATTGTTGGAAAGTGCAAAGCAAACGGTGTATGTGGCAAGTGTACAAAATATAAACTCGACTAAAAATGTACTGTACTTCACAACTCAGCAACACCAAGTCATTACAAAAATAATTGAAAGTAAACAAAATGAGATCTTGTCTTCAAAACCCTCCTGGGGACTCACTCCTAAGCAGTGCTAAGCTAATTGAGTTTCATGTAGTGAAATTTGATCCCGTGTCGAAGAAATTAAACAAACTTGCAATTTCATCTCCTAATTAAACTCAATGTAAATTAACCATCCATCCATTAACACCTGAGGCAATAGAGATGAATGGTTCCTTATAGTTCATTGCGGGTATAAAATTCTGTAGTGATGCTGTGTAATTAACGTACATATAAGTACAAGTCTGCTCATCATTTATACCTTATCATTTCCATACAGTGCATCCAAATCAGCCTTGATAAGTCTCCTCTGTGGTGTAGACTGAGACTGCAAACTGTCATTCTGGCCTCCAGATGTACTATTTTTTGTCGAGGTGGAAGAAGTGACGTCTGGAATGTCGGCAGATTTTTTGGACGCTGGTGTTGATGATGACCTCCCGGACGCTGATGACCTATCAGACGTCATTTCGTGCGATGTTTGACGACGAGGTGCTTGTCGATGGCGAAGGGATTCTGAAAATAGACAAATAAACTGTTGAGTAATGATGCACAATGGTCACAATCATATCATTTTGTTCCCGTTATACCAAGCAAAGTAACCAAAATTTATGTATTAATAATCATGTCGATGTCATCAACATTTTGTCAAGCACAATGGTATGTATTTACAAATATAATTTTGACTTTGCGTTATGTCGTGAGAACTAAATTTAAACAAAAGACAAGGTTTTTTGACAATTCAGCATAAACAAACATGATTCGCTTCATTTCGCTGCGGCAAAATAAGAGTGTCATCATGAAAAGAAAGTTGGAATATTTGACGAATGAAGGACGACAAAAAAAGATGAGACGATGATGATGACACTGACACCATAGCGCAGGGGGCGTCTCGTTTACAGACAATAAATGTCACATCTCATCAACCAAACCGTAAACAAAGAGGGATAAACAAGTTATATCTGGGCACCTCATCGCTTACGGTAAATTGTGAACGGTGATGATCACCAGCTTTGTTTTGATTTCTGGGACATGTTGGCTCAACAAACAAAAAAGACGACAAACCATTTCAGGCGGACATTATGACAATAAGATCACATTGCTCGTTTTCAGTATTTTATCATGTCGTGATCACCAAGAGGAAATCGTACTAAGAATATATGTACCTGCTTTATTGTACGTCTTGTTCACTCTGGGTGAAAACCTTCCAATTATAACACAGGATTAAATCAACAATTAACGCCACTCACTTGACGGTAGCTCACAATTCCAAAAGACGATGACTTTTAAACGACTGCATAGTTTACTCACACACCTTTATATTGTTTCTTCAAAGCACGATTCTGTATTTTACGCATATGCAAGTAAACAATCAGCGTAGAGGAAAATCTAATCCGACCATTTGATCAAACTCGCTGGTCCAAGTGCTTGTACACTGATTGATGAGTGAGTGACATCACAATGCAACCGTTTGGAAGCAAATGCCTCAGATTTCAAAGAGGAAAAAGTGAAAGTATTCTCAGCCAATGTCATCCTTTAAGTTTGGAGGGAACGCTACTATATAACTTGGCATTAATGTAACATCGCTGTAATGTAACATGACCTCACAACTCACAATTCTTAAAGAGTGACCCAATTTATATTTTATATATGGTCAGAGTAATAAAAGAGTAAACAAATTGGCGTGGGATTTGGATGACCACTGCACTTCAAAGTAGAGGTCAAATTACCCTGGGTGGATGTAGATGGATTCCTATACATACATCAATACATATGTACAATCTGCATGGAAAGGCTCAATATTGAGTATGCTTAGCCTACACAAAATCGTGCTCAAAATCTGCAATTCCACACAATCGAGTATAATATCTTCACTCATTCTTCTTCGCGAAATAGATGAGATTTATAGGACCCACAAAATTCGTGCACAATTTCGCCTTTTGATTATGAAATTTATAAATAGTCTTGTTACATAAAGTAGAAGGATGACCTTAATTTGCCAATTGCTTTGTTGCTAGATTATCATTATTACATTCGTGCAATAATTTAAAAAATGGTCTATACGGTTTCGTATGACTAATACACTAAATATATAAATAGTTAATATTATTATTACCTTATATCATTTCAACGTTGATGGTCGGATATTGTTATGTTAGTCAATAATTTCTTAATAAGAGTCCCATTTCTTAAAACCATAGTCAAACAACACACTAATGCAATTCACAAACTGAATAAATTGACCATTTATCCGGAAATTATTTGTGCTTTGTGCATGCGTTTTAACAGGAAATTCAGATTGTAATAATTCAATTTATGTAGTTATGTGTAATCCGATAACACATATATGGAATGATATGAGTGTGTATGATTAGTTTGGCCAGTCAAACGTGCCAAATCCAGTATGGGTCAGACGTGATGTGTCCAGTGCAAGTCTAAACCAGTTGGATTATCCAGATGTCGTAGAAGCCATGGCACTTTCTCTCTTACTCTCTGGCACTGCTTTCTTCAATATTTGCACATATTCGCTCAACAACCAAGAGCATTCTTAGGGAAAGGTTACCTTGAAGTTGCTGCTGCTAAACATGCTCCTCCACTCAGTCAGACTGAATCCTTCTAAGCTTGGTATATTTGCAAAAATTTTTGCAAACCCGGGTTTGCTAGCCTATTTTCACGAACTACGTCATCAACTTTTCCAGTGCAGAGTTTGCGGGCACTTTCTCTCTCGCTTTCTCCGTTCCCCCGACTCGCTTTCTCTGCCCGTCGCCCATATAAGAGCCACCCACACAAATACCTTCCGCCATGCATTTCTGAACTGGTGGCCTACATCCAGCTCTGTATCTGCAAGGCTACAATCACTGACACTTTTACTTTATGAGATTTTTCGGGGTATGAGTCACAGAAATAGAGCAATGCCACATGCCACTACTCTCCTATAGCAGAAGTCCCTTGGCTGAAAATGACAGCCTTTAATATAATTGATGAGAATTCCTCCTATTCCTTGAAGAAAGTAAAGAAGCTGCTCATTCTTCATTTAATGTATTGCGAGAAAGTGACGCGTAAAATAATTAACCTTCCCAAGTCGATAAAACTGACACGGAAATACCTAAAACTATCCCTGCAAATCGTGAAACCTACTTTAACGGTATAATGAAAATACGTCAGGCATACAGCCTACAAAACTACTGCAAAATGTACTTATTTGTATTTCAATGGTTAAACGATGTAGTCCTTTGCAAATATATTATGGATTATCATACACTATAATTCCGTGCTTGCTAAGTATGTATGTATACTGCATATATCAATCATTTGACAGTTAAAATTCATCTAAACTTATTTACATAAATCCGCACCTTATTTCACATCCATTTATCATAATCAAACAAAGCCAGAAAGTATTTCTTAACTTGCAACCATAAATCAACTTCTCACCTTCTGCGATTACCTCGTGACAAGTGGTTCATTCGTTTTTACATGAAAAACACTTTGTTTCGAGAAATTTTTTCTACGCAAAGCTCAATTTCAAATATTTGCCAATTTGTGTTCACCAATACCTATTAACACTCTCGAATTTAAAAAAATTATGGATTATTCAAATGTGAAGTGGCCTATCCATACCTGAAACATTATTGTTCTCGAAAGCATACTCACAGGGAACTGCAGCACTTTTTATAATCTTTTAAATAACGTCATGCACAAGCTGTTTATCAAAACTTCTGACAAATCCCCTTATTTTTGCATTGACTTGGCAGATTGTTTTTGACTGACTGAAGATATTTTCGAGTTTCTCCTCTTATGAATTATATAAAAGTGCAGTTTTCTAACAATTAATGTGGCGTTAGGCAGTGTCAAGAATTGCTACATGAAACACACTTGAATTAATGATTACAACTGAACCAGTCTGTAGTTGAGTCAATTAAATGAATGTAAACTCAACAAATTGTCGGTCTGTGTTGATGACCAATCAGTGTGCTCTTCACAAAAAAAATGACAATAGACCTGGATTATAGGCAATTAGAGCTTGTTAGCATTTGTTTTAAATTTTGATTCCATTTCCATTAGTCCTTGAATATTTGTATATTTAAATATAACCAACAAACTGTCAAATAGTAATGCGATGCATGTCCCTTGAGTCTTAGATCATTCACTTGGATCTTTGAACCGGGTCGCACTACAATATATAGATTTTTTTGCTTAAAGAAATTATAACTAAAAAGTGTATTGTCTACATACATATACAATGCATAAAATCATACATATTTGTGTACGATGTGTATGAGCAGATACACTACACATCATAAATTCAAAAATTATAGCTCTCGCAATCATCACCAGCAAAGATATTGTTTGACAACTGGTACAAAATGAAGGAAGTTTACTTGAACCATAGTAAGATGGACACATGTACATAAAATGCGCATATGAAGCACGGTTTAAACGACGGATTATCATTATTTCCAACAATCAGGGCACTTGTTCTACCCATTAAGTGTATGACTATGAAGTAACAGAAGCAATTTTATTTGCATTAGCATAAGAAGAATGTAAAATACTTTTATTTTATTGCGATCTCACACATCACTTTTAAAACAATGGCATTTCAGTGGCAGAACCAAGACGTAAACCCATTAACAATGAAGGTGAGAATATGTTTGCATTAAATGGAGATTAGAGAAGATTACTGCAAAGATAACAAGAAGTGACGAAAACTTGTAGCAAACGGTTTTTACCAAGGCTGTCAATACTCAGGTGAACTAATTGACCATGACTAGAGCAACTCCATCTCACGATTTATCCAATGCATCGTGATTTTAAATTTATACCTGTTGACCCATTAACTATTATCATTTCGCCTGATCTGAAAATGAGGTGGAAACCATGTTTTCGAAAGGCTATAAAATTATGAAAATGCACAAAATAACATTAATTTGGACACCTCCTGTGTAATCATAATTATTGTTACGTTGATGATGATGATAGACTTTGATATTGCATACATACGTGACACTCCTGACTCACATCATAAGTCCCAGGCAGCATAATTTGACGGCGGCGTAATATATGAATTTAAGGCCCACCTCAGGAATTGTGTCAAACACGTTTGTTGTTGGGTAAAGCATTTCTGACATCACAACCCATGGTCCCTGCCCATATCATGACAGGTAAATCGACCTTTGACCTGATACACACATGCTCAATGTGGTTATACGAGATTCATCTAGACTTTCCTAGTCATATATTTATGGATATATGTATGTACTTGTAAGTATGTATGTACATGTGCCTATGTTGGTTCACTAACCGGCTTTTTCTGATCGAATACAAAAGTTTAGAGTTGGAGTTCACCTACGATACGAATGGATGAATATATATGTATTTGCAATTTGCATGCAAAAATATACACACGTCCAATAATTAAGAGTTGACCCAGTAAAAATAAAATTTTAAACAGAAATAGGATTTTTTGCCACGACTCATGTATCTTTACAGGTCTCCAAAATTGTAACACTTTTTCCTTGTTAAACATATGTACTTGTACATAAATACGTTTATTATTATTAATTATTTTATTTATTTATTTATTCAATCACTTTTAAAGTTAAGTTTAATTAGCATAAATGCGTGTATTTCGAATAATTATTTGTTTATATGAAAACCCAAAGAACGTTGTAGGAAACTTACTATTTAGTTGTATTAGTCAACAATGGAAAGAGTACATTCGTACTCTTACGAATATTAAGAATAGTGCACGTGTTACCTTCGCAACTTCTTGTCTTCATTGAACGAAGCCATAAAACAAACGGTTTTAGATAATTCAGTGGAAGCCAATCCAATTAATTCTAAACACATTCAATTCCACAAAATAAAGCCGTTATCAAATATCGATTTATTACGTATTCTTTGAACAAATTAAACCAACTCAACTATTGAGACTTGTCTTTGACAATTGGAATCACCTAAATTCGCCCAAGAAATTACAATTTTATGGGAATCAGCCTTTCATTAAGTCATTAATCATGTGTCCGCCCTTGCATCCCCATTAAAATTTTGAAGAGCAGAAGATATGGGGGTGGATTGTTTGCCTCATATGCGTTTTCCAAAAGCATGATCAGTCACTTCCTAACCATCAACCATAAAGAAAACTCGACCAAACATGAGTTGGTTCACTAATTTGAATAGTACTAAAAAACGTATTACAAAGTTACTTAAAGCACTTAAATAATAATTTCTTATAAGCTCAAATTTTATAGGGAAAGTGGGTAGGAAGGACTAATTTATTTGCTTCAAGTTCAAGACATAAGACTGGGATAAACACCGATGTAGTGGTTTTAGCTCTTATAAATATTGTTATTTACAACAAACACGGGAGTACTACAAATGTAATACTACATATGTATCTGCACATTCTAAATAATAACAATCTCCAATGATTCTACTATAATTCATCTGCATACATAGAAAACCCAACATGCCGTTACGCCGTTTTGTGTCAACTTATCGGATTTTTTGTTTCTAATAGTTTGTGGTTCCATTTCATGGGTTTCATCATGTTTTGATGGTACTTATCTGTAAACATTCTTCGTTTCAGATTAATTATCACAAAATAAAATTTATTGACCCCTTGATTTATTGTGAGTTGTCACGAACAAGCTAGATTAGTTGGAATGAACAATGGTAACCAAATTTAATTAGTTTGATATGTTAGTGTAATAAAAAAATTGCAAGTAATTGTCGCATATAGTTTTATCCAGCATACCTTCAAACTGAGCTTGTGATTGTGCCACAGCGAATTCTCCGTAGTAAATTGTGCAACATTGCAAAATAAAAACTTTCCTAGTTGCTACACTTATCCTTAGTTTATCATAACTTTGTAGTGAATTTCTATTGAGAACCTACATACTTGTCCAAACTTCAGTTGAAATCGTAGGCTCGAGGAAAAAGCAACTAATTGTAATCCCATTACAATGATGCAAATTTCCTCACCTAATTTCACTTCCCGTTATCAAATCTCTTCCTCGGGCTCAAGTTTATTGAAATTTATATAAAAAATTTGTGTAAAATAAATCCTGTTTTTCTTTCATTTACATCTTAACTACATGAATCCCACCTCCGCCAATTAGTTTGTCAGATACTTATTGCACCGTAAACTGTGCTTGCAGCGAGAGGAAAGTATTTAACAAAGTTGCGTAATACATTGGGTTCAGTCAGAGTGCGTATGGGCATCACGCATGGTGGATAAAACCATAAAACAAGTTTCTCATCTCAAATGTGCATCTTTGATACGAGGTCCGATAAGCATCATTCCTAAGACTCATTCCCACTTTACTTCCCATAAACCAAGCAGCTTATAAACTGACGATGATTGCATCTTTCCTTGTACAAGTCCATGAATGTTTTGTTTTAGCAATAATGAAGCCATCACTAAAGAGTTGACGTTTAGAGGTATTTTGACACCCGATATTTGCATAAAGCCATGCTCAGCACTAATTTGCATAATATTATCCTTAGATGAGGCAAACAACGCCAAAAAATACATAATGCTTATCTCACTTACTGCTTGTTGCAGCAGTTTTTCGCCAATGTTCCGTGCGTACATATGCATTATTCCGATTATTTTAGGACACTGAAAATATTGTTAGACTAATCGCAGATGAAAATCTATCATGTTTCGATTTTGATGAGACCAATTTTAATTTTTTCACAACAAAAAATAGCACACCTGTATTTTTTTACTTTTTGTAATAAGCGAATCTGGTATGTCATAATTTTCTTTTAACATTTTGTCACATTGCCTTATCTAAGATTAATACTTTTTTGGGTTAAATTTATTTGAACTTTTGAATACTCTTAGTACATAAAATGTAATTTTTCTTTCATATAATGAAAGAAAGACACTGACCCCGACCTCATATTCGCCAAAATAGTATAAAACACTATATGAACTGGGGGTAAATTTCACTGGATCAAAAATTAAGATTACATAGCTAACGTATGGAATTTGTCGTTCTATATCGTTTTTCTTGTAAAACAAATTGCTTTCACAACAACGAAAAGGTGATCAAGTCTTCGTCACAAGCCACAACTCAGCCTTTTTGCGTCAAACCTGTTGCACTGCGAATTTCTGAGGTTATTAGAATTTATTGTCCTCACCGCACGAAAATTCCTCTTGTCAGGTAACCTCCACTTCATTTGGTGACATTGACAAAATTCTTCAATTTTAATTAAATCGTCGAGACTCGACTACAAGCTTCAAAATGTGAAACAAGTGGCAAATCGAAAAATATTTTACACACACAAAATCTTGACAACTGATACTAGTACCGGCAGGATACATACGTGCGTGCGGGTTTTGACGCATACGTACAATGCATAAATAGGTTGTGGAATGAATGAAAAAGAACATGAGGAATTTATCATTGTTGGTTAGAGTATAAAAAATAGCGGAAAGATTGCCGGTTGACGGTGGTGTCATCAAACTTTTTATAAGCAAATTGCTCAATTTATAATTTAACGCTTAACGGACTCTGAATATTTTTTGTGGGTGGAAGAATTGAAGTTAATAACATTCGACTCCCAATAAACCGGAAATCACGTCCATTCGCGAGAGGATATGTTTTGTTGACGGATTAATTATTATCAGCACAGTTACAAAATTATGCTAGTAATATTTATGGACTGATAGCCTACATAAATATTAATCTAGTCAACACTTTGAGCCACTTGATGAATCGACATTTCATCCGAATTCAAAAACAATGACAAGATTGGAATAACAGTAAAACTCTAAATCGGACCTATTTGTCACTCGTTCATCCTCTCTGAAAAAGATTTGTTAATTGGCATCCTTTCTTTTCCCAACAATTGCAAGCTTATACCTTCATCTTTTTGTTGGCACTTGACTAATTTTCTTTTGAATCGGCACATGACTGACTGCGTGCTTCTTATCCGGCCACGAAACATTTACTTCAAACTTGAAAGCAAAAACCAATAAATGCCGTAACGGTCATTAGTTCAGCACTTAATTAGTGTAGAACCCTAAATCTTTTGAATTGTGACATTCAATGCATAAAAATGTACGTCTTAATTAACAAAACAGTTCACTGTATTGCACAGCAGTCTGTATATCATTATTAACCTAACACAACTCGGCAATGTAATTCCTTGTCCCGTTTCGCCAAATCTTATTATCTACGACGGATGAGAGCAATGCATGATCATTGCAGAATGGACATTAATATTATGTGTTACACACTTGGACCATTTACCTCTGTGTATTATGACACCTCATAGTATTTTGTTGAGATTTGTAATACAAATTTTGCATGCATTTATTTAACGAACACATTTGAAACTAAATCAATAACATTCAAGTCGGATTATAAGACGAAATTTAAGACTTACTGTTTAAAAATGGATCCAATAGAGTAGATTCTTAACAAAAAAAATCTAGTGTGCACGATCGGAGTCTGTCTGGACTATCGTTTCCTCATAAATTGTTTCCAACTTTATTAGTGAGCATAACCTGTTGGGCTACATTACCACAACATATATTTTTCCACGAGACCCTTTAAACGAAACCAGCCACGACGATGGATTGTATTATACGATTTGTATATACCTGATTAGCTCGGTTCTTCGCAGTTTTTATCATGAGTACATTATGTCAACTACGCGTGACCAAATGCAGCTATTTAATTGTCGAAGAACCGGTGAGAAACATACCGCTGAACAACACTTTTTGCCCCTGCACTAGTCAATTTGCAAAATTAAACGATCAATAGATCAAATTCTTCGCATTTCTTTGTTGCTTCATAATCTTGCTTGTCTCATTTGGCCTCGTCGTCTCAGGACTACTCTTTTGGGTCCGCTGTCATACTTGTAAAGTTGTACTTGAATAGATATTTACTATTAGTTCCACAACAAATAAGCAATATTTAAAACAGTTTAGCAACAGTTTGTACAAAATATATTCTTAGCATTTTGTTTTTGAATTTTGATGATGACAAATTTAACGACAAGGCATATGATACAGCGGTGGCATATGTACATACGTATGTAATGAAATGTGAAGCACAAGCACAAGTGGACAACAATCAATTCGTCATCATACCTTTTCGAACGGAACTTCTCACAATAGTTTTGGTAGGTCTGAGATTTTGAGGATTTTGGGTTCGTATGCTTTCCATAAGGGCTTCGATTGGTGGGAGGAGTTTCTCTGGAGGTGGGGCTAAGACACGATCTGCAGCCTGAAATTAAAATACAAACAATTTAGTATAAACCACATTATTATTATTATGCAGGCAAGGTTAATTGGTCTCTCAAAATTTCTCAGACAATTTGAAATGTAAAACAGAACATCGCGTGCTAATTCAAAACGGCGAGAGGCATATGGACTCAGCAAAACATAAAATAGTATAACCTGATCCTCACGCAATTTCCATCCAAATTGAGTTTAAAAGTGATGCTCAATTGCATCCCTTTTGTTTAAGATGTGGAAGACATGCAATATGTAAGATCTGCATTTCTCAATTATTCAAATGACTATAGTATTGGAGAAAAATTCCAATTTCTCAAGATCACGTTCACCAATTGGAAAATATAGCGGACCGATGTCGGTCACATGGGTTTTTACTTTATACAGCACATCCCTACCTACTCTACGAATTGTACACAGGACTTGAGAACGTTTTACTGCTATGATTTGGATTGTCAGTTTTCAATTTACTTGGTCACAAAAAACCAAACGAATCGAATTTGATGAAATTGACTCCAACTACAACACAATGAATATAAAGCACACCGCTGTCGTAACTAATATTTGAGATAACATGCGAATACGGATTGAAACGGAGGCTGTCCAATTTATCCCAAAATCTTCGCTCGTAGATCATTCAACTATATGAGATTGATGAACCTTTCCCGTTTCCACAAAAAATGGATTTTGCATTAACAAGCAAAAATATCTACGCGGGAGATGGGTAGAAAATGTAAGTATGTGACATTTTGGCATTAATTTCATCTACAAAATAATAGGCTAGCCAATTATATCTTTTCTTTGATTATGAAGGTAAGCTAAATATAGCAACTAACGTCGCACTTTGATAATCAAAAATTCAATTATATCAACTTTGGAGTCTCCAATTATGCATTTCAAAAATGGAAATCAAACTACAGACTCATACTCTGTCTGAATTACATCACCGGGACAAACTTTTGAACATGATTGTAATTAGGAATTTCAAAAAAGACGATATCGTGACCGATTCCATTTCCATTTATACGTATATGGATGATTATACCCCATATGGGTCCAATTTGTAAAAATAAACTGCATGTACATAAGTACATACATTCATATGTGTATGTACATATATTTGCAACTCAACGCTTTTAGTTTGCTATAAATTATTTGGCTTAAAAAATAAATTGTTTTTATAATAATTTCTAGGAGTTTCAATCTTCCAATAACTTAAAGATTCTCTAAAATTCGTGCATTTATGTTTAAACGAACTTAATGAATACATAGGAGTGGGTTCCCTGTAATAATTTATGGATTTAATAGTTTTGTATCTCTCAATCTTTATTAAATCATGTAAACATTATTGGACTAATCCAACGAATCTACATACAATCCCTCAATAACTGAATTGCATCATGAGACGGTAGAATTTTATAAGTCCTGAAACTTATCAACAGTATGCATGCATATGTACAATGGGAACCAAGGCGTTGTTAGCACCTGTGATTATTTTACTTATATTTCCTTTTATTCAGTCATTATTTCCTTCTCTCCAAATAAGGACATCAATAAAATAATGACAGCGCAATTACTAATTCAGTCGAGTTGATTTGAAGCATGAAATGTGGGCCGAATTGATGGAACTTAGTTTAACTCCCGTATTTCTCGTTCTTCTTGATTATACTGAACCCATCGCTCGTTAAAAATTCATTATTGAAATACTTTTAGCAATTAAACTATCCATAGATTTTCTTCAAATATTGTACGACTATGTATCCACATGAGCGCAATGTATCCACATTGCCAGGCTTGGTCAATGCACCTTCTTTACTTTCCACTTGTCAACTTTAATTTGCAAGTATCATGTTACTTATTTGAATGCATAATGATCGTGGAGAAACCTACAAGTGAGACCGGAAGGAAATTCTAACTCTTTTTTTCACACAAAGATCATTAGCCATGCCCAAAAGTGTACCCGTTCTAAAAATAGTCAAACTTGAATGATGAAAGGGACTCATTAACCAAGACCAACGATTCGTCCATTCCACGGAACATGTACGCACAACATGCACACTCCATAACCAGACTCGGAATCTAAATTTAAATTCGATTATGGTTAAGAGAAACTTCTAAATATAAAATCGCTTAATAGACCATTTTAATCGATCATGAATAATAAAAGGATTAATCACCATCACGTAGTCGGCTAAAATAAAACAATGAATCCATCCACAACTAAGCCGGTCAGTTTCAAACAATGGGCCTTATCAATCTACTGCAGAGTTTAATTACTTGCAGTCCAAAAAGTAAATTAGTTCGAGCGGTGCAAGATCCAATTTCGGCTAATCACAAACTTTTAACAATAAAGTCAAAGGCCACTTGATTACTTTTCACTTGAGCTTTCAAATGAATTCGCACACCAATCAAACTTGGAATATATGTAGAGGCACTGACCAACATTGGCAAGCATTCTCCTAATCGACTCCTATTTACTACTTGCTCCATGTACCTATGTACTAGTAATTAATGATTTTCTCGAAAACTTGCATTGTTTGAAGCAGAATAAAACTCACATTCTTCAGATCAAAACTTCTTTAAGCCAACTGAATTGATTCATACCAAGCATGAAACATTATATAAAATTGTCATTTTTCGTGAAGATCTGTCTGCAGATTGCAGGATTACTAAAAATCCTAATATGCGTTACAATTTTCAAAAAATTCCATCAGGCCAAGAGACAAATTTTCTTGAGAAAACCATTATTACAGGTCAATGCATTTTTATGTGATGGAATCCAATGGGACGTGATCTAATCAATGATTATATGTAATAATATGTCTGTTAAACAATTAGGGCTGCTGACGTGATGCATACATATGACAATTTCCTTGCACCATATATTTACCTACATAAATACTTACATGGGTGCATCTCATTGTGCAGTAATGCTTGTGGCATATTGTCAAATGCACTTTTTGCAGATAATTTCGCAACCCTCACTAATTACAGAAAGAAGGTTGAAGGTCATCAAAAATGGGCAAGAGTTTCTCGTAAATAGTAATAAATAATAAGTTTCTTAGATATTCAGTATTCAGCAAAAAATAAATAATTTATATGTCAATTGAATGTAAAATTGAACATTTACAAGATCCGCCTTGCGTCTGACGGTTATAGGTTACTCACAAAGCAAGAAATGCCAGAAGTTAATATTTAGCTTAATTAGAGGGATACACAACCAACCATTTGGAAGGACCGACTCCTGTAGAATTCTTGCATGCACTACATAGACTAAGTTGGCGATGATTTAATGATGATATGATTAGATCAGAAACAGATGTAAAATAATTCTTCAAACGACCAACCAGAAACTAGAGTAGTTTCTTAAGTAGCTGTTCACTGACTGAAATTGATCAAAGTTGAACATCACAAACCCAGCTAAAGCAATAATATCGCTCACTGTGCTTAGCAATAAAAACAAACCTGTTTATGTTTTCCTGAACGTATACAAATTGATATATAGCAGGGAAAGAATTTCAGAAAAAGTCCATCAACATTAAATTGAATTGAAATTGCAAATAAAATTGAAATTTTCCTCCTTAAGTTACGCTCGTCTTGGTTTTTATTTTGCTACTTTATGACTTTTATGACCTTTTCATCTTTTTGTCCTATGTAACGGACCTTTTAAAATTAACAGTTGTCGAGAGGCTTACCAGTTTTTTTTACGGTCAATTACTTGCGAGAAACAAACATATTATGAGCAGAACATGATATTTTATTGTTGTATCCATTTTGAATATGTTCATTGACCGTGCTTGGATGTCATGAAAATAAATGGCTTAAACTGTTCCTCGTTTAAGACAACACACAAATATGTAATATGCATACTTTTCAATAAACTTTCCCCATCGTAGAATAATGAAGTGAATCGTTTACTTCTCCTGTCTTAATATACATTCATCTCCATTTCCATTCCGCTGATTTTGGCATATTGCGAACAAGTGGCCTCATCACAATTAATGTCAGTTGATTGACAATCGAGTCGCAATGTCGATATGCGTCGCGTAATTTCTCAAGACTCACTTTCATCCCTGTCTCATCACTTATCAATGAATTACGACCAAGTAACATAATAGCCCCGTTGCAGCATGTGCATATACACCAAACTGGTGATGACCAGATGATAAATGTGTCAGTCTCAACCTAGACGACTTGTGGTGAGAAAGACAAATCAATTCCGCAAACTGCCATACGAGCAAAAAGGGAAACTTGCATACCAAGCAGTGCATGCAGCCAATTCCATTCTTTGAATAAACAGTGCGAGTGCTCTTGACATTTGACATTTGACCCGAATTCGGAATAGTGTAACTCACGCTGCTGTCTCTGCCATCTTGCATCAACTTATTCATATTGATTAACAATCGGCATTTGAAAGATAAGTCTGATTTCCTTCCTTTCATTACAAAACACAAAAATCAATCACTACTCTGACATTCCATTTCCACCTTTCAAACAATTTACAACTTTTTCGCCATTCATCAACCACATGAACCAAGAGCAATGATGATACTTTTGTTTACTGAAAAGTAAGAGTGAAGAAGTGGATTTCAATCAGGGTTCATCGTATTGTCGTATCAGTTACACACGTCAATTTTCAATTATTCTCGTGAATTTAATTTCACTTTTAACTAAGGGCAAGTTGATATGTCTGTGTTGCCATTATATGTTAATTTATACATATAAAAGAACTTTTATTATCTCTACACTGAGATTGACTTGAATTTAGTGCATATGCACGCGTATTTAGTTTAGCAGAGGGACTAACTAGTTATTGGTGAGTGCCAATTTTCAGCATATTTTTCTCTCTGGTGCAATTTCTACATAAGCTGTTGTAACTACAACAAAACTACTACGCTACCTCAATAAAATTAATGAATGGCCCATTTGCATCTTCTGTAATGCATATGTACACGGATTACTGGGATGCCTTGGTCAATCTTTCACCAAATTCGCGTATATAAATTACTTGTCTTTCATCTTCAATGGCAGCCTTCCAACTTTTCACTTGATTTTACTTTTGCACAAAAATATGAGATTTGGTGAACGTTTATAATGACCAGGCAACAAATACTTGCTTTCAGGCACACTAAAAATGAAAGTAAAAACTAAACAAGGCCCCAAAAAATGGGAAATCTTAGTGAGTCAGTGCAATCACAGTTAATAAATAAAATTAGATTGAATAATTTTTTCATCACCGCTCTCGGTATAATTTTTCCTGGAAGCATTAATTAATCATTTAGAATAATTGCCCCCCCCCCTCAAAGGGTCTGGAGATTTCATCTGAATAGGAATTAATAGGATATCTAAATTTATATATCGAAATTGTAGATTTTCAAATCTTTCTAAATTTAAAATTCGCAGTTCACAATTATATTTCATATCGATTAATTTATTCAACTTCTCGTTCAATAGTAAAAACGTCATCTTGTAATCTCAATTAATTTAATGAATGCAAGAGTTCATGCGTATGCAAAACTAAATTTACAGTGGACCCAGTAAAAATTATCCCGAGAGCGGTGATGCAAAAGTTATTCAATCTAATTTTATTTATTAACTGTGATTGTGCTGACTCACTAAGATTTCCCATTTTTTGGGGCCTTGTTTATTTAAAACTTGTAATTTGGTTGTCAAAGACATTATTTTTACTGCACAACCGCCGTTATTATCGGCACCTTGAATATTTTTATTAAATTTTTGATTTTCAAACTTGAATAACGCCCTTATTTCTCAACCGATTTAGGTCATTTTGCGCTTAAAATGTCCGGAATGACTTTGACTAAAATATTTTCAATAAGCGAGCATGCTGGGATACACCACTTATGAGTCATAAAAATAAATATGTTTTCAGAGGAAAATTTTTGCACATTTTGGCACATAACTTGGGTAAAAATCAAAAATTCGCCAAGTCGACTAGCACATCTTTTCTAAATTACCTAACAATGATCTGTGCAAAATTTCATCAAAATCGGTTGAGAAATGGCTGAGAAATCGACTTATGTCACTTTTTTTGGGTGGGGTAAATGCATACTTAGCAAATTTTTTTCGTTGTCAGGTATTTGCCTCACTAAAGGTGCGTTTATGCTTCACGTCACCGTCACGTCCTCCTCCAAATCCGATTTTTTGATTGGCTGATCGAAATTATCACTACGACAATTAAAAATTTTAACCAATCAAAAAATCGGATTTGGAGGAGGACGTGACGGTGACGTGAAGCATAAACACCACTTAAGAATAATGCTTCAAGGGAGAAAATATTGTTAAAAATAGCCCTTAAGGGACTTCGTCAATGTTGTAGAAAAGACATAAATATACATGAATTATAGGAATTGTGTTCAATAAATGTCAATATACGGCAGTGTATTTAAATTGGTATAGCAAAATCGAGACCACCCAGTTGTTCTGTCATTTACAATTTGATCCAAAAACGACGACAGTGCACTGCGGCAAATTTATATCAACAACGTTGTTGAGTTCTTGCCAAAAGTCGTACCGAGTTAAGACAAATGAATTGAATAAGAATCCTTGAAATAGAATACAAACGAATTACTTCATTGGAACAAAGAGCAACCGGTAATACAACAAAGGACACTATGAACATGTATGTACTACCACTCTAGATCTTTAACCATTGCATTTTGTGCAGCATAGTTCACGGATACGGAAGTGTAAAAAACACAGCTTCACCTCAGTTTAGTGACTTTGTTTTGCTAAGACAATGAAATCATTGTCAATTTCAACTTGACGTTCTTAGCTCGAAGCGAAACTAACCATTTCCTTTATTGTCAATTGTCCCAGCATTATCTATCAATCGTAATTTGTAACATGTTATAAAAATCATACAAATATTTCAAAAACCAAGTGATAGTTCACAAACCATATATTAAACACATTTCCTTACGCATTATGCAAACGCGAATCGGGATAAACAGAAACAGACCTGTCGATCGTCCGTATATGTGTTTTCCTCTTCTCCTTTATGTTAATATGAAAATGAATCTGCCGACCTCCCCATCGACTAAGCAATTAGTTTTGATAAGTGGAATTCCAAACCAAAGTCAATAATCCACTTAAAGCGTTCTAGAATTTTTTTTCGATACAAATCTTTTTTGACGTCTACTAGTGCCATAAAATGAAATGGTCCATTATTACCATTCCCTGCCTTCACTTTCGACGCAGCAACAATGGGCCATTCTCCATCCATCCATCCATCCATCCAGCCTTAGCGTTTACAAATCGTAAACCAAAGATAAAACAAAAGTGGTGAGTCGAGTGATGTTCATCTAAACACGAGTAATCCATTCATCTCTCGTAATCTTTGGGCTGAGCTAGCTAGCCGTGGATTATTTACAACGTGTTACCTCACCAATAAGGAGAGGACCACCTGGATGGATGAAGGGGCAGCAGCAGCATCGTCGTCTCTGGGTGTCCAACAAACTGGACAACCAGTTCTACGGACTCCTCTGCCTCAGTTCTGTCTTATTAGGACGATGAGATATTGGACCACCAACAAGAACCCACATGCGTTATGCGTGTGGGTAAGTGTATGAAGGAATGTGATAACTGCTTACCTTTCTGAGAGGAGGTCGTCCCCGGATGAACTCGAGGATGAGTTCGTGTGCATCCCGCTTCACCCTCTGAGGTAGCGACCCATCCACCATTACCTGCTTCAATTTGTATCGACGAGATCGAATGTCATCCATGAGGATTTCATAGGGCGTGAGTTCATATTCTATCGGAGGGCAGCCACGACCGCTCGAGTCGAAGGAATCCACCTTCTTTAGCTTCACACCGTTCCGCAAATCTCGGATTACTTGGACCCACAATCTCGCCTGAAATTTAGCCAAGAAATGCATTAAGTTTAGAAAAATGAAGCAAAATAGCTCCTATATAGAGCTACATATAAATAGCATACGTGCTTAGCCATACGTGATGTGTGCAACGCGCAATTAATAACATATTACTTCCTAGCTTTAGGCAAAAATTTCATTTTAAACTCAGGATCATCTCAAGTAAATGAAAACAACCACCACAGCGACTTCCTTTTACAGATTGACAATAGTCGTACAAAAGCTTTTTGTGGTCTACCCCATTAAAATACGCTCACACCATTAACTAAGCCACAAAGGAGCAGGCAGCAAAATACCAAAAATCTCACTTTTCAAATTATAGGACTTAAATGACCACAAAAAAAAGCATTCCTTATGCCACCGCATCAGAACCATTTCTTTATTATTTTTAGGGTGATGACACGAAATAAAGAGCATCATGCCAAAACCACAAATTAAATTTGTCAAGATTGGGAAGTAACATACATAAATGCAGATTTTATTTCTGGTATTTGTATCGTAATTTAATTCAGTTTGCAAAGCATACATTTTCCGCTACTACGTATATAGTTTTGCAAAAGGGAAATCATATTCATGACTGTGACCCTTGCCCTCAAATGGGGAATCATTAATCTTGTCCTTCTTGAGCCACATCACTTCAAATTCCGATCCTCTGCTGTTGTCTGTCATGTAGTCTCCGACACAGATATCTTTCACATTTCCTACTTACATATTTTCAACAATTATACAACATCTCCAACTGATTTGTGACTCCAATTCGTCGTCCGTATGTGCAACTCACTCGCTGTTGTGGTCAAGCCAGATATGCGTTTTAAGTGAAAATGAAAGTTGGGTAAGCTTATCCATCACGCCGTTATCTTAACAAGAATTAGTACACTAGATCGTACCACTCACTCAAAAGTCAACATTTTTTACTAGCCTGTCAAATATTTTTAAAAAAGCAATGGCTTTAATTAATAAATTAAAAATTGGCACTTGTATCTATCTATTCCCGGTTGTGCAATGGAAATTGAAATATTTGACAAGGTATTCTTTACATTCTTCCAATAATATGCAGCGTTACTACTGAATAATATATCTACTTACTACTGCATGTGTATTTAATTTATGATATATACCCTTATGCATGCATATATTTTAAACTAATTATAAGGACAAGGGAAAACGAGGAATGCCCATTAGCACGGTGTTGCACATGAGTCTGAGTGCGATGAACCATCACATTTACTGAAAGAAGGGAATTAAAAGTGTTACTCGTCTTTTGATCCTGCGAGTGAAATGAATAATGCGACGCTTGATGTTACGATTGCTTATGCGTAAAGAAGTCAGCGTCACTTGTTTCTGAAACCACTCAACGCACACGTGTTTTCCTTTCTTAACCCTTGTAAAACGTACAAAATGGCTTCAAAACTGTTGTAGTTTGTTGCAAAAAAGTGTATGCATGTGCACATGTGAACATGGACAGGCTGGACGGTGGCCAACACAACGCCATATTTTTTGTATTACGCTCACAATGCATAAGTTATCCTCATGTTTGGTAGGAGTAATTATTCCATAGGAGTGACTAATAGTCTCTGACGATTATCATACGTAGAAAGCGCGTAGAATTTTACGTGAGGCATCCTCTTTAATTTTTAGCTTAATTTCAACTTTAGCAACTTTGCCGAGCTTCTACAGATCTGTATGCAAATTAAATGGTTCCATTAATCATTTTAATCTCAATTTTCCTTTCCTACTTTGTAATCATACATCATCATCTTTCTCTATAGCACAGGACAGAGTTGAGTTCCGCTTACGTATTGCGATTGCACGATGGCTGGACTAGCTCCAACCAGCAAAATTTAATGTAATCGACTAATAAATTCTAATTAACTCAAACTCAAGCAGCGAAGCTACCAAACATTCACACTCTCACCCAGCACCGAGCAATAATAATACACACACACTTACAAATAAATATGTACATGTGCGGATTTTAAGGAAATTCCAATCATACGCATCAACAATGCAATGTATGTAACGCAGTAACAAATTAGAAATCAACATGTACTGTAGCATGTATACATATGTATTGACAACAATAGTTGCAGCAGGTCTCGTAGATATCGAATGGTAAATGCTACACAAAATTATTAGTCAGTAATTTGTTTGTTCAATGAAATAAACCCATATTAGCAGATTTACTTTGGTGAAGTATGCACATACAAGATCTCATCTTACAACATCTACTACACATGTAAAAACAAGGAAGTTGAGGAGCTGTCCAAAAATGAAGCATCATTTATCAAACAGATAATCGCCATGAAGTATCTAGCACTCTGGTTCTGGTATCTCTTACGAACCACATGCACATGTACGCCGCGTCCATTATTCAAAAATTGGTCTATATCACGACGGATTTGTTTATTGGACCAAATCTTTGGCTTTCCCTACATAAGTAGAAGAAGAAGAAGAATGAGCTATGTGAATAAATGAATGAATATTATATCAAGAGGTTTAATTGACAATCGGATAAAAGATCGACGGGACACACCACGTCCGACTTTGTACAATGTGCAAGAAAGGAGGAAACGCCTATGCACATAGAGTGGGATTAATCACGATATTAATCATTATTACTGCTTTTCTTGCGTGCTTATTCATTGACTACTTGCAACTACTTACCTCCTGACTGAGATTCAAATTGCAATTTGTAATTTAAGATAATTATTGCTGTCGTCGTTATTGAGATGAGACGAGGTTGATAAAGTGGTAGCTAGCCAGCAGAGCATTAACGATTAATTTGACCTCAATCTTTCGAAAATATTTCAAAGAAATATTACTATCTGAAATTGTCCCGTTCACAAATTGGCAATAATTATTGAAACTGCGGTAAATAATTGCGACTAGTCTAAGAGTTGAAACACATCATGTGTGTGTGTTTACAACAATATCCTGTTGCAATACATTAAGCTAACATTGTGCTAATATAACCGCTACCACAAATTGATGCAGGCCCTAAAGCGACATTTGAATAATACGAAATTCGTCTCGTGTCAAAACGATATCCTGACACCGACAACCAATAACTTGCCGCAGTGAGCAAAGGAATAAGTCAAGTGAGCGTCACTGCAATGACTACCGGCTTTCCTTTGTCTCTCATTAAATGAAATGGATTCAATTAGATAAATCAGTACAAGCACTATTGCCCAGGCACAGCAGTATGTTCATATATTTTTAAAATGGCAGTGTCACTTACCCAAACAGTGAAATGGAGACCTTCCAGGCTTTCTCCGGAACCGCCGTCACTGTTGCTGCCCCCAGAACTTCTGCTCGAAGAGCGAGGTGCCCTCAACTCGTGCGTTCCCTGCGCCACTTTCTCGAGAAAGGTGGACAGCTCAAGCGTTTCGGCTACAAGGGCACGAACGACAGCTTTGTAATGGTTGTCGGCCGCTGTCTGGTTTCCATTTCCGCTCCCACTCTGGCACAAATTGCTCAGACTTCCCGAGGAGGACAAGCCTCCGCTGGGGGAACTTCCGAGCCTATCTCGACATACCTGAGAAAAAGAAACATGGATAAATTAGTTCTCATAACCTTTGAACACATCAAAAAGTTGCTTATTCAAACCCATGTTTAAAAAATTTCTCCCATCAATCCCGCCCCAGGGAGGAAAGACGGTCATACACATATAAAAAATGCAAACAACATTATTGATCATGGATCAGATCAGTATCACACTTTTTGAACTTCTTTGACATATCATCCTAATTTCATCTCTCTCACTTTTCATCTTCAACTGATGGAATAAAACCTCTCTAATCTATGTAGGTACATATACAAAATTAAATGCATACACAAATGTGCAACTATATGTACCAATAGCATCAGACGCATTGGGCAGCAATACGACTAGTCGCACGTTACATACATTTTCTCTTGAGAATTAAAATAAATGTCCAATTCATCTCCCTTCGAAGAATCCACATTTAAAAACCAACTGCAACGCAGTATCAACTAATCAACTCAACCGTGAGTCATAACGAGTGTCGTATTATTCTTCTTTCTTGCCCAACCACGCAACCATCTCTCCATCTCATTTATTCAGCACTAGCAGAAAAAATTACGCGTAATGAATGGTCAGAGAGAGAGAATCAACCAAAAAGGAGTTCTCTTTTGCAAGCAGTAAAGCAGCCTGCGTAGACCAATAATGACAATCGATTCAATCCAAGATTTTATTCTGCAATCCTCTTCAATTATGCGAGAGGATTAGTTCCGCATTGAAATTAGGTTTTAAATGTAAAAATAAAACTCTGCACAACACAACTTTGTGACAGTATACGAAATTCAGTTCTTAATAGTAATATTAATTCCTGCAACTTTCGACGTATCAACGTCTGCGCAAAACATCCCAAAGATTTACAATCCCTCCACATTCACCAACTTTCTCCGCTGTCCGTCAATGAAGGCGTTATGTACATAGACTCATACGTACGTACGTAGAGGGTGATATTCATGTCTAAATCATCCCGTCATCATTTATTTATTTTATTCGAATTCCTCACCTCCTCTCCGCAAGCAAGAGAGAGGGCGAGTTAATCCTTGCACTATGAAATGAAACGAAAACAGCACTAACGAACTGAAAAGAATTGGAAAGGTAAGGAAGACTGCTGACTTACATCGAATCGTCAATTCTATTGTTGATTGAGTGGATGGAATGAAGTGACGGCATGCAAATAAAAATATAAATTCGAGGAGAAAGACGGAAGGAACTTTGTGTTGGATGGAAGAAGAATTATAAAAATATATAATGCTTTGCTTTTCCAACGAGGTGCATACGAATGGATGTGATAATAAAAACCTGATTTAAACTAGGCTCAAATATACGGCCTAAACGTATGTACGTGTTCATAAATTAGTCAACCCTGCTCATGCCAAGAAGCAAAAAAACTTTATAACTTCGAAATGAAATGAAAGTGAAAGGAGACCAAAGGTTACTTGTACTATGAAGAAGTTAGAAGTGTTGCGCAAAGAAGTACGGTTTGGCATCTAATCCTGAGTCGTCTCTCTGATTACAAGCAATTTATGAGGATTTTTTCTTCATATTATTCAAATTAGTCTACTATGCTACAGCTCCAAGGTATATTTATCGGTGGGTTTCCTTGCTCCAAGTTCTGCACTGAACTTTAAGCTGCAAGCTGCAAGGTTCAGTACAGAACTTTGAACATAGAATTTTACAAAATTGTTACATATATCGCTGTCACTCAACAAAGTACAGTTTATACTCTCTAATACCTGATTTAACTCTTGGTCTGATGATATAATAATAATAAAGTTGTTACAAAAATCGTATTAAAAAGCAAAATCATCCTACAAAAAAAACTCTGTAAAATTACATTATAATTTGTGTCCATTTTAATTTAGCTCTCATAAACTGAACATAAAGAAAGGAACGAGGAGAAAAAAAACTTGAAACGAATGAACGTGGCTCATCTAATTACGAAGAATATTTTTCCTTTGATCCAAAGACTTGATACTCTCTTCCTCTCTCAATCCTGCAGCCTGCAGGGTCTCCTGTATGCATAGTCTCCTGTACATAGTCAGCGAAAAGACTGCGTCGTATACTATATCTAATTCCATGGAATGAGTTTGCATGGCAAGTCCGATTAAAGCGGAATGGAATTAATAGTTAATGCTGGTCAAATAAAATTGTGTTGGACTTAAAAAAACTCTCGTGCTGCTATGCTCTCTGCATTTTCAGTTAATGGCCGGATATACAGCCGGTGTCAGGTACGATGCAATTGTGATGCATTTAAAAGATGCAACCACTCATCCTCCCTCCGCATCATCATCAACATGCTCGGCACGAAAACTACTTTTGGTTATTTTTTTTCTTTTATATGAGAGTGAGCAAGCCAGCCAGATATACCGTAGTAGATACAAAGATCTAAATAAAGGACGAGTTTAAGTCCATTGTGACAATCATCAACGTCATGACCAGTTTACCACTAAACTGCGCTCTAGAAACTCTACAAAAATTGTGTACCCATATGACGTTACGAAAAATGAATGAGAAATATATTTGCAAGAAATTAAATTACCAATGAAAAACTAGGGATTACTGAGACCATCGATGAAATAAAATTTTGCTAACCGTTGTAAGTGACGATTTTACGATATTAGTATTAAAACGAGTGTAATTTGGTCAATACATGTTCGTCCTATTACATCAGCTCACCTTCGTAAATTGAACTTGCTTTTCTTCCAGTAGTACAAGTTGGAATTTGAGTGTGAGTGACCACATGTTGACCTTGTACATGTTGTTGCACCAGAAGAAATGCAATCAGAATACTGCGAAGGAATTGAAAATCTTGGCATGAACTGCTCCATCCATCCATCTGGATAATGTGTATGCATGTTCATCGTCTACATTCGGTAGTTAATCGTAGTAAGTAGTGGTAATATTGAAGTAAAGTGGTTACTGTCCAATTAAATAATCATCAGTCTCCGTCAAATTCAAATTCTCAGGAAATGAACGTGCTCCAGTAATTTCTCATTCCCCATCACAAACCAACTGCTCATCATCATATATCATCATGTACGAACAACAACCCAAGTATTATGCAATGTCTGCAAGTCAGCATTTTTCCACGTGTACAAGGTGTAAGCGCACAAGGAGAGTCGTCCTCCTGCCAAAGATTTCACTCTCTGACCACCACCACAAATTCTGTCCATTGCTCCATCCATAATTCGGACATCAATTACTCATGAAATGGATTAGTTTCCTCGTCCGAACCAAGTTGTTCATTATTGTTATTCTTTGGTCACGACGCTATAAAGGAATTGGCAATCATTCAAATGCTCTTTATTGGAATGAGTATAATCTTGGAGACTAAGAATTTTCATTTCATATTTCAAACATTTTGTAATTTTTTTCAACAAACTCGCAAACACAATTTTAACATTGCATTTTATCATCTTTTGCTTGAGTTCTCTACCAGAACATAAACGTTGTGGGTGAAATAACTCTAGGAGAGGCGGACATATAGGACAGTGACACTTCCTTTACAAAATTATGACATATTACAGTCTCCCAGAACACAATACCAACCCAGACACCTCAAAATATTTTATAGTTTATATCTAATACTCCTTGCCAACCACTGTACTCCTGCTACCGCATTACATCAACAATAGTACGTTAGTGTTTACTGACGGTAATGATTCTCATTGGAAACAAAGTGTCATTGCCACCGACTTCTGTGAGGAGTAAATGTAATTGTGATCCGACTACAATGCTTCTCGATTATCAAAATCCAATTCAAAGAAACTGCGAGTTGCAAGTATTTTTGAAATTTTATGGGCTTATGACCAATTTTTACACTTTATGGTGACAGTAATGTCCCAAAAGTTACAAGTTTGTAAATTATTATGGCTTGCTTCGCTGGTGACAATGACTTTCCTTCTCCATATTGCCATACCCCTTGTTGTGTATCAATAGAGGTGAAAATGACTACTTTCATAAAACAGGCAAATTTACTCATGCTAATCGTGTGACAAACAAAGGTAAATTCGCTCTCTAATTTCAGAAGATTTTAATTTTGTAAGAGGTGATGTATAGCTATTACGAATTTTATACCCCAAATTGAATAATTTCAAACCAACTTGTCGCACATCCTACCTTGAGGAGAGCTAGAAAATTGAAGGATCTGGAGTTGAGGTGGTCATCGTACGAATCTCCTTCGATGCCTTCGTCATCCGTTTCTGATCTTTCACCTGATTCGTCTGAAAATATAAATGACGACAATTAGTACAATTCACACGTGTAGTTGAGTAGTATGCAATGAATTCGGCAATAAATCGAAATAAGTGAGCATGCAAACTTGAAATGTTGAATATGTGAAATCAAACACCAAATAAAGATAAAGCATACCGTTAAATTTTCAAGATGATTGATAAGAAGAGTAGCATGAAATTGATTCAAATACACAAAAAACCATTAGAAAATTTATTACACATTGATTACAAAGTTCGTCTAATTACGCTGTCACTCTTTGACAAACTATTGAGCATCAACATTACAGTAGTTTATGTAGCTTCAGTGTAAACTTTAAACTGTCACGTCCATTTGTCTTCTTATTTTTCAAACCCTTTCAAAATTTTGATTGCTTTTGTTTTATTTTTCTGTTACAAAGTAAATAGCATAGTTTTTTCTGTGCAAAATGTCTGCCAAAACCAGTTACTTTCCTCATTTTTCACTAAAGAAGTATATTTTAATAAGCTACTACAAATTGTAGTTACTCTGAACAAGCCTGTGATCAAAACTAATTGCTCAATGTCTTTTGAAGCCTTCTTGACCAGGCACAAACGCATTATTTTTCCGTAATTTTGACCGTCATCAGCAGCAATGCAATAAAAACTTCAGTTTGTTCAACTTTAATTGATTAATGTTCATATTCTTGTCTTATAACAATTACTACAACACGCAGTTAGGTCAGCATGGGTACAAAAATATGTACACGTACATAGGTATATATGTGCTTATACATATGTAAGTAGATGGCAAAATGGGCATGCATATGTATGTAGGTATATATAATTAATGCATGCAAACTCTTCAGTATTTTCTCTGCCCATAAACTTTTAATAGTTCTCATCAATAAACAAGTTTGCGATGAATATAACAAGAAGAATGTGCCCATCCCTTCCAATTCTAATAATTGCAGTAATTACAATGTAATATGTGGATTAGAAATCCATTATTCCATCTCAGAGGATAATAATACAATTAACAATTACAAATTCGGCTTGATTATTAGATTAGTCGTGGCATTAGGACAAAGTCGTGATTCCCATTATTTCCCTACACTTTTTGCTAATATCGTATACACTGACAGGGCTAACCATATTGCCTTTGCAAAAATTCTTCTATAAATTTGTTCAACAAAACCATCGTTCTCAAGATACAACTTGCACAGTGACACATTTTAAAATTTGCATATTATTGTAAAAGTGCATAAGAGACGAGAAAACGGAATACAATGGAATGCACATTCATACACCTGCCAACCCATTCACGAAAGGGTTACATTTTAAGAAATGGATGGAAAAATGCAATTTCAGCTCTAATCTGTTCATCTCGACACATAGAAATTTACCAGAGTCCTCCCACCCACTGGGAGCGAGCTAGCCAGAGAGCAAGCAGGGTGCACAACAAATGAATGACTCTTTATTTGCATCTGCATAATAAACATGCCCGTGTGGTGCTCATGGGATTTTATTCCTTATCATCATGTGCTCATGTAAGTGCATATCTATCTATCCGCCACTTTATATAGGTTGGCTTTGTGGAGCTTCGTCGTGCTCGTGTCTGGTTCTCAATGAATTTGCGGGTCTAGGGTAGCTCGTCGAAAACATGGTCGTCGAAAGAGTAACTCGTCGAGGAGGAGTCGTCTGAAGGGTAACTCGTCGTTTGGGCAAGTGGTCGAAAATAATACTTGTCGAGAGTATTTTTTTAATAAAATACGATTCTAAATAAATTATAATTTTATAAAATAACATTTACATGAGAACTCTCAGCAAGAATGCCAAACCCCCTGTTCCAGGCCTTATGCATTCTTATTGCTCTACATCTTCTATATGAATGTATGTTCAATGGTGGATTGTACGCTGTACCCATGTAGGTTTTTTGAACATAACTAAAAAATTCATCCAGTTCGAGTTTAGTTTGACCCTTAAAACTGAACGATACTTTCAATTCTCGGAATGCAACTCTTAAATTATCGGGCTGAACAAATGCGAGACCGAATATTTTTTATTAATAATGATAGGGTGCCTCATTGAAATAAATCAAATCAAATCAAATAACGCCATTGTAACGTCTTGGTCGTACTGGTTCTTTAAATTGGGTGTCAAATGTCTAAACAACGCTTGAGTATAGTGAAAATGACACCCGTGAAGTACAGCGTCTGGAAACGTGTCGTGTACAGCTTTTATCTCAGCTTGTTCGAAATCCATCACAACAGCTTATCTTCAAATTTAAGTTTCTCTTTGCTGCGTTACATTAATTCGTAACATTAATTTGACATTTTTAATGTAAAATAGAAGGGTAAAAAGAACAAAACAATCCTCCCAACTACTGCTGTATAGTGTTTTAAGTATTTTGGAATGTCCGCAGCGTATACCCGTCACACGATGCACATGAATTGTGCATACTTGTGAACTCATTATATAGGTAAAATCAGTAAAAATGTTACACGAAATTCGACCAGTTTCATGCCACCTAAATTCGACGACTTGCCTTTCTGACGAGTTTTCCATTCGACTAGTTGATTTCGACGACTTACCTTTTCGACGACATAGGATTCGACAAGTAACCCGTATCCCGAATTTGCACTTGTTCTACTCCTGACTCTATCAGCAGATTCATATCACCAAATCGGATCTACGTGCAAAATTAAATTTGCAATTGCGATCGCAATTGGTGTCATAATAAATTCTCCCTAGTTTACTGGGACGGCCATAAGCTTCAATTTCTTTGGTCGCTTTTAACATACTTTGAAAGTATGCATAGGGAAGTTATACGCCGACTGACAACTTTTCTCTGTTGTGAATGTAAATGTACATATACATACATTAAACGTTATTGGAACGAGAAAAAGGCATTTTTGCAGATCGTTGATTTAAGTAGTGAATGTAGAAGACCTATCCCAATCCAACTTTTTGAGACAATGGGCAAATGGGCAGCTCTCCGCCACAAACAATTTATGCGGTACACAATCGCGCATACAATGTGCAATTAATATGGGTACACAGTTACACACCGTAAATTGTGGCTAACACTCAATTAAGGAACTTAATTGGTTGGGTAACATGGTGACGTGACATGGAGCCGAGATGAGATACGTCTGCTGCCTGCCTGTCAGGATTAAATAAGGCATCCGCAGCAAAACCAAGTTCTATACGACTGACATATTTTAGTGCCATATTTTATGTCATCAGTTTATTATAGAAAGAAAATGACCTTTGGCTATGTCTTCCTTCGCGTCATTTTATGATCCCATGCCACGCATGTCTGTTCATCGCAGAATTGTGAGACATCACTTAATTAATCTAACCAACTCGTCCCTTGCATAACGGAAGACTCAATTTTCCGGTGGACAGTTTTCCAAGTTTTATGAGTGAACATGGTTTATTGTAATCCAAGCTGACTCCACGCAGCAGCATCTGAGGAGGAGCGTAGAGAGTGTTGGCGGAACTGAGCATATCATGTTTATGAACTAATTAATTTAATGGACATTTAAACGCCATGTAATCCATGTAATGTGTATGCATTCAAATGGGAGAATGCATATCAACAATCATTGTCGGGATAATTGGAGGTCATTGTACATACCAAGTTTCTTCGCACTACGATACATTATAAAAGTGTAACGCTTGAAAAAGATGCATGCATCATAAACAATACAATTCTTCATCAATTTGCATTAACCACTAAAGTCTTTTATGATACTTTTAAAAATTGTAAGTTAATACGTAGGCTTTAACAGAAAATTCCTTGATTTACCGGGAGATTTACCGCAACGAACTACATACTTATGACTTCCTCATTTAAATATAACTATATTAGCAATTTCATCCGTTATTATTTATAACCTACATATTTATTTTGCTGAATAACGCTTAATGTGGATGACAAGTGAGAAAGGAAACTAAATAAATGTGTAACAGCTCTATAAATTATTTAGGTTGTACCTTTCCTGCACTGATGCGATGAAATTGTGTCAAAAACCAATGCATATCAGGAAAACAATTTACAGTCCATATGCCCGAGTAACCTGTACCATTTACATATATGTCATCTTGGTCTAACTTACTATAACCACGGTCTTTAAAACTCCTACCCTATTTAATACGTGCACATACTTAATTGTACAAGTAAATGTCGTTGTGTATATCCTTTACCAGTTCGGCAGAGGAGACTACATGGATCGGCAGTGTTTTGTCAGGGGTTACGTTAAAAATTTACAAGATTACTGCGAATTTCTGTTTTGTAGAAACCTGGTCTGATTTGGAATGGTTGTCGACGACGAGAGCCAAAATTAATTAAATTATTATACCACCATAATTTCATGCCTTCATACGTCATATTAAATTCACGTCCCTCTGCTTTCCCAAACCAAAACTGAAGACCAAACATGTCGTGGGAACAGATTTTTCTTGTAAATGTAAATTTTAATGCAAATGTGTGCCTACATAATTCGTTTCACTCTCAAAATTAAATGCTTAACCCGGTTACATCTTATTTACTTTGAAAGTTAGAGAAAAAATATGGTTCACATGTACACTGCATTTTGAGGATTGAAAGAATTAAATACATACTCCTCTGAATTTAAATGTATTTAATATTAGCACAAATGTACAATGAACGAATTAATTTTATGGGGTTGGTCAGGTAGTTAAATTTGTAATTGCAATTGTAATTTGATCACCAAACTTGTGGAAGGCTGGACACAATGAATGTAATGCAAACTTTTGTAAAATGTTGAACATCTCATTGGCGAAGGTTGCATCACCTTAAAAATAATAATACGTTATAAATAGTTAATGAACCGTAACTCCTCATCATCCCATTTTGACAGACCATTCCTGACAGCTTAGCATGGACAACACAACAACAAATGAATTTAAATATATTTACTTGCTACTAGTACTTTTCGATTCACTACATCAATTGAAATGGTATTTTTTAAGTTGTAAACCGTCCCATATTTACCGATATACAT